TGCATAAAAATGCTTGGAGATTCTTTGGTAAAGTAAATTCATCGTTCACAATGTATAACACACATCATTAAAATTTTAACTGAGATACAATCACTAAATAAAATTATAAAGTTCTTCTATTAAATCAACTAAGACAGAGATTGTCGAATATGAAGGGGGTCAATATAATTTTTAATTTGATTGACAGTTTAGAGTGTTAAGAATTTCAAACATCCGTCAAATACAGTTTTTTTCAATGGGAATGACCTGTTTAATTTTTTAGTTATAAAATAGTATCAAATTTAGACTTTGGCCTTATTGTCTTTAATTCCATTGCATATGATTAAAAGAAAGAAATAATATTTTCCATTTGAGTTTAACATGGAAAGTATTTCTTCAGTACATTCTTTCCATAAACTGTTTTACAAATCTCTATCCAACGATTGGTAGCTTCAAAACCCCAGAAATTTAAGAGAAGAAAAGATATTGATTATGGATGTATCATATATATAGTCGACATGAACGTCGTTTGTCATCGCCGAGTGTTCTTGGCTCATATGTGGATTGAAATGTTGACGAATAGAACAAAAGTTAATGGGGTATCATTTGTTTCAATTTACCTCATCCTCTATTTCTATCATTATGTTAATTACATTTTTCAGCTCACGTACAATATTACTTCTTTTTAGTTGAAATACTTATATACGAATATTGAAAATATTGTTAATGGAACTTTTTTTTTTTTCTCTGACACAGAAAATTCATTTCTGTTTATAAATGCAGCTTCCATTTGATTTAACTGTTATTTGTTATAACTAATGAATGATAAAAAAAAAAAACTAAATCTCAATTGCAGTAATATGTATTTAAGCAAACTTTGGAATTATTCCACTAATTTTCATTTGAAGTTTATAATAATAGTAGTTATTATTATTGTTTTTGATTCAGTATGAGTTTAAATATCACAATTTAATGACTTGAAATAATTACAGGAAGTAGTCACATATATCTTCTAGATCTGTGGTACCAACAATGAAAAAAAATTTATATTTTTACTCTTTTCTGAATCTACAATATGGATACACTCCTTAAATTAATTTTTTTTTTAAATCTATACCAGCTGGTTTAACTAAGCCTGATTTCTTAAAAAAACAAAAATTCACTTATTACTTCTTAATAATCACATAGTAAAATAAAATAGCTCCACTGAAAAAAATTAGATTACTCACATCATTTTGTGCCATTTCCAACACCTAATGTACTCACTCAAAAACTAGGAAAAGAATTTTAACAAAATCAATATATAGTTCATAATCTTATCTTCTACTCAAGAGATAATGGTGAGTGTATAAATGGTAAAGTATCACTATGTTGTAACTGAAAAGGTATAATGTATAAACTTTTTATCTTTTACCCATTAAACCCTCATTTTAAAATGTATCTTAATTTTTCTCGTTAAATTTATCAACATAGACAAAAACTGTACAATTAAATCGCAATATGAACAGTTAAGAATATGATCTGATATTGTTTCCATATTAAAAAAAAAAAAAAGACCAAAGAATTTTATGAATGAAATGAAGAATTTCAACAATTAAAAAATTACCCATAAAGATGAATCTCATAGAAGATAAGAAAATATTCTGAATCACGTTATGTTCTAAGAAACTTAAAAAAAGCTCTAGTATCAATCTTATAATTGGTGACTAATCGTTAAAAATGCTGTTGAAGTATCTACAACACATTGACTATCTTTAAAGCATTAAGATAAAAGATTTTCCTCAATTTAAAAAACAAAACACAAAACAAAATGGATACAGTTGTAATAATAAAAATAACAAAAAAAAGATAATTATATATTTTGCGACAGACTATTATCATTATTCCTGAAAAAATATGAGGGAAAATAAAACAATAAATTTTACAAACTTGTTTAAATAATTAATATTTAAAAATAGTTATTTACAAATAAATGGACATTGGTATAAACCAGTAGTAATTAAGAAAATACTATGCTAGATAAAAAATAAATAGGTACAAATAGGTAAAAGCAAAGATTTAAAATATATAAGGAAATTACAAAAGAATTACAAAAATAAATTTTATTTACATATAATTCTATTTAAGAAAAGTTATAGATACAAATAATTTGAGCAATAAAGATTATCACAAGGCAATTTAATTTTAACGATGTGTTGTTTTCTGGACTATACCACTTGTCACAGTAAAATACTCGTAAAAAAAAAAAAAAAAAAACAGATTAAGATGATCTGTAAAAATATCTTGTTATTAGATCATTAAAGGTCAACCCAATATAGTTGTAAAACATTAAATTATTTAATTCGCAAAAGAATATATAGAATATAGAATATAAATATAATAATAAGAAATCGATAAAATATCAAGGAAAAAATATAATTTGATAGAGGTAAATTCAAATAAAAATAGAAATATACAATTTTGTAAAATTATTGTTCCAACATAAAAAAAACATGTGACAGTATTTAGAAAATATTAGAAAGAAAAGCAACAATAAAATTAATTTGAAGGAACTTTGATGAAAAAAAAAATTAATAAATTATTAACAATATCCATGTAAATGAAAATGAAATGGGATAGTTTTCATGGGATTTATGAATATATCTATATGAAGAGCTGGAAAGACAAGAGGTACAAGTGACAATGTAGTCATTTTGTGAAAAAACAATTTGAAATTAAAAAAGGTTGATAAATTAATTGAATTAGTTAAAGTTTGTATCATACATGGAAATTATCAGAGAATACCTATCTGGATTTAGACAGAACCGCTCAATTATTTATCAAATATTTTCTTTTTGACTACTATTACAGTACAATGGTATTGTTTATCAGCTTTATACCAATTTCAAAAAAGCTTAAGATGGACGAGCATTAGCTGCATATTTTAATTGAACAAGGGATTCGATAATGATACATACAAAAAAATCAATCAAAACTTTGAAAAAATATAAAACATTTATCTCTAAGGAGATTAAAACGATAATAATCATAACTACCCACTGTCAATCATTCTTTTAACTGCTAAAAAGTGTGGTAAGATACTTATTTGTAAAATGTTCAGTAAATTAATAAAAACAGGTAAGTAACATAACATGGAAGCTCTCAGCAGATTAACTTTTTTGTAAACACAATGGGCAGTGCCACAGGTAACTCACTCACTGGCCACAAATGAAAATAGTTGATTTTTAAACAGAAAATGTCTTAACTGCTATACTTCGGTGCAAAATAGATATTTTCTTATACCACATTTCCACTAACATTCTATATGGATCGAGTGTTGTGCTGGGTATGCGGTTATTAGTTGGAACCAAACTTTCCAGGCTGTATTTTTGATGCATGGTACCTAGTTTTCAGATGTGCTCGGTTTATACCGCACGGCTAATCTTATGTAGGTAAATATTTTAGATACCCGTTATTTTATAACCTACTACTGGGCAAATAATTTTTTTTTTTTTTTTTTGTCATGAATCGGCCAGCAAGGACAACCTGAATATCATTTCTTGTTCTTCTTCACAACTTCCGCCTTCCTTCCTCTACAATACTCTTTCATCCTCCTGGACTGTTCCTATCGCTCTTTTTTAGTCCCCATTTTCTCTCTCATCTCTCCCTCCTCCCCACAAGAACTGTAACCTCTTTTAGTTTTTTTTCCAAAAATCTCTCTATCCAAGCAGTAGTTTTTATCCTACTACTATCTTATCTGTAGTTTTTAGCCTACCCAGTTCCTCTTCTATTTGTTTTGCATATCCCCCCATACTTTTGTAGCTGCAGACTTTGTCGAAAATTTTCATGTTTATTCTCTCATTGTTCGTTCTGACCATGTGCCCGTACAACATTAGTCTCCTGGTCCTGATGACTGTTTTCAGATCTTCAAAATTCCTATGCATTTCTTCATTGGATTTTCACCTATACCCCTCTTGTGTTATTTTGGGTTCGTGAATCCTCAGAATTTTCTTCTCTATCTTTAGGACTTTCTCTAGGCACAGAAGGCTGAATGTTTCCATACCATTCAGTATCACTGGTCTTACTGCTGCACTGTGTGTCTCCGTATCTCAGTGTATTAACCTGTTTTATTTCTTTTATTAAAGTAATAATTTCAATTGCCATGAATTTAACACCAAAGTATATTATTGAAATTCAACTTGACACATTTCTTCTAATATTTTTCAACAGATTTAACTAAACAAAGAAGCAGGACTATGCATATTAGTATTAAATCTTTCAGTATTAAAATTTTGAAGTATTGTTTAGCACAGGGAATAGTTTTCATACAAATAAGTCCTGTACAGGAGCAGATTTGTGGACCTTGGTAGGCAACAATGAAAACTTCTATTTGTGTCAACAAGTCTTTGTGCCACCTCCTAGTTAAATTTAATATATTATAGTTAGTAACTACTGATCCTAAGTATTAGAATCTCAGAACTTTTTGAAGTTAGTCTACCAACTTCGAGGGTTGGACCAGTTTGACAATTGCTAGTCATAAAAAAAAAATTTATTTCACTGGACAATATCACTAAGTATTTGAATGTCATCTGTGTACCTAGAGCGGGAGGGGCCTACAGTTCTTTATTCTCCAGAACCCAGAGAAACCCATGTATCATTAGTACCCATTACTAGCTATCAATCTAAAAATCTATTACCCAGCGCATCAATAATTAATTATCCATAATCAACATTTACTCTATTTTTTAAAAAAAAGCAAATTGGTTTCTCTGCTCCTCATATACTCTGATACAAAAATAAAATTAAATAAAACAAAGATTATCATCTATCAATCAGAATAAAATTTAAACGATTCGATCAACAGAATTAAAAATAAAGTCCTACAAAAGATTGAAAAATATACATAAAAACAGGAAATGGTGGTTCGATTTAAAAACTACTATTAACATTTTACAATTAAACATTGATTTAACTTCCTAAAATTTATTATGTTTTTGGAGAAAAATAAACTCAGTAAAAAACCTAGTTTAATACATTCCAATAAAAATATAAATATATGCTCAATATAGGACGGAAACAATGATTTATCGATATGAGCAGTGAAATGGATGGATTTTACTTATTATTTCAAGTTCAATATGCAATAGCTAATAAAATATCCATTTCATTTGTAACCAAACAAGTATTTATAAAACATCATTGCCATCATAATTAATCACAGGTAATATTTCTAAAGTAGTAATGATGAATAGAATATATGTTTAAATAATATAATAGATATATTACATAATGTACATAGCAATATGAAGATTACTCATATTGAGAACATTAAAATGTGTCATATTTACACTATCATATATCTAGTCACTTTTGGTGCCGAAATGTTTGGCATCAAAAAAGCTACAATATGTGGAAGAAGTGCAAGAGATCCCAAATAGATAACATGGTGGAGAGGAGGTGTTGACCCAAAAGGAGGGAACCATAGTCCACGCCTAACACCATCTCGCAAATGATGACTTCCTCCAGCAACAAAAATGATCCAACTCATCTGGTTCAACACATTGATATTTAAAACCTATTAATATAAAATAATTATATTAATTCAGTGTAATAATCACTTGTGATATAAAAATAAATTCTGAATACTAACAGAATCAGAAATCATATTAAATATTTAATATTTTTTTGTTTTGAAAACAACATATCAAGACAGAATAGTCATAGCTTATACAATCCACTATGAATGTATGATACACACATACACGCATAAGCACTATATATACACAGATAAATAAACTTACTGTAATTTAAATTTTGTTGGAAGTTATTGTAAGTTTATAGAAGGTCTAGGCAGTTTCGAATGGTATACCTTTTATTTCAGAGAACATCCAAACAGTTAATTGAAAATGAAAGTTGTTAAATAGACAAAAATGAAGATGAAAAGCAGTATTACAGCTGAGCCAAAATATTATTTTTAATAGAGAAATAAAAAGAATGTTGTTTTTATAAGTTACTACGAATGAAAACTCATGTAATATATAATAGTTATTTCATTACTAGCAAACTAAAGTGGGAACAAATAAAATTTTTAAGTAAAAATTGAAATTATAAATATGTAAATGTGCGTGAGTGTTGATATTTTATATTGGTTACTTGCTTCAATTAGAATTTTATTTTATTTTATATTAATTATCAGTTCTTTATTTAGTTTTCATAAAGTTGATAACAATTTTGTTTATTTTTTTTATCTTATCCATTCTTTCCACAGTATAAGATCACTTCCAATGTTAAAACTAGGAAATCAACAGTCTTCCTGAGATCTTCCACAGTTTAGTTTCCAGTTCTTTTGGTTCAGCCCAAATCCGTCTTTATAAAGGAGGATGTAACTCTGAAAGACATGCTTGGATATTTGTTCCTTCCTACCAAATTGACACTTGGGACTATTTCTAATTTTAAACTTCTGTAAAAATTCATTTAGTCTTGTAGTTAGTCCGAAGTCTATATATTACAACTTGTTCTTTTCTCTTTAGATAATAGTACGGGTCTTGAGGATTGCTAAGAGGATGATTGGCACTCCACCTTATGGTTGTTTTATTTATCTAGATAAAGTTTGTGGTTGCCTTTAAACCTTAGCTAGTTTGTATGCTTTACTTTATCCCGAATAGGTATAAAGTGTGCATGGTTCCATGGCAAGCTGTAGTGTGCATGGTTCCACTACAAAACCACTTTCATACTGATACAATACAATTTGTTCAATCTGTCAGGAATACTATTTTTGTGTTATTTTTATTTGGGCAATAAAAAGTAGTTTGAATGGCATCAGTAATATTTCCTATCCGTCTGATAATTAGTTGAAAATCTATAGAGAGACCTATCAATGGTATTCCCATCTGGAAATTCAATATATATCCCACCACCTCTATTCTTAGATGCTTCTGAGACTGAACTATCCATGTTTGAGTCCATTGATGGCATGGGTAGTTAGAATTAATTTTATCTAGGCTAACAGCTCTCATCTCAAAAAAAAAAAAATAATAATTAAAGAGCTTACTAGAGGAAATATATTTTTTCCTTCCCATCAAATATTTATAGGCATGTAACCATAGGCTATTTGTCATTCCAGTACTACTTTATAAGTGTCGCTCCACTCCAAAATCTCTTGATCACACTATAAATAAAATTCCAAGAATGGCCTAGTATTAACATCTCTATGGTAATCATAAAACCTCCATTTATTTATATAGCGATTTTAGACATCCACAAACTTCTAACTGGTTATTTTCTTTTAAAATTAGGATCATAATTAAATAGCCATACTCGGAATTCCAGTTATAGCGTAACCCTGAGATTTTTAGCCCCCCATCAAAGTTAAACACTTGTACAGCCGTACCTTCATTAACATACAACTTATAATTGAATAAATGTAGAAAGAAATATACCTTGCCAGAAATATAGAATGAGAAGAAAACCAAAATTAACAATGAAGTAGAATGAAAAGGTGGTCTTCTATTCAAATGCAATGCATCCTAAAAGAAAAAAAATTAAAGAAAAAATAACTAGTTTCTGAAATAAAAAGCATAACTGAAATATATACCTGCAGTGTTAATGATCTAGCGGCAATGAAATGGTCTAGATCAATGAATGATGCAATAATGCCACAGCTCAGTATTTCAGCAAAATGACTGAGTTTCAAATTATGAATGGAATTCGAACTGAAAACTACAATAGCCCATGAAAAAAGGCCAATGGATGCATGTGTGGTATTATCAATAATTGCTTTAAAGAAATGGTTATCAACTTTGGTTAGCAGTTTGTCCCCACACAAGGCAATAATCACTATCAAAACTGTAATGACTACAGAAATTATTGTAGGAGTAATAACACAATAATTATCATCAGACATAAGGTGTTTAAATTAACACGCAAACATTCATAATTAGTATTTTATTGACAAACGCCACTCCTAGACAAACGGAGTAGACTTATTTGCAACCTCGAGCTTTCTTCCTTCTTTTAAAGAACAACTGTATTCAAATCCTACAATCAATGATAACCTCCACGTATCAATTGGCTCGATATCTGACAAGATTTGATAAGTTATCAGTCCAAATTATTGCTGATACAAGGTATAAGATTAAATTTAACAGGTGAACTGTGTTCCGAATATTATGGGGTCTCTAATATTTTGAAAATAAATTTAAAAATTTTTGTATTGCCTGTAAACCATTCGGAAATACTAAAATAATCTATATCAAACAAGCTTTCAGCTGCTTGATAGCATTGCAAGATAGCATGACGTCAGTGTTTTAACCTTCTTGAAGTGTGAGATGGTTACCTTTTAATGTTTTACATGTTTTAATAATGTGAACCGTGTACGTGTAGTTTTTTAAAGTTTTATTTGATGTATCGTTGGCTATGATCATTTGACATTTAATTATTTACTTGTGGTTTTTTTTCTTGAACTTCATTTTGAAGAAATCAGTATGTCCGCATCAGCCATTTACATCCTTGATGTCAAAGGAAAAGTTTTAATTTCCAGGAATTACAGAGGGGATATAGACATGAGTGTAATTGAAAAGTTTATGCCTCTCCTAATGGAAAAAGAAGAAGAAGGATTAGTTACTCCCTTACTTCAAACCATGGAATGCACATTTGCATATATTAAATATAATAATTTATACATTGTTTCGACAACCAAGAAAAATGCCAACATAGCTCTGGTATTTGTCTTTTTACATAAAATTGTACAGGTAATGACAGAATATTTCAAAGAAATAGAAGAAGAAAGTATTCGTGATAACTTTGTTGTTATTTATGAACTTCTTGATGAGTTGATTGATTTTGGTTATCCTCAAACTACAGATAGTAAAATTCTTCAAGAGTATATTACTCAAGAAGGTCATAAACTTGAAATTCAACCTAGAATTCCTATGGCAGTAACAAATGCTGTTTCATGGAGATCAGAAGGAATTAAGTATAGAAAGAATGAAGTATTTCTGGATGTCATTGAATCTGTAAATTTATTAGCCAATGCTAATGGGAATGTCCTTAGAAGTGAAATTGTTGGTGCAATAAAAATGCGTGTTTATTTATCTGGAATGCCCGAACTTCGTTTAGGATTGAATGATAAAGTTCTATTTGAAAGTACTGGAAGGGGTAAATCTAAATCTGTTGAGTTGGAAGATGTAAAATTCCATCAGTGTGTAAGATTATCACGTTTTGAGAACGATCGTACTATTTCATTCATTCCTCCTGATGGTGAGTTTGAGTTAATGTCATATAGGTTGAATACACATGTTAAACCACTCATTTGGATTGAGTCAGTAATTGAACGTTATGCTCACAGTAGAGTGGAATACATGATTAAAGCAAAATCACAGTTTAAAAGACGGTCAACTGCGAATAATGTTGAAGTTGTCATTCCTGTCCCTGCAGATGCTGATTCTCCTAAATTCAAAACTACAGTTGGGAGTGTTAAATATGCTCCTGAGCAGAATGCTATTACCTGGACTATCAAATCATTTCCTGGTGGTAAAGAGTACTTGATGCGTGCTCATTTTGGTCTTCCTTCTGTGATGTGCGAAGATACTGAAGGGAAACCCCCAATCCAAGTTAAATTTGAAATTCCTTATTTTACAACATCAGGTATACAAGTAAGATATTTAAAAATTATTGAAAAAAGTGGTTACCAAGCACTTCCATGGGTTCGTTATATCACACAGAATGGAGATTACCAACTTCGCACCAATTAATCAAAAGTATAATTTATATATATTTATATGTGTATAAATTTTAAATATTCAGTATTAAAAAAGAATAAGTGTTATCTCATGATTTTTATTTATTATTTCTTTTTTAATCTGGGTTGAATGTGTGTATATATTATGGTATCAGGTTCGAATTCTGTCATTTAATTGAAATTATCACATTGTTTATGGTTTTGATGTAAATAAATTATGAAATATTGAGTTATAAAATAACATTAAAAACAAATGTGAAACTAAGAATACTGTAAGAAATGATACATGAAAATCATTTATTATTTTTATGGACACATCATTGTACAGCGCATTATTAATTTTTTTAAAGTTTGATCTTGAATTGATTTTTATTTTAAATATTTTGCAACACTGTATATAAGCAATAGATGTTACCTAATATATTTAAACTTGTGTATTAGTCTATTGGAAATATCAGTATATTAATTTGTATAAATAAAAATAATTCAAATCAGCTTATCATTTTTGTTTATTCAACTTCAAGAATTTATTGATTATAATTTTATAAATAAAATGACTTATTAAAGTATTTTATTTATGCTATGGCAGACTAATGTTTACATATATTAACCAGTGACCTTGTAGCTCTTACAGTAAAATAAATGTTTGATTTCATATAGGTTGGTAACTATGAATTCTTAAACATTCAAAGGGAAAAAGAAAGAAAGTACTTACTAGTACCAAACCTCGGGCTTGGTCAGCTTGTGTAGTACCAAACCTCGGGCCATCTCCTTCCTCTAAAATTTCAATTTTTGTTTTTCACCAATAATAATCACAAACCCCTTGTACTTTTTCGGATAAGTATCCACTCCTTTAAGGCTATATGGGGTTTTCCTATGCCAGGGGGTGAGGGCGGAGAATTAATGCCAGAGTTATAAGTCTCCCTTGGCACCGGACATTTTCTACATAATTACCAATGTCAATCATCATATCTGTATGATAAAGAAGTATCTTTGCAGCCTGTATGTAATAATATACAAAACGGAATGTTCCAAGAGGTATTTAGTTAAGGAGTTATTTTTTTCAAACATTACCTAAATTACGTGTCAACTTGCGCCTGCTAGTTTTATAACAAATGCTTTAAATATATTTTTACGCATACATCTCAATTATTCACATTTGGTTATTTTAATTTCTAAATTGTCTTAATCTCCAAACCAATTTAAATAGTCTGAAGAGTTATTCCTAGACATTTCCATTCCTATCTACTTACATTATCTGTATCTACTTTTTTATTTTATTGTCTGATTAATTTTTCTGAATCCTGTCAGAATGAGATATTAAGCAAGAAAGTGTAAGTTACCTTCTTCCTGTTGTGTATTTCGCCAGGAGCAACTCTCTACCTTCTTCCTTTAAAATATTTGTATTTAATTCAAATTAATTCCCCCTTACTTTGAAAATTCAGAATATCATAGATAGAGTTTTATATTTTTTTAAATCAGCTTGTGTATAAAATGTACCTTAGTTAAATAAAAGAAGTATATGCCTATGGAAGATTTAGGTTTTACATTATCTCATGCTTTGGCTTTCAGCCTTAACCTTTCCTGAAATTGTTTAATGACTTTATTAGTTCCTTCCTAAGGTGTCCCTAAATGTTTTGCAAGGCTGTAAATAATGTAACAATTGAGAATAAACTTATTGTTCAAATAAGAATAAATTACCACCAGTAATGATCAAATAGACCAAGGAAAAGTGGCTCAATATAGAAAAAGGTAAGTAATCTTAATAATACATAAGGAATCATAATAAATAGCAGCTGATTTGATTCGGTGTTCTCTGAGTACCAAAAGTTTTAATGTAGGTAACTTATTCCACTAAAAATCGGTAATTTCAAGATGGCTGGAAATTGATAATGTATAATTGTTTATTCTACTGAATAAATACTTCTGTTTAAAGTCTGCTATATCCAGTTTAGGACTTTTCCACCTCTCATAATACCAATTTTTTGGCATGACGTCTCGGACTAAGAGACCAAACAAGAAATTGAGGGTTGGTCTCAGATCAGCCTAAAACTATCCAGTATGTTTGGGACAGTTTGCACAGGGCACTTGAGGAATCACCTGGAGTTATACTTGGAAAACAGGAGCTTAAAAGACCTACCGAATAGTTAGATGAGAAATTCAAGGCAACCAGCGATGAAAATAATAAATAAAGCATAGCATAGCATGATAAGCAAACATTATTGCTCCAGGAGACCCATAAAGGACTGTGAGAAATTTGGTGTCATGAAAAGAAGCTCTCAAAAAAGAAGGAAGTGATATAAATCCACAGAATGGCAACAAGAGGCAAATGTTCCAGATGGTGAACAGGAGAAGAACTTTCGTCGATTTAAAAACATAAGATTGCAAGAAAAAAGACAATATGCTTCTCACCAATGATTTTTCATATAGGTGGGTCAGACATTTCAAATCCTTGCTGAAGAAGAAGATGTGGAGAGAGATGTAAATCAATTCAACATCCTAGAGAATAGAGAATTTGAGCCCCAGAGTTTAACTATGATCCATAGAGAGATTGATTATAGAGCTATTATATTTTATACTAATTACTGAAATATTCTTACCAAGCTAGGAACAGATTTGCTTCAGCCGATACATCCAAAACCCTACGACTCAATACGGCGAATGGTAGTGAAGGAGGAAATAAGAAAAGTACATTTCGGCAAAGTGGAAGGGAAGCATTACGAGTGGTTGAAGGGTAACCCGATCCCAGCTGAGCTGCCGAGAAGAGATGCAGTTGCCTGCTTCCGCCTGGCCACTGGTCACGACTATCTGCAAAGTCGTCTCTACAAGATAGGCGTCGCTGAGGATCCTAGCTGTAAATTGTGTCATTAAGGAATAATGGATGCAGACCATCTAGACGCATGTCCTGCCTTGAGGGACGTAAGAGAAAAAAAACTAATTACTGAAAGAATACAGTTTTGGGAGAGTACTGTAATGTCTTTGTCAGTGCGACCCTGAGACATTTCCGTTTTTTCCACCACTACGCTGAGATAGGGTGGCACTTCGCTTCCTTCCGCAGAATATACTTACCAGCGCTCGTTTTTCTATTTATTTATTTTTTTTTTATTAATAGCTTTTAGTCTTTTTGCCAAATACCTTGTGTTTTTCTATAACAACTGTTATTATCAAGGAGGATTGTCCTAGAATAAGTTATATTTATATGTCCTTTGAATAAAAATTGGGATCAGTTTTATTCTGACCGTGATTAAGGTACTATTTCCCATATTTTGCACACCACACCGACTGAAAGCAGTTAAGCAGTGCTTTAGTGAAATAGAAAAGGTACTATTTCGCCTGGCACTGCCCACGGCAGTGATATAGGTTTCTTTCTATTCCACTAAAGCAGTGCTTACCTGTTAGCAGTCGGCGCGATGGGCAGTGCCACCGAAATATTACATTTAGTTGGTAGTAAGAGGGCGAACTCATGAGGCACTAAGTCCCTCATAAAACTTTTGAGAAAGAGGGAGTAGGTATAGTCATGACTGAAAATGTATAACTAACCAGAAGACTGAGAGCATGTCCCATCAAGAATAATTACAGCAGGTTTTTCGTTGGCCGTTGGGAAAGTTACTTTAGTGCAAGTATATGCACCAACAGAAGATGCAGAAATGATGGACAAAGAAGCCTTCTATAATATAAGCCTTCTTCGAACTTGCAAGGATTATTGAATAAAATCAAAGATAAAGGAAGATTCGAAATACTGAGTGGAGACTTTAATGCAAGAACGGGTTGTAATCCATCTGTTGTTTATGGAACTCTTGGAATTCATGGAAGGAAGGGGGTAATGAACAGAAATGGACAACGCCTTATTGATTTCTAAGTGGATAATGACATGCTCCAGGGCAACTCTTTCTGTTCTCGCAAAATAATCTTCTTGAAACTGGAAAGAAACAGTATTATCGACTATTTCATATATGATCGTGGCATAAGACAGTATTTTGCCGACACTAAACTGATCAGTGGGGTAGAAATCGACAGCGACATTTGTTACTAAAGCCGATACTTAATTTCCGCTGAGAAGACCCATCAAAGATAAGAGCTACCAAACATAAAATATGCGAGATCTCGACGACCCAATAAATAAAATCTCCCACACCTAAAAATTGGTAAGAATACTAAGAACATTGATTGTTGAGGGTTTTGTGGAAGAACAGTGGTGCCGTTTCAAAAACTGTATATTGGAAATGGCAAGACAAGTTTGTGGTTTGCGCAAAATATATGTGTGGGTCTTGAATCTATTTACTCTTTTGGAACACTACTGATTTGTCCAACTTTCTGTTTCTTATAGCAGGTAGCATCTAAACGATTCGTGCCACCTGTTTTATAAAACAAGCCCGATAAAATGTACTGTCCTACTTCTCAACGTGGCTCCGATCTTTGTTCTCTACGCAATCTACTTTTCCGACCTCTATGTAGTTTATATTGGAGGTTCTGGGTTTTCAGGTTTTGTTGAATGTGTAACCCACGTGAAAAACCTAAGAAGTTTATGTACCTGTTTTCCAGCATTTTTATTCTTCAGTTAGAGTATAATTTTCAAAAGCATGTGCTGTCTTAGATAATTTTTATTGTTATTCATTATTGTGCCATGGAACCAACTGTGAAAGAAGGAGTTTTATTTGAGATTTTAGGAGGAACTTATGAAGAATTTACTGTTGGTTATGAATGTATTAATACTGATGGGGTAAGTATAAACTATACTTAATACCAAGATTCTCTGCCCAACATTTGTTGATACAGTTTTACTTGACAGGAACTAAAATTGGTTCAAACTGTGGCAACTCATTCTCATCATGCTAGTTTAAGATCAATTGGAGTGTACAATGGTCCAATACATGATATCTTAGCTACTGGTGGAGCGGATGATACTGTACATCTCTATGATCTTAGGTGCCGGAAAGAATGTGGCATTCTATCTAATCATTCAGGTAAAAAAAATATATATCTAGAGATCTATTACTTCATTGGTAATTTAATTGTTCAGAATTTAGAATCTGTCATGTGTATTGTACTTAATTTTTCATACAATATATTTCTTAATTTATTTTTATTTATGTGTAATACTGCTTTAGAATAGGATATATCATTGATTAATTGCAAAAACTCAATTAGTGTATCAAAATAACACCAATCCTTTTATGTATTAAAAATATTATCAGTACTAATGTCACTAATGGATGGCACATGATCTCACCATAAATAAAATCTCAAGACTGACAGAGTGTGTTTGAAAGTAGAAAGAAGTGACTGAGTTGTTTGGTAAGGCCTCAAATCTCATCTGAAAAAAATCTGTAGGGGGTTTTTTTGTCCTTTTAGAACAATCAGGATTTAAAAGCAGGGATGTAGTTTAAATTATTTATACCTAATAATTTGGATACATTTAAAATAAAGAGTTGCAATTATTAAGACTAAAAAGACCTTTCTACTGATAATTGTGATCCATATAAAGGGAAGTTATACTGTGTACAGGTCAATCCTATGCTATTATCGGAATTCCCTTCATACTATAAGGTAACCATAGGTAATGCTCAAAAGGAATTAACAAGCTCCCATGTGTACTTTTTTGTTGAGGTTATGACCTATCAGATTGTTCAATTACCCCAATCTACTTTTGAGGTACTCAAGCATTTTCTGAATTTCATTAACAGTGTGGTCATATGCCTATCCATTGGAGCAACACTTATAAAACCATGTTTTTTCATGTGTACAAACCAAATGTTTTCAAGTGATAGTATAAGTATACAGTGGAACTTATTCAATTCGAAGTTGAAGAGATCTCTGAAAAGTTCTGTATTTAAAATATTATCTGTGAAGAATTTACAAGTAAAGTTAAATCAGTACGTGTGTGCAATTATATTGTGAAATTCATCAACAAATGAGAACTTAAGAGACCAGCTGTTTTGTGAATACTGTATACGACTCCTTTAATAATCAATCTGAGGGAATAATTTTAACACTACTTAGAATCGGAAATGCAGCCTTCACCTATAGCTACCTAATGAGAGGTCTGGAACCAGCATTTTGTGATACATGAACACATCTGACTGAAACACATTGTAACAACTTACAGACTATACTCTGACATTAGAGTAAAACACAATACATCTTCCACCATATCTGAAGCACTTACAGATGATGAAGAGAATATACAGAGTAATTCAATTCATAATAGACATAAAATTTGTTCACCTAATTTAAGTTCACTTAATGCCGCCAATGATCCGCTCATAGTTGATCAAATGTTACTTAATCGCTTTTTGCAATAAATCAACGATATAGGATGTATTATTTGTAGTTTACTCAAGGAAATCAAATATTAGTTTGTATTATAGTAAAACCTGGATTAGAAACTTTTTTTCTAAATTGAAAAAATAAGAGACTGAGAAAAGTTTATATTATTGATGATTTCAAATTATTCTATATGATTGAATAATATCCATATATATCCAGTAAATATAGTTGTATTTATCGAGTTTTAATCTTTTACTGTAAGTAGTTTATCTGAAAACCTCATTAGATTAGTTTAAATTACTCAGATTTCACTGTTTTTGTAATACCTTCTTTCATTTATATCTTATTCTGTTTAGGTACTGTTACCTGTGTGCGATTTACACCTGATGGATCGCATTTGATGTCTGCTAGTGATGATGGAAGTATTGCTATCTTCAAAGTTGGAAGTTGGTTTATGGAAAAAGTATGGCCAAAAGCTCACAAAGGATTGGGTGAGAAATAGATTTTTTTTTAATTTTCAGGCTTATCTCGGAATAGGGTCGTTTTCAATCTGGAGGGGGCAAACTTTGTCTATTTTATTAAGTACTAAAAACTCATAAATACCCATTTGCTTTCTACTTGGATCGTAAGAGAATTTCATCAAAAAATCGATAAAAAATGTGGACTTCAAAAATATTGGGCCGTTTTTCCTGTATAACCTCGTTATTTTAAAAATTTGGGAGTGTAGGTCATGCCAAATGGCTCAATATTTTTTAAGGCTACCTTTTTCCTCGATTTTGTGATCAAATTATCTTATGATCCAAGTGGAAAGCAAATGTGTATTTACGAGTTTTTAATACCCAATTAAATAGACAAAATTTGGCCCCCTCCAGATTGAAAACGCCACAATGCCAAAAATTTCGTAAATAAAATATTTGTAGGTTACAATCAGATGAAGCTATTTACGAAGTTTCAGCTGGATGTTAATAATTTCATAAACAGGGGTCTATACCATGGACTAAAAGTACTTGATCTAAGCTTTGGCCCATATTTCATGATAAGCAAGGCTTATTTATTTCAGTATTAATTTTCACTTAATCTATTATTCAAAATTAACGGAATTCTATATAAATATTTTAAATTTAACAAATATTATATTTAATATACAATTATATTTTTAAATTTAAGGTGTAATTCATTTGAGCATCCACCCAAGTGGTAAGATGGCATTTTCGATTGGTGCTGATAAAACTCTCAGGACTTGGAATTTAGTGAAAGGAAGACCTGCCTACACCATTAATCTTTCTGGGTAATTAGTATTAATTTATACCTATTTATCCAATTAAAAAATTAATATTACATTTATTAGTCAAAACTGAAGAGATAATATTCCAGAATACTGTTATTCAATATTTCTATCTAGATAATATAAATATTAATATAAAAATGGGAGTGGAGTAGCTCAATGAGTAAGCCACTGTGTTCCCATCCTATGGAAAGTTATTATTTTGTTTCATCAGCCAATCCTTCTGGGGCACACCCAGCCTCTGTAAAGTGGGTACTCATAATTAATAAAAAGTAAAACTCTGGCAGTTAATTATAATCTCAGTCAAATCAAGTTGTGCAGCCATTGACCAAGAAATATTACTTCCTTACATGTTTTAAGATTTTCGATCAGACCTTCCGATTCAAGGTAAAAGAACCATGAAGTGCAAACAAATCCAGTCTACTTGTAAATAAAAATGAAAATTATCATTATAAAAAAAATACCTATACCACTACAACTCATGAAAGGTCTTGGGTTCAGTACTATTTAGGGAAAGTACTGTTTTTTAGTCAACGGTTGTGCAAGGAGGTGATTTGACTGAGATCATGCTCCACTGCCAGGTTATCCCCCTTAATTAATTATTTAATTAAGGGTACCCACTTTATAGAGGTTAGGTGTGCCCCATGACGGTCTCCTGATCCAAGTGTCGCCCCACTGCTGATGTAACAGAATAAATAATTTTTCTGCTATGAGATTCCAACCCAGAACCTTGAGTGTTGGAAGATCAGTGCCCTGCAACTGAGCTACTCCACTCCTAATTACGTTATCTAACTAAAATTTCTAGCAATAAAAACCTATCATCTATATATAAAAAATAAATAAGATTAAAAACTAAACTAGTCTTATTAGCCAATAAAGTTCTTAATCTACATATGAACAATTACTCTTTATCTAAATCTTATATTGAGAGATAGGCTATAAACAATTAATTTAATTCTGTAGACTTATTAAATAATATGTTCTAATTTAACTGTAAATTTGTTTTGCTGTTTTTAGAAAAGTAAATCGACCTGAAATAGTTGAATGGAGCTTATGTGGTGAATACTATGGTTTAGTAAATGATGACGCTCTGGATATCTACGCGGTTGCAACTGCAAAAGTAATTCATACCTTAAAAGTTAGCTCTCGGATATGTTGTATTACATTTATTCAGGTACAGGAAGTTATATCTATTATTATTTCAAAAATTTTAATTTGTGTATGCTTTGTGTGAAAGTTTAATTATGTAATATAAAAATATAATTTTTCCTACTGTACATAGTCTTAAATGTTTTATCATAGTTTTAAGTGTTTTGTATATAGATTTTTTTTTTTTTTTTTTAAATATAGCTTGTTTAACTAATATTTTCTTTACTTTCTCTTTTTTATTATTGTTTTATTTTGGCCAAATGTAGTATTTTAATTATGTTCTATTTCTATTTCTAAAACCACTCTCAAATGTCATAGAATTTCAAATTTATTTTCTTAGAATCTTTTAAGGATATATTGTCGGTTTATTGCAAAAAAGTCCCTAACTATATATTTTTGATGGAAGAACGCTTTTGTGAATTTCAACCTTATTTATTGATTAAGAAAACACAACAGAAAATGCACAATTTTCTGATTTTACCTAAGAAACATTTATCAAAATTCTTAGTGATTTAACGTTATGAAATTTCACTTTATGACTTTTTGCAATAAACTGATCTTTTTTAATGCAATTTAGTTTTGTTGATTTTCACTTTTGATTACCAATATATGAAATATACAGTAAGGGAAATTATTATGATTTTGAATCCCAGTTTTCGATGGAAATACAGGAATTTGAGGAGTTCTGCTTCCAAATAACTAAGTTTTGTAAAATGGTTTGTTTGTATGAGTGATATGCCATCACAGCCAAACCCATGTAGCCTAGAGCCAATGTAAGTAGGAATTAATATTTATCTGTTTTTTTATTCATTGTTTTAGGAAGGAAAAGTTTGTTTAGGTGATTGGTCAGGTTGTGTAACCTGCTTTTCTTTTAAGTCAAATGAAAAATTATGGGAAATAAAAGAAGGGTCTGTACGATTGAAGGCACTTACAGCGTTCGAAAACTATTTAATTAGTGTAGACGGACAAGGTTTGTTATCCATATCTATTTCTGACTTAGTTATTTCAAAGTTGAATTTCATATCTAAAACCATGATAGTCTTTAATTTAATTTTTTTTTTTTTTTAATATTTTGTTTGTTAATTATTGATTTCTGCTAAGATATTTTTTAAAAACAAAGTTAACAAAAAAAATTGAATCTAATAATAATGGTAAGAAATTTTTAGTATTGAATTTCTTTATTATTCACATATTAAAATTGAGGAACCGCGTCAAAAAAGAAATATTCCTCAGTGTGTTCGGTGCCAGCAATATGGGCACACTAAAACTTATTGCAACCATCGACCACGATGCGTAAAGTGCGGTGAATATCATGAAACCAGCTCATGTTTGAAAACGAGAGACACCCCCGCGAAATGCGCCAACTGTGCCGGTCAGCACCCCGCTAATTACAGAGGCTGCCAGACGCTGAAAGATCTCAGGTTTCAGCGCAATGCAAGAAATCGTCTTCAGCGTTCCACAGTAGCAGAGCCAGCGCAGGGACCTCCAGGCATGCATGAATTCCCTCCAATACGGCAACGTCACAACCAAGGGGAACCACAGATCATCGCAGGACCTCCGCAACAACAAAACCAAACATCATCTAGTTCAGCACCCCCTAATCAGAAAACATGTACAGGTACGAGGAGAGGCATTACCCAACCGATACCTCCGGTAGATAATGGCTCTTCTCAATTATTTAATATAATTAATGGATTAAATAACCTAATCCAGCCTCTTTTCATTCTTCTTCAACAACTGTCACAGGTTACACAGGTCTGGTGCCCAAATTATGGCCCACAATAATTTAACTGTAGGCTCCTTGTCAGTTCTTCTATGGAATGCCAACGGACTGAAACAGCACAGTACTGAACTCGACTTATACTTGCACGAAAAAAGAATCGACGTAGCACTCATAACAGAAACACACCTGACATCCCGATCAAAAATTTACATCCAGGATTACACAATTTACAGAACTGATCACCCAGATAAAACTGCACATGGAGGAACAGCTATACTCGTCAAAAATTCACTGAAACACAATCCCGTAGACTTACCCATTACACCCGACATACAATCGACAGGAATAACACTATACACTAAACACTACACTATAACATTTGCCTCAGTTTACTGTCCCCCTAAGTACAAGCTTACACCCACGATGTTTTCTGAGTTCTTCAAACGCCTCGGAAGATGCTTCATCGCAGGTGGAGACTATAATGCTAAGCATCAAGGCTGGGGCTCAAGGCTGTGTACTCCAAGAGGCAGAAATCTCTGGTCTGTCCTCCATGAACTTTCATTAGACACTGTAACACCAAATTCACCAAGTTATTGGCCCACCTCCAGACGCAAAACTCCCGACTTACTTGATTTCTTTATTACAAAAGGACTAAGAACCGTACCATTTTCCGTCAATACAAGCTCTGATCTTTGTTCTGATCACTCCTCAGTGCACATGGTTCTCTTCGACGCGCCTTCCGAGGAACAAAAAAGACCTAGGCTCATAAAAGGCTGCATGGACTGGGACGCATATAGAGACTATTTGAACACCAATCTTTCCGTTCCAGGTTCAATTAAAAATCATGAGGAATTAGAAGAAGCAGTTGAAAAATTCACAAAAAGCACACAAGATGCAGCATGGGCCTCATCAACATCCAGGCCACAAAAAGCAGTGAACTTGCCCCATTATCCAATGTACATAAGGGACTTGATTAGAGCAAAGAGAAGAGCACGTAAAGTATGGCAGACTAACAGACTTCCTTCAGACCGACAAACTTTTAACAGATTGAACAACGAACTTAAAAGACATATTCAAAAATTCAAAAGCACAAACTACGACAATTTTATTAACAACCTTTCGACGGACGATGGAAGTTTATGGAGACATACAAGGAATCTTTTAAAGCATCGTGAGGTGTCAGCACCCCTACGAAGAGAGGATGGCTCTTGGGCTGTTTCGGATGAGGAAAGATCTGAACTCTTTGCTAACCATCTTTCCACTGTTTTTAAACCACATACAGACTTAATTAATACAGAACACGATATTTTTGTACATAATAACTTAGACATACCGCTACAGCTCACACTACCACCACCTCCTTTCACACCATCACAAGTTGCACAAGAAATTAGACAATTGCCCAAAAGAAAAACCCCTGGTCATGACTTGATAACTGCTGAGGCGCTCCAGCAAATGCCAAGGAAAGCTCTAGTGTTTCTTACCACAATCTTCAATTGCATTCTCAGGACCACTAAATTTCCTATACAATGGAAATACTCACACATAACCATGATTAAAAAGCCAAACAAAGACACTAACAACCCTTCTTCATATCGACCGATTAGTTTACTTCCAGTATGTTCTAAGTTATTCGAAAAACTATTGTACCCACGACTATTACATATACTAACAGACAGACAGATTATTCCTGACCATCAATTCGGATTTCGAAAATTACATTCAACAACACAACAATTGCACAGGGTGACTGACTACATCTCTACAGCACTAGAGCGGAAATTATATGCAACCGGAGTATTTCTGGATGTCGCCCAAGCGTTCGACAAAGTATGGCACCAGGGGCTTCTCTTCAAGCTTAAGACCATACTTCCACATACTTACTACTTAATTCTCCATTCCTTTCTCTCAGATAGATTTTTCTCCGTTCGACATGGCCAAGGTCTATCCTCAATTCGATCAGTTTTAGCTGGTGTACCTCAGGGATCAATCCTAGCCCCACTACTGTACATCACATACACACACGACATTCCTCAAAGTATCCACACTCTTACAGCAACCTACGCAGACGACACTGCTATCATTACCAGGCACGACAATCCTACAGAGGCATCACTTAACTTACAACATCACTTACAAATTATACTCGATTGGTGTAAACTTTGGAAAACTAAAATAAATTATCAAAAGTCACAGCACATCACATTTACTCTAAGATCAGAAACATGCCCTCCTGTATACTTAGACAACATACCGATTCCACAAACAGACAGAGTACAATATCTAGGCCTTACGTTCGATAGGAGAATGACATGGGGTCCGCATGTGAAGAAAAAACGAATCACATTAAATCTAAGACTAAAATTGTTACATACACTGTTAAGACGACCTTCCAAATTAAAAGCAAGACAGAAACTAAGTATTTACACGTATCTTTTGAAACCTCTTTGGACTTACGGACTACAAATATACGGAATTGCAAAACCAACTCACATAAATAAACTTCAAACTTTTCAGTCTAAGATACTACGACTAATCACTCAAGCACCATGGTACGTAAACAATCACACTTTACACACCGACCTACACGTTCCGACAGTCAATGAACACATACGAACGTACTACAAACGATTTCATACCAAGTTAAACGGGCACTCTAACCAGCTGGTAAAAGAAATGGCCACAACTAGTATGCCCGAGAACTCCAGAAGACGACTGAAAAGGGTCTGGATGAGGGATCTGCTTAAATAATGTTAGTAAATAAAAGCCATGGAAGGGATACCGCTGGGTATTGCTATTCCTCATGCCTATCAAGCCTTTTTTATTTATTTATTTTTTATTTTATTTTATTTTTCTCTCATTACTAAGCCAGCACATCTGCTGATTGTCAATAATAATTGACAGGTGCGGATAAATAAATGTAAGTGCAAAAAAAAAAAAAAATAATGGTGTACTTGATTTATATACATATATATTTCATAATTAATGTTAAGGATTATTTATTAAAAATCCATAAATCCTTAATAATAAATAACTAACTTAACTTTGATGACATTAAGGTTAAGATTTTATTATTTTTTTATGGTTATGTGTGAACCATCAAATTATGTACCTTTCTGTAAGTTGTAATTCTTAAAACATATTTAATTTATTTTGAGATAAATTTGTTTACCATGTATTTAATAATAAAACATAACCTTTTTTTAGGTGTAATTCATGTGTATGATCTCAATTCTAAAAAACCGAGGAAAAAAACATCTTATGAAACATCATGCAGAATAACTTGTATTACCGTTTCCAAATTAATGAGGTATATTTTTTTCTATATGCTTTTATGAAACATCTTTTTTAACATGGGTTAATTTTAATTTGTTGTGTCAATGTGAGAAATTAAACGTACCATTTATTTTCAGCGAAGAAGACCGCCCCAAAAAGAAACAAAAAATTATTGATTACTCTAATCTGATAAAAAATGAAAATGTTGAACGAAAAATCAGGTTTCAAGATGAAGTACCACCAGCAGATTCTGCTAGCGATGTTATCTGCTTCCCAAAATCTCAGAAGTGGATTGTCGAAAGCATTAATCCTTAGTTATGTTTTTAACATACAATGATTCAATTATGTGAAGATCCTAATTTATTTTATATCTATACAGATTTTGTTTTAATTTTAATTGTTTCCAATGTACATAACAAATAAAGAAAAAATTATATTTTAAAATATATGATTATTTTTTAATACAGTATCTAGTTACTATGGTTCATCCCCTCAGAATTCAATGATAAATGTTTTCATATTTCCAATAACTCAGGATTTCTTATAGAATAACTGTATAGTTCTCTTTTTAATGTGAATCTAGGATATATTTAAGATGTTACAACTAACAAATAATTGCAAATAACTCAGTAAGATGGTTTAAAAGAATGATTTAAAAATTAGTAATTTTATAACACTAAATAGAATTAACATTTATCTGTTTCATAGACAAATAAAAACACAAAACATAATTTTCTGTATGAAAGGATAAAACCTCTTACTTAAAATTTATTTACAATATTTAAAAAAGCTTTATTAATCAATACCAGTCCTATAAAGTGCCACTTAGAGATGGCCATCGATAGTTGATATTATCGATATATCAATATTTTCCTTCCAATATTCGGTATTTACTATAATATCTACATAGTATCGACTATCGATATCTTCCCTTCGATATTTAATAGTAAAATAAAAATTAAAACTTATCGTTTTCGGAAAGCTCTAGGAATTATATATGATTCTGATCATTGGAAAAGAAATTAATCTCATCTCGCCTGTCTCATACAAAATGTAGTGCGTAGTAGAAGAAAATATTGATGTTTCAATAATACAGACTATGAATGGTCATTCATAAGTAGAGCTTAGCAGCGTGCGTGGGACCCTACTCACTCAGTAAACTCAATTTGCCAAAATTTATTAGTTAGAACCTTCTCAAACCAATGCCAAGAATAGTCAAAGAAATCTATATTGAATGCTAATCTATAGGTGAATGGAAATTTCAGGAAAAAAGCTGAGGATGGACTATAGTATATGGACTAAGATAGACAGGAACTAGAAAATTAATTTTTCTTAGGAGGATAGAACAATTGATATTTTCATTAATTAATTTAAAGAGGAAAATAAAATCTTTTTTGATGAGGCTATATGCTATAGAATCAATTTTTATATTTCAAAAATGTTAATAATATTATTGAAAATATCGACTATTGAAATTTTGAAGGCATTGATAGTTATAGGACGATATTAATATCGATATTGGGCCTTCAATATTCTATCCCTTGTGCTAATTGACCTAAGTGATAAAGATGAAGTCAATAGAGAATTCTCGACGATACACCTGTAGTTATGAGATGTGATTCTGTTTGTTACTACCATGCACCAATAGGATGGGCTGGATTGCCTCATCTTGCCCTCCTCCAGCTATCTAAATAAGCATACGTTGCCAGCGTATTTACTTTTTAGACATGGGTGTATGGTTTGCCATCTTGTTCTCTCATAGTCTTGAGGATTATTTATATTTTATCTCTGGAAAAGGATATTTGGCATAACACATCACACTGAAGGCAATTGATGTTAAAAGCTGTTTGATATAAAAATAAACCAAAGTAAGCCTTACAGGTTGAGAGAATGGCACAGAGACCGCTGAGATTATGTATTAGGTAGCAACTTCATGCAATTAAGCTAGATATTTTAGCCATTTATAAATAAATTTACATCTTGTTTGAGCTCATCAAATGTTTTTAAAAAAGAAAAAAGATTTACTTTACAACATTTAATAAACAATAAAAATAAATTTTTGAAAGATAATATTATCATTCAATAACCTAGACTAATTAACGAAAGTTTCACCTCCAGGTTACTTCGACATCGTCAGTTCGGAACCTAAAATGCATAAGATAAAAGTATGATTATCATGTCAAATAAAATGAAAGCAATCATAAAATTAATTCAAGGAAGGAAATATATTACGAGTAGGTTGATAAAAGTGATGAGTAACATTTTAGTTTAGAGTTCCGAGTTAACTATTGAATTTATGTGAATAGAGGGAGGATATATTAAATGCATATCATTTAACACTTTTATCCCCAACAATAATTTTTTTTTGTTCAAATATCATTTAAACCATTTATTTACTTGAACCGTAAATTATAACAACCCTTAGAAAATCCAAAGGTTCAATGCCAATACAAAAGTATATATTAAGTATTTTATGTTCAATAATCAGTAGTTGACCACATTATATTAAGGAAAGAGATGATCCGAGACAGCTGTAATAAAAAAAAAAACTTAGAGGAGTGGAAACTGTTGTATTAAGCTGACTTTTCGACTCAACTATGCACGACTTTATCAGGGCTAAAACGAACAAGATAGAAAGGCTATAGAAAATGGTAGGAATTACAAGATATTTAGATAAAAAATTATTAACAGATTTATTAAAAATATTAAAATAGAATTATTTGAAAGTTCATATCTGAATGTTCATAATAATTTTATTTACTTTGTTAATTATTTATTTAATTTTTTATTTCAATATCTTGTAATTCCTACAGTTCTCTATAGCCTTCTTATCTTGTCTGTTCAAGTTCTGATGAAGACCTGCATAATGAGGTCAACATGTTAGCTAAAAAATATAGTTTCCACTATTTTAAGATTTTTTTTTTTATTGCCACCCCAAACTATCTCTTTCCTCAAATTATTTCATAGTATGTATGTTTTCACAAAAAGAATGTTTTTACTGTTAAAAAAAATAAAATAAAATCATGGAAAAATAACGTAGCTAATCAAGATAAAAGTTAATTAGCTTTCAAAAGTTTTTAACTTGAATAAGATAAATGTTCATCACATAATAAGTAGATAATAGATTATTGCAAACAAAATTGAGATAATCAAGGTGATATTAGTATTTTCAATTAATTTAAATAAACTCATAATTATGTTAAACAGGTAATTTAAAAAAATTAAAATTATTTAACTAAATTTTTTTTTTATTCATAAATTATATTTATATAGTAGTTTTATTTGGTACCAGTAGATAATAGTAAACATTTACAATGGATTGGAAATTATAAGGTCCCTTAGTTAAAATTAAGTTATTAAAAAGATCATACCTTTGAGTTATTCGTGTATCTTCCCACTTTGTTTCTCCAGAGTGTAAATAAAGCAATGCACCAGCATGCGCTATCATTGCACCATTATCAATACAATACCTAAAAAAACAGTTCTTAACTTAAATACATTCTAGATATTTTATTAGTGAAAACAAAAGGTTCCTTATTGAGTGTTTTTTTTTAATTCATAAATTAATTAATCAAAGTAAATTGTAAAAGTCATTTGATGAACTATTAAAATACCGTTCATCAGTAGCATAGCATTTAGCATTCCTATCTTCAGCCATTGACGCTAACATTTCCTGGAGACGAACGTTACAGCCAACACCACCAACAACAAGCACTTCATTAGATCCACAATGTGCCATAGCTCTCTCTGAAATAAACCATATGTTACTTTTCTGCTAGCACTGTATACAAGTAAAGATTGTTTTATATACCTGTTGTTTCTACCAGCATAGCAAATATTGTCTCTTGTAATGAGAAACACAAATCTTCATCAGTATAACCATCCTTTTTAAGATTATCTAACCTTTCTTCTAGCCAAGATAAAATTCCAGAGAAAGAAACATCCATTCCCTTTACCACATAAGGCAAGGCACAAAATCTTTTTCCTCTAAAAATCAAGAGAAAATTTACATTACGCAATTAAATGCTAAGCACAAGTTTATCTGTGAAACTGACACATTTTCATAAATACTTTAAAAATATTTATTTGAACACATCTGAGAATGAAAATATTCTTTAAAAATAATTATAACACTTACTCACTTTTTAGCCATTTGTTCAATATTATAACCCGGACTAGGGTCATTTGAAAGGTTTATAAGACGAGCAAATCTATCAAGACAATTTCCCACAGCGATGTCAATTGTTTCACCAAATATTCTATATTTACCTCTAGCATAAGAAATCACTTGGGTGTTTCCTCCACTTACATATAATACAGTCGGATTGTCAGCTCCAGTTATTTGCCGCCCCATTTCAATATCTTGATTTATTGTTAAGGACATAAATACAGTGGTCTGATTACAATAAATTTAATTATTGCAAAGGCAATTGAACTTGTATAAATATTTTCATCTGCAAGAATTCAGTTTTTTTAAATAATCAATTAAAGAACTTAATTTTGCTAACTAGATTTTAACATAGGCTGATAGAATCTATCTAGGATTTTATGAAAGGGTTGTACATTTACGATAGCCTACTTATTTCTTGTGACTTAAAAGAGTCTGAGACATTCTCAAGACCAATTGAATCCGGATTCATCTATAAAAATAAGTTTTTGTAAAATTTATAAAATAAATTTTCTTATGACACAAATCTAATCTTTGATGGGATATATCATAAAAAGAGAACCTACGGGCTTGATCCCGCATGCATGTGGCTTTCGTGAGCTACCTGTAATTTTTGGACAGTCTTCATTAATTTACTGCTAGAATTGATTAATATTTAATTATTACAGAGGAAGGAGACGGTCCTTAGTAGCCGCCTTAATGTTAAAAAGGTTTCCCATCTATGACATATAATGTTCTTCTTATTCATCATTCTTTCTAACTATAAATCCATCATCATAAACTGTAATAAACAAAACTTAATTTTGATGAATTTTTTTTATTGTTACCTTTTTCATTGATTGGATTGGATCAGTTTTGATCTTAAAGTAATTTCACCAACACCACTTTCACTCATTTTAAATATTCTAATTTTAAAGCTTACAAGCACAACCACTCATTCAGAAAAGAATGTTCATCTCTGTAATAGCCGCACAACATAGCCTATTAGCACTACGGGATAAATTAGCTTTCTATAGATACCCATAAAAATTGCATTTAACACACTTTTCACAGCTGCCATAGATGTATATTTAGGATTTTATTATTCTTCACACAATATGATAGTTAAAAACACCACAATATTTTATATATTAAACCATATTGCACACTTATGAGTGTGATTTCAATTTTGTCTCAATGTAATTAGTAATTAGGATATTAATCTATGCAAAGGATACGAGCAATACAATGATTTACTCCAATAATAGGTTTTTTCCACAATTTGGAAATAGCACGGGCTACTACTGCAACACTAAGCAAAGGTGGTGCCATACCAGGTCCTTTAGTAAAACAAACAATGTCAATATCTTTAGGAGTCAGCTTTGCTACATCTAATGATTCTTTGAGAAGAGTCAATATATGTGCTCGGTGGTGCTCTGCAGTTTCTCTGGGTAAAAATCCTAAATTACAAACAAACAAAAATCATTAAAAACAAAATAAAATGCAACAATATTTATATGCTGAGGCCCGGTATTACCTTCTCCTGGAGGAGTAATGTAAGTTCGACGACAATTTGACAGTACTTCCCCATCTTTCACAATACCTATACCCAGTTTATTGGCACTACCTTCAAACCCTATAGCTATAACCATTTTTTATATCTATATCCTCAAAACAAACTAGATAAAAATTAATGCTCATAAAAATTATCTGTTATCTTAAATTCATAGTAACCGCCTTTCTTCTAAAACCTTATTCTACTCTCGGTCAATGATAACCACTAATCGATTTTTAGTTTTCAAACTTTAGATCGACTTATTTGCAACGATCTGACTACCAACTTAGTAGGCAAAAGGTGGTCTGCATTCTTAGTCCGTGGTAGAGATCCCTTTTTATCGAATTAATAACATCCGCCTGAAACTTCGTAAATAGTTTCATCTCATCTTAACCTATAACTATTTTATTTACGAAAACTCTTGGAATTGGGGCGTTTTCAATCTGGGGCAAATTTTGTCTATTTCACTTCTTTTTTTTTTTGTTTATTGAAAATATTACAATCTGTCTCAAAGGACATTTATTATAGTGTTCAGAGATCACATTCACACTCTATGTACAATAATAATAATATATATACAATAAATAAGTAGAAAATAATCTAGAAAATAAATAAATAAAAAGAACACAAACATACCTGTATACACTGTCTATTTAATTAGGTACTAAAAACTCGTAAATATCCATTTGCTATCTACTTGGATCGTAAGATAAATTGATCAAAAAATCAATAAGAAAGATAACCTACAAAAATATTGAGCCATTTTTCCTATATAACCTCGTTATTTTGAAAGTTTGGGGGTGTAGGTCACGCACAGTCGTTCAATATTTTTAAAGCTACCTGTTTTCTCAACTTTGTGATCAAATTATCTTACGATCCAAGTAGAAAGCAAATGGGTATTTACGAGTTTTTAGTACCTAATTAAATAGACAAAGTTTGTCCCCATCCAGATTGAAAACGTCCCAATTTCAAGAGCTTTGGTAAATAAAGTAGTTGTAGGTTACGATGAGATGAAACTATTTACGAAGTTTCAGACGGATGTTAATAATTTGATAAAAAGGGGTCTGTACCACGGACTATCTAGAGAAATATAGGTCCGCTTGGCGTGACCTCCAACCCACAAATGCACTATATACGTTATTATTATTAATCTATGCAAAGGATACGAGCAATACAATGATTTACTCCAATAATAGGTTTTTTCCACAATTTGGAAATAGCACGGGCTACTACTGCAACACTAAGCAAAGGTGGTGCCATACCAGGTCCTTTAGTAAAACAAACAAATCGTTTGTCGTTAATAATAATAACGACACTATATACGCAAAACAGCCAAATAGTTTTAAAGGCCACCTTTTTTTTCGATTTTGTGATCATATTATCTTAAGATTAAGTGGAAAGCAAATGGGTATTCATGAGTTTTCACTACCTAATTAAATAGACAAAGTTTGCCGATTTCCATATTGAAAACGCCCCAATTCCGAGAATTTTCCGAAATCAAATATTTATACATAGGTTAAGATGAGATGAAGCTATTCGAAAAATTTTAGGCGGATGTTAATAATTTGGTAAAAAGAGATCCGTGCCATGGACTAATAATTATTTTTTTCTCGGTCGATTACAATTATTATTATTATTCAAAATAATAAATCAAACCATGAATGCAAATTTAATTAATTATATGTATGTATTTATTATGTATTATAAAAAATAAATATTATGTATAATAAAGAAATGTATAATATTTATGATATTATAAAAACGGATGTGGTGAATCCCACATCAAGGTTTGAAGATAAAGTTAAAATAAAATGTCCATAAAAAACTGCAGGATTTTATATTTCCACTTTACTGGGTATCAATTCAAATAATTCTTTCTTGGTTACAATGGTAGTTGATTTTTTTTCTCGTTATGATTGAATTATAATTTTTCTTGGCAATTAATAACTCAAGATTTATAAAATTTTGTTTTCAAAATACTGTAGAATGAGTTCGAATTCGTTTGTAACGAGACCGTAACGGAATGAAAGAACAGAAGTTTCGCGTTACGACTATATCCACCGTTCACTCTATGGAGGGGAGAGTGGCTTTCGAACTGAAGCTCTCTATATGGATTTTGTTTTTGGTTGGTTCATATTTCTTTCGGTACGCAACTAAATAGATAAAACAATCACAATTTGTCCTTTTTTAAAAGTGTAAATATAAAGCTACTAATTGTAAGCCCCTCATATGAAGAAAAATATATTTCAAAAATGATCCTTAAAAGCATTATTGTTCTTTTGTAATTAACGTGTCTTTTTAACAAATCTTTTAGGACACCTTAAATAGGGGTGCCCAGAAGATTAATGAGGAGGGCACATTGTGATGGGATGAATTTTCAAAATGAGATGTTTCAAATAAAAAAACAAGTGGAAGTATGGATGTGTAATTGTATAAATTCTGTGAATATTTAAGTCCTACTTTCGTTTGCACTGTTTTTAAGAAGCAGAGAGCAATAAAATGTCTTGAATGGGGTGAAAGAAGGATTATGCGCCATCGGCCTTGGGGAGGATGGGCACCCCTGACCTTAAATATAATTTTGTACAGTTCTTGTTTGATATGTACTACCCTTCGTTATATATGTAATGACGCTTATAAAACATTGTCCCATTTTTTCATGAAAAGACTCCGTGGTTCTGTCTAATGTAAGTGAATATTGGATAAGTCCCTAAAATAAGTGCTAATTACATCTATACATTTCATCAACTGATTGAATCAAGTAGCGATGGGCACGGGCGGATCTACGGGGAGGGGGCTTTCGGGCTGAAGCCCCCCCCCCCCAAAATGGTAAAATATAACCACGTTTTATCGAAAAAAATATAAAAAAAGTATCTCTTAAAGTATTATTTTTCGTGTGATTAATATTAAAATGGCTTTAGGAATCACTTAAACACCATTTCATACAGGTTGTTAGTTTCTTTCTTTTTTTCTAAAGCAATTATCGTTATTTTTATGAAAAAAAAGCTTTCGGGTTGAAGCCCCCCCCAAAATTAAATCCTGGATCCGCTAGGGGCGATGGGTAACATTTATACTGACTTTAGGAACGACCTATTGGATGTTAGCGAACAGTCAACACTTCTAGAATGTTAGAAAACATGACATAAAAAATTAATTAAAATAACTACCTACTGAATTTTCAAAGAGGAATAAATATAGACAGAAAGTAAACTGAATATTCCTATGTGAAATTAATTGAGAAAAAAAAAATAATAAACTTGCTCCAGCCCCACTTGGGTTTTTTGGGTAGCAGTAGGGGAACCCCACACCAGAGGATTTTTTTGTCTTTTAGGGGCCTTAAAAATAAATTCACCGAGAGGCCCAAATGATCTGGTTACGACACTACATTTAACTTTTGATTTTCTTGTCCTTGGCTGTAATATAACAAGGATCCTCGATAAAAATTTATCATGAACTTGATAAGATGTATCACAGCAGAAGATAATAATTTCAAAATATTTAAATTAATATTCAATTCTAAGAGGAACTGAAGAACAGGAGTGTAGTATGAAGTTTTGTAATTAACGTCCGAATTAGATTTAATAAAAAAAATTGAGTTTTACGAAATAATTTATCTGCATTTAAACACATTTTAACTAATAAGAGAAACTCGCCTGAGATCACCTATTTCAATCATTTTTTGTTGTTGTGCTAGATCGAAAATATTAAACACAAGGATTCTTGCCAACGCACCCTTGCAGACAAGAAAAAAAATATTTTACATAATTTCAGCAAATTTTTAATATTATTATTTCTTTCATTGATTTACACGAGGTTCAATGTTATTATATATGAATTGATTTGCGATTTTTTATTTTTCTGTAAAATAAAAAAAAAATATTCGCGATTGTATTAAAGAAATTCATATGTATAAAAAGAAATTTTTGTGTAAATGAAGAATTCAGATTTGTTTCTAGTGTCCTTTAAACCCTTAAACGTCAATTTTTCTGGAGTTTTTCCCCTTTTGCCGTTCATATAAACAGTCATAAATTCTCATTTTTTTCTGCAGAGTCAACTTTAACAAAACCGTTTAAAAGCTCAATTAATGATATTTCAACTTGTATTATTAACTTTTAAATTGTATTTCTATATCAGGAAATTTTTTTTTTTAAATCTCTTCTGACGTTTTAATTGTATATCTCCGGTCACCGGCTTTGTGCCATTTCGCGTAGCTAATAATTAAAATCCATGCTTTGTTTCACGTCGATTGGTGTAGTCGTTTTCGCCCGAGGTATGTGAAAATTTGGAGTAAGTTCATTTTCAACAGAAGATATCTATACTACAATAATCAGAAGAGAGTGATGTAAATAACATAATATGTAAAGAAATGACAGAGCTCTTATGGAACGATTGCTGATATAGCTACCTACATTACATCGATAACCTATTGACTTATTTATCAAAAGAAATGAAATATCGTAGAAAAAAAACATTTATTGGTATTTTTAAAAAATATCTCTATATGGCAAACGTATAGGATTGGAATGGGAATCTTAGACCAAACAGAAAAAAATGTGGTGCGCGCCACACACAACTTTCATTTACCGCTCTACTTTACCGCAATAAGGACAGTTATAAAATTTTTGAAGTGCATTTTAAACGGAGCTAAAGATTAAAGCTTGCAGATAACAAACCATTAAGACCACTAAAATAACAAAAACTCTATTTATTATATCGACGGTAAACAATAAAAACCTAGTTACTCCATTTGTTTCCGTAAACCACGTAACTTCAGTCTCTGAGCTATGTGTACCTTTCAGACGACAGAGTGACTCTAATTTCAAAATTTTTCAGCAAAATCATTTTAGTGATATTTCTTGTTGGAGAAGTTATATGTATGCAGACAGTGAGTAAGTTGATTCCAGAGTAGGTGATTGCAGTGTTGAAATATAGAACTGTTAATAAAGGTGTAAATTTCTTACTAGAAACATCACTAAAATCAATAATAAAGTATTATTATAAAATTGGAGTCAGTCATTCTATCAACTGAAAGGCTCATGTATGATTATGGATGCCTATAAATGATTATAAGTTATCAAACTGCTATTTTACAGTGTAAAGTTTACTAAAATAAAATTAGGAAATTTTCATTGTCTAGCATTGATAGGTCAAAAGCATTAGCGGATCCAGGATTAAATTTGGGGGAGTGGGCTTCAGCCCGAAAGATTTTTTTTTCAAATACATAACGATAATTAATTTTAAAAAAATAAAGAAAGAAATTAACCACCTGTACGAAATGGTGTTTGAGTGATTCTTGAAGTCCTATTAAATGTAATTACACGGACTATAACCCTTTAAGCGATACTTTTTAATATTTTTTCATATAAAACATGATTATATTTTACCATTTGGGGAGGGGAAAATCGGTATATCTTGAACTGATGCATGTCTCCTGCGTCCGATAGGAACTTAGGACCAATATCGTCTAGTAAGACATTTAAGAGATATCATTCTCAGCAGGTAACGTGTTAAATATTGTTAGTTTTCAGAAATTATTATTTATATATTTTTTCATCACTCTCCGTTACCTTCTACAACTACATTTATTTTATTTTTATTTTTTCTAAAATCTCCGTTTTCCAAAGATATATCATACCTATACCTTCTGACTATTATTTCCGGAGATTCATTTTCGACCTGGATAAGTATTTTTCTTTTTTCTCTAGTTTCCAATTATGATATTATTTCAGATTTCATATTTAGGCACTTTTTATAGTTACTGTCAATAAAATAGAGTTATTTTTTTTAATTTACCACATTAAAGGTACTTTAGAGGAAGACGTATATCAACATTGGGCATTTAAGCACTATAAAGTGTCATCAATGGGGATAAGACCTAAATGGTATTAAAGACAACTTAATTATATAATGATACACAGAGTTTAATAAAAATCGTTCGAGCCGTTTTTTAGAAAAACGTAAAAATGTGTTTCACCGTTGATATAAAGTGGCACTTCCGGTTAGCCAGTTTTAAAGAAAAAGTTGCTGTCACATCTAAGGCATATGTCTATCTTAAATACTTAATATCAGTTTCGTATGTCTTTTAGTTTATGAGCTAGACTGATCACAAACACACAGACCATTTTGCGAGACTTGGTTATTTGGAGTCGGGAAATCTCAAAACGTAATTAGTAGTAATTCAGGAATATTAAGCAACTAGCTGAGCTGGTAAATTCCCATAGATTTTGGAAAAAAATGAAACCACTCCTGTTAGGCAGCAATTATACAAGACTTGCTCTTTTAAATCTTTCTATCCCTTTATCTCCTTTCCATCCCGGATTCCTTACCAGTTTCCAGGATTTAATTTTGGGGAGGCTTTAGCCCGAAACCTTTTTTTTTTTTCATATATATAACGATAATTATATATGAAATATAATTTATAATTATATATAATAACTATAATTATGTATAACTACCAATAAGAAATGGCGTTTAAGTGATTTTTGAAGTCTTATTAAATGTAATTACACGAACAATAGTACTTTAATTAAAAATTGTTTAATATTTTTTTCCATAAAAGATGGTTACATTTTATCATTTGAGGGGAGGGGGAGGAGGAGGGCTTCAGCCCGAAAGCCCTCCACTCTTCCCATCGTGGATCCACCTGTGTTCCTTACTAATGTTTTTCCTCTCCTCAGTCAAACTAATTTTGCTATTCCAGATCGCAAGTTTCCAATTGGTCAGTTTTCCCTTCCTAAATAGAAGAAGCGGCCTTCAGTGACTGTGAACAAGCATTGACATTATACACTGATGGCTCCAAGCAAGGATTTGGAGTTGGTTCAGCTTTGTATGATCCATTAGAAGATACGTCAGAGTCCTTAAAGCTACCGGGAGTAGCTTCCATATTTATCACCGAGGCTATAGCAATACTCGAGGCTCTAATGTATGCCCTATCTGCAGAACCTTCTTATTTTCTCTGATTACCAAAATGTGGTTGTCTCTATCAAGAATGTTCACAGTTCCTCTCATGCTATTATATCTGAAATAATTAATTTACTATGGCAGTTAGATAATAGGAGCATAAATGCACATATAATTTGGATAAAAGGGCATAGTGGTGATGTATTTAACGATAAGGATGACAAGCTTGCTAGAGAAGCTGCTTTTACCGGTAATCGTCGACAGTATGCATCAGCAAGAGATACTAAGACTCACTTAAATAGATACTGGAAACAGAAATGTCAAAAGATTACTATACCAGCGTGAAAGAGCGTTATTATAAAGCTGTTCAATTCAGGGGTGCCCATCTCCTCCAAGGTCAATGGCGCAAGAACCTACGCCCCTCCCCCTTCTCCCAAGATATTTTATTCCTCAAGTTTCTTAAAAACAGAGCAAGCTAAGGTAGAATTAGGAAAATCGTAGATCATATATAAATACACCTGCTGCGGTCAGTTCCATGTCCGAAAATTCATAACCCCGTCGAAAATTGTCCCCAACCTCAAAAATTAAAAACCCGTCAAAATATGCCGCCCTCAAAAATTTTGATGGCGCAACTTGCGCCGTGAAACTACCTTCTGGACACCCCTGCTCCAACCTCAAATCCCACGATTCCCTTTGTTCCGACCCTATAAAGCTTCCAGAAAATTCCTAACTTCCATATCAAGCCTTCGCCTCAACCACAATAGCCTACCATCGCATCTCTTTAAAATAAAAATCTTGGACTTGCTCCTGCGACCATTCCTCAATAGCCGACGAAACCATGTTCTCCTTTCCTGTCCAAATAAATCCACAGACCGTGATTCTTACTACAATTTTCCCATCAACGATTCCTACTATCCTAACACTAATTCATAGATTAAAAATTATTTAAGCCTTATATAACATTATCACTTCTAATAACATAAACTGTTAAGCATATGCATTGATTGATATGAAATATGAATTACAATATTGGCTAATATGCCCATGCATAAAGCCACAAAAAAAAAACAAAAAAAAAACCCAGAGTTACAACTAGCGGATGGACCCATAGACCCTAATAGGAAACCACTAAGCCATCGGTGAGGAACGAACCACACTGAATTGCAACTATGGCTTACATCATTGAGTTTAGGAGCTTACTCTAACAGATGAAACTGCTGTGCCATCGGTGAAAAACGATTGCGCTTAATTCCATCGATGAGTAAAGGAACAACAGCCATAAATGAGCAATGACATCTCCCCTCTAAAAAATTTAATTTATTTCTTAAGCTATTTTATATTATGTAATATTTCAATTTTATTTCATTCAATAATTCTCTATTAAAGTTGCTTTATTGATAGGCTAAAATAGAAAAAGTATATGGTAGAAACGCTGGATCTCAGCCCCGATCCTAGAGACTAGTCCTGTATAACACGGATTTATGTCTTCTTTTCGCCATGTTATATTATATTTCGCACTACAAACAATTTTGTGATGAATGGGTATATTGGCTAATATGCCATGCATAAAGCAACAAAAACAAAAAAAATTTTGAGACTAGACAAAGAAAATGAATTTAAATAATTTAATTGAATGAAAGTTAAACTTTCATCGTTAGGCAAAACTTTCTTGATGCATGAGATAAGATTGGGATTAAAACCCTCACGATTTTTTTTAAATTATAGTATCTTAGATAAGCCGACTCCAGGCATATTTCTGCTATTGCCTTTATTAGTTCTGTGATTCACAGGACAGTATCAGTCTTGTGAATCACAGAATTATTTCAAGGTCTCTCGGAATAAAGACCCCTATGTTGAATTAAGATTAAAAGCCCTTTTAAGTTGTTTATTTATGATTGTGAATTACTGTTACTGAAACTCATTTTTGGATTCAATTTACGATATATAAAAATTATAAATGTATAATAAGATTTTATATTATTTACTAAAATGTTATTGTTATTTCATGGCATAAATTATAAATAACTAATATGATTGGATCTAATAATTTATGACCGAATTTTTATAGATTTATTTTTAGTCAACAAGGACTAACAATAGCACTTTTTCTGTTTTAGCAATAGAGTGCCAAAGCGATATTTTAGAAATTTAATTTGTAATGAAAGTAAATTATTAAAATTTATATATATTCTTGTTTTAGAAACTAAACAACTCAGAAAAAATCATGAACCATATTAATTAACTTCAATATTGGACACACTTCAACAATTATTGAAGTTCTTGTTTATTTTTAATTAAACGATTTTTTTTAAACAGTGGTTATCATAAAAATAGTAAATGAGATTTTAAAGAAAACATTCATTTGCCGAACAGGGTCGAGTTTTCACGACGTTTGCCGAGTTGATGTACGGTGTTGACAAAATCTCAGTTTCTCGTAGTCGCTGTGTTCGTTCATTCTTAAGCTGTTCATCATGATTCCAAAGTTGATAGTGTGCTTTTTGAGTTTAATTGTTTTTGTATCTTCCGAACCAATCAGGTTTGTCTTATTTATAAATTTATATTTTTTTATTTTAAGATTTAAGCATTTTATATCTAAACCTTCAAAATCTAAATTAATTCAAGTTAATACTAAAGATACTAATATAGATTATTAGATAGATAACATAGATGATGGTTCTTGTTTGAATTTATTTATATTTAAATATTTATAAATAAAGATTTTCATTTCAAAAGTTACTAAAAGTCGTTAAGACTATGTATGAAGTTAAATTAAAAGTCTAATAACGACTTTTAGTAACTATTGAAATAAAAATCTTCCTATCGTTATTTTAGTTGGGACGATTTCATGAAGTATTTACAAAACGAATTACGTTATTTTTATATTTTGACTTCAATAAGTATCTTGGCTTTAAGTATCTTCTCTGACAATATTTCGATCTTCTGATCCACTAGCGGATCCAGGATTTATTTTTTTTTTTGGGGGGGGGCTTCAGTCCAGAAGCTTTTTTTTTTCATATATATAACGATGATTACATTGGAAAAACAGAACGATACTAACTACCTATATGAAATGGTGCTTAAGTGATTTTTGAAGCCCTATTAAATTAATTAAACGAGCAATAATGCTTAAAAAAGACATAATTTTTTATGTTTTTTTACCATAAAACATGGTTACATTTTACCATTTTGGGAGGGGCTTCAGCCCGAAAGCTCTCCCCCCCCTTAAATCCGCATGTGTTCTGATCCAATTTACAAACAGAAATAGAAATTTGATCTGAGGTAGAAGGAAGCAGGATTTTTTTCAGGGAGGGGGGCAAACGTAATTTTACTGTCTCTTCTATTGCTCATTTCTCTCTCTTAATAAAAAGTCAATAGTATTTAAGTAATATGCTTCAAAATACATTTCATCTCTGGACTATAATTTATTTTATTGGCTGAATTAAGATAAAAACAATGATATCGAAAAAGAAATTAGTTTTTACTTAATCCGAATCTGGACCAGTTTCTAAACTTATTGATGAGCATCAGAAATCCATCAGGTAGTTCCTAAACTCATCTGTGTGACAGTTGGCGAGTTCCTAAACTGAGCTCCGAGATCGTAGGAGAGGATCGGAAATCCATCAATGGATCAGCGTTGAGTTAAAGAACTTCTTAATTTTCCTTGGAAATATGCCATCCAAAAATTTTCCGGATTACAAAAAAGTTTTGAGCAAGTGCACCTTTTTCTCTATCTACGGCTCTGGAGTAATTTATATTGGGAAGAAAAAAAATGTAAAAAAAAAAAATCTTCAGGGACAGTTTAAATAGTTTTTAGCTCGGTAATAATTGAATTATCAAAAATACATTTACGTTACTTATATGATGCAGGTATTTATTCAGCCAACTGATGACCTAATTGTGGAACATGCATGTAGACCTGAAGAACAAATCCTTGAGATAAAGTTTAGATTTCTTCGAGATAATTTCCTTTTCTGTATGAGAAATGGACGTCCGACGAGAAAAATTTTAATCTTGAGGTAGAAATAAAGCGAATGAAAATTTGTATAGGTTTCATTCAAGCTAACCGGTGTGAGTTTGATGAACCGAAAATGATTAGATATGATGTCCCTGGCCACTCATGAATAAGGAAGCAATACAAATTTGTATGAGGGATTATAGGAGATAAATAATTTATTCTTTAAAATAATGAATTCACTAAAACCAGAGTTTTGAAGAAGAACAAAACGGATTAAATTGAAATTTTTATATTTCTTGGTTATGTGTTAAGTTGTTTTCTCAAATATTAAAAAAAATAAAATCTGCACCACTATTATTTCTGTCTTGGATTCATTATCTTGTAAGGATGTACTGTAAGGCCACCAGTCTGCAGGAAGGTGATTAGGCCGAGCAGGAGTCGGAGATATTTTGTTACTCTCCTCTTCTTAAACAGTGCTAGCGAAACTAGAATTTCAAAAACTGTAGATCGTATACAAACACACTTGTTGTAGTACGTTCAATCTTTTCATATTGTCCCTGTTTTGAAACTTTCCATTCCGAAAATTCTTAACCCCATAGAAATGTGGCCCCCTCAAAAATTCAAAGCCTCGTCCAAATATGCCTCCCTCAAAACTTTTGATGGTGCGACTTGCGCCGTGAAACCCTCTTCTGGGCACCTCTGAGGCCGAGATCAAGGAAGCTCAACCGCCAGGTTTTCCCTTCTGATTAATTATTTAATCGAAAGTACCCATTTTGTAGAGGCTGGTTGTGCCCAAGGATGGTCTCCCGACCTCAGTCGATCCACGGCTGATGTAGCGGAATAAATATAAACGGAATAACCTGTCATCAACCGGATTCGAACCCAGGATTTGAGCATAGAAAATCATTGATCTAAATTGGAGAAATCTGTTATGACGAAATCGTATTGGGCTGCCAGGAGCCATTTATGGGTTTAGATATGTAAAAAAAGCAAAATTGCTTACACTGAGTAAAAATTAAAAGGGAAAATTTTTACAAAACAAAAATCCGGATTTTTTCCCGCACTTTGTTTGTTTTTTTCATTGCACCGAAGCGAAAAACTCATTCTTTATGATTTTAAAGAACTTTAAATTTTGTCTTGAACTTTAACTTTTGAACGAGTACCTAAACTTAATGATTTTGTTGAGTGGAATAGTCCGTAACTACGTTCAGCGAATGCTAATTTTTACCAAATTTGTCAAAAATTGAGATCAATTACTATAAATGGCCCTGAAGGTTGAAAATGAGTCCCCTAAGAGAAAAACTCATAGATTAAATTCCAATTCCGATCATATCGGAGACTAAATAATTAGTACCTTCCTTCACAAAAAAGTTTCCAACAGCAGCTCCGCCCTTATATTCCTATTTTCTTAAAACAGCTACTTTTTGGAACTAATTTTCGAAATTTTTTTCTACCATCTAGGGAAGGATGGGCGCTGGATTCACTGGTGCTGGTCACGATAATAATTGTTTTTTATATCACATTAGAAATTTCGTCTTTGAGGATGAGTTCTCCCTATATTTCTCTTTTAGGGGTGGTTAGGGCTGCTATTTACAACTTTTTTTCGGAATTTTTTTCTCAACATCCTGGGAAGAGGGGAGCGCTTATTTTTTATATCACATTAAAAAAATCGTCTTTGAGGATGAATTCTTTCTATATTTCTCTTTTTTTTTCAAATAGCTGCTTAATGAAACTTTGTTTCGGATTTTTTTTACTATCCATGGGAGGGAAGTGACGTTCTCCCTCCCCTCGGTGGATTCGCTAGGGTTTGGCTCAGACAAAATTGAAATTATATGAATAATCAAAAATCTTCTGTTTTTCTTAGTATAACTTTTCTCTGTTAATTTTCAAAATGGTTAGATGTCGTACAGTGCATTAGGGTCTGGCAATTGCTTGGGGCGCCACTTGTAGGGTTTTCGTTTATGGTGCTGTTCATGAGGGACGTTTTTAATGAATTATCATTATTATGAATTAAAAAAAATTACAAAGCGTATGAGAATAATTAAGTTTAGCCTATTAATGAAGAAACTGAATTAGAGACAGATTGTATAAAATACAATTCATGTATTATTTTATATAAAAAAGCTTATGAAATAAATTAAATTTTTTGAATTTAATAACGTCATTGCCCTGAGGCACTGAATTTCTGTCACTGATGTTATTCCGAAACCATTTATGAATCTGGCATCAACTGTATATTCTAGGTTGAATAATTTGTGAACATTAGAAAATTATTTTAATTTGATATAATTTATGGTTGTGAAAGTAGACACTCCGCAAACTGAGCTTTTGGACCTGTTTCTCATTGGATTGTAATAGGCAGGGCATGCAATATTAGCTTATATTTTTTTTTCATAAATTAATTGTAATTTATATTCTTATGTTATTTATTAGGTGAAGGATGATTTGGGAGAGGGGAGGCTGGATTTAGTACTGATATGACTTGGTGCTTATTCTAAGAAATGTTCACAATTGTTCTATTCTGAAATAGTTGCAATTATTATTTTAAAAACAAAAAAAAAAAAAAAAAAAAACTACCACTACAACCCATGAAGGGTCTTGGGTTCAGTACTATTTTGGAAAGTACTGTTTCAAGGCCAACGGTTGTGCAGGGAGTGGATCGGGCCAGGATCCAACCTCAACCGCTAGGTTTTCCCCCTTAATCAATTATTTAATTAAGAGTACCCAATTTGTAGAGGCTGGGTGTGCCCCAGGAGGGGAAAAAAATAATTTTTCTGCCATGAGCCGGGGTTCGAACCTGGGACCTTGACTAGACCACAAGCTTAGTGCCCTACCACTGAGCTACCCTGCTCCCTTTTAATAACTCTAATTTTTACTAAATTCCTTTTACTTTTTTTTTTTTTGTTCTTTTTTTCCTGCTTGCTTGTATCTGGCATGTAATCGTTTTGGTGAATACATCAACTGTTTGAATTCAACTATATTTATAATCATTATTTTTTGGGGAATAAGACTAACAAGTGTTACTGCATTCTTAATGCTCACCTAAATGTATGCATTAAAACTGTGTGAACACTAGTGGAAGTGTCTTACCAAGTGCAGAGGTCTCCCTGAAGGGGGTAGTATGGCACAAGTTACATCATCAAATTGTTGACACATTTTTAAGGTGTTTTGAATTTTTGAGGGGGTTACATTTTGATGGGATAATGGAGTTTTAGAGGGAACTTTATTTTTGTGTAAGTTAAATTTACAGTAAATGCAATTGTATATGAGAGCTACAATTTTTCTAATTTTATTTTTGATTGCATTGTTTTTAAGAAGACGAGAGAAATAAAAATTCTTGAGGCATATATCATTGACCTGTTTTTACCCCTGATCAAGTATACTAGAAAACAACTGATTCCTCTGTCTATAAACTGACCTTTGAGTTTCAAGAGAATGACAACTAATAGTCAATAATTGTTAACCTCACCTATTTTTTTTTTCTAATTTTCCAATAGTAAAGGCTAGTTTTTATTTATCCTTTCTCTGGACCAAATAAACTTTTAGGAAGTCCTGTTGGATGTTACTATGATATTTAGTTTTATCATAATTACTATGTCATCTGCATATATTTTAATTTATCCTGTTGTATTTATCACAGTGCCTCTTAATTAATGTTTAAGAATTTTTTTCTAGTATATCTTTGAACAGACTCCGCAGTCCATTAAAATTTTTATTGGCTAACCATGAAGAACCTCGCTATAAGAAGATCATTCAGCACCTGGAAGACCTTAAAGATGCACCTCATACTGTTCCATTATTTAAATTTCTTGACGTAAGTTTTGACTTAGTTATTGTTTATATCCAATATGCTTTAGTAAACAATAATTTTTCTCATAGAGACTGTTAAAATGTAATATATAACTTACTCGTAATAGTATTCAGAAAGGTACATGTTCCCATAGATTTGAGACTTGTTAGGTGTGATGTTATGGTTTTGTTCATTGAAAGGAGGTATTTAGCCAACGAATGTTAGTGGTATTGACATCCAACCTTCAAGTTCATTAAGCATTGTTATCATTAAATTTTTTTATACAAATAAAACAAAGGAGCTATTTATATTTTATGAATGTTCCAATTAATTTATTTGCAAGTGATAAAAGGATTGAACTGTTATTACTGATCTTGTTGTTATATTTCCAGTAATCTGTAAGCTCAAGCTTTTAGAGAGGAAAATTTATGAAGTTATTAATAAAACGGATCGAATATTGAACTGACAAAAAAAAACAACGTGCCTTAAAAAATAATCAGAGCTTTACAATATTTACCAGATATTAACATTTGATGATTTTTAAAGTTTAAATTGATTATTTAAAAAATAAAAAAGTTGATAAAATTGTTTACAATTATGTCAATAATTATAGAAATGGCTAGATGATAGTGAAGATCAACGGTTTTTGCAAGTAAAATTGATTTATACGTACATGTTTCAGAGTTTTTTTTTTCTTTTTTTAGTTTTATTCAAAATAATGTTTATTTATATAAAATTAATTTATTTTTAAACAATTTTTTATTAATATTCATCAAAAAGAATACTACAATTTTTTTCAGCTTTCTTATTGTTAAGAATTTATAGTTTGTCAATACATACTTGATTTAATTTTAATTTTAAAATAATTAAATTTTACCTTTACAATGTATTTTTTCAGTATGAGTTCTATGGTGATGTTTTGATTGGACATCCAGGACAACGGTTCAAGGTTGTTTTTGATACTTCATGGGGCGATCTTTGGGTTCCATCTATACTCTGTCCAGTTTTAGATATCGCTTGTAGTAAGCACATATTTTATGTTAATATAATTTCAAAAACATTTAATAAAATTGTCATATATTAATAATTTGAGTATTATTATTGAAGTTTATTATTTTGATACCTATTGGTACATTTGATTTACTTATTGAAAAATTGATAGTTCTAGAGACATATGGAAAGTAAAGAATTTTTAACTAGTATATCTCTTGTATCTTTTATTGGGGTCTAGCAGCCAGGAATACTGACTTGCTGTGCTGAACCAATGGTGGCACTTTTGCACTAGTGTAATCTCATTAGAGCTAGGCAAAAAGTACTCTAAGTAAAAAGTACAAATTAAAAAGTATTTTACTCAACTCAAATATTCATATGCTATAAGTATCGAGTACTTTAATCACTACTCGACTTGAAGATTGATGAGTGTAATAATTACTCTAGTGTACTAACTAATCTGTTCTTGTGAGTACTTTCCATTTTCACATTTACTCAAAATTATTTTACTTTGAGTACTTATCAAAGTAATTGAGTACTTCAATCGACAAATTACAGGAGCAGAATATTTTCAATTACTTCAATATTTATGTCCATTCTTATGTTATGGGGGTTATAGTTTTTAAAAATACTATCAGTATTAACATAAATCAATAAATTATCGACTTATTAAAATATTTCAGATTTATTCCATATTAGGGTCCACTAATATGTTGTTGGAGACGCTTTTAATGAAAATACTGTTGGATTTGAGAATGCACAACCGTGCATCATGATGTTGTAACTGTTTGGATTTGATTGAGTTTAGGGTCCACCATTAAGTTGTCAGGGAAGCTTTTTAAGAATTTATTGCCAGATTTGAGAATGCTCAATCATTCATCAAGTTTTTGTAATTTTTCAGTTTTAATCAGTATTAGGGTCCATTATTATGTTGCCCATTATTATGGTGCTTTTAATGAAAATATTGCCGGATTTGAGAATGCGAAGGAATAGAAATGGAAACCATCTATAAAACTAGGAATAGATTATATAATCACAATAATGATGTAAATAAAAAGTACCCAAAAGAATTTGGCTGAGTATTTTCTGTAATCGGATATAACACCGCAAGTACTTTCCGAGTTTGAACCGAGTACAGAAACTACATCGTACTTTTTCTTAATAAATGTACTCAAAATCATGAAAGTAATTGAGTACCACCCATCTCTAAATCTCATTAACCTGTACTTTGGTCGTCTGAACCAAAATGTAGATTAATGATTCCTCAACACTACACAATCCGACCACACAAAAAAATAAAAGTTTTTTTCATTTATTGTTACCTGTATATCCATCAGTAGTTCAACTGGTCCATTGCTGAGTTGGCAAAAATATTTAATGTTGGAGATTTTAAGAGTCATCGTTTTTTCTGTTCCTCCAGTCCTTTTCCTTGACCTCCTAGCCATATTTTGAATGGTTTTCTTGACAATCAGCTGATTTGTCTAATACCAAATGGTCTCCTCAAGGCTCAATGATAAATGCTTTGTGAATAACAGATTGTAATAATGCATTTATAGTTATCTGAATTTAAAGGATAAAAATTTAAAAAAAATTTAACATCAGAAAAAAAAGAATGGGTAGTTTAAAGAAGCATCTATAATTCTCTTAAAACATATACATGATTGTAATTATAATTGCTGTGTAAATTATAAATTTCCGTTTCATATTAATAAAAATTGATTTTTGGAATGAAATCTGCAGTTATATTATTTTTGACCTCTAAAACAAAAGGACAAAGAATAATTTTGGTGGGCGTTATCTATGCTGGTCATAGGTCTGTATAGAACCATGCTGTCTTGCTTGGTATTGGCAGTTACTATAATGACAATTGGTATATTATAACAATATAATAATCAGCAGAACCACAAAAGGTTAATGTTTGGATGGAAAAATATGCTGTCAAAACCACAAGCTTATTTACGAAGTTATATGAGTTTTATAATATGATTAAGAAGGAAACATATTTTATCGTGCATAAAATTAATTTTTTTAAATGTTTGAAATCCTCCACCAACTGGTTGTAATTCACTTTCTGAGAACCCTAAATTTAGAATAAGAATATTTTGTGTGGAAAAGAACTAACACATTTTTAAATGATAGTAATCCAATTGTGCAATAGAGTAAAATTGTAGTAGCATTTATTTGCAAAGTAAAGAAAATATTAAAATATATCCATTCATCCTAGAATATGCCAAATAAATATGGATTTAATTTGGAAAAAAATTTAAAGTTACTAAAAAAAAAAAAAATTGGAAAAATATAATTGCCATAACATAATTGAACTGATTGTGATAATCCCACACTGAGTATAGTGTATTCCTAAATCCCATATAGATGAACAAAGGTACACATTTTATTTTATGATCATTTCTAATTTATTTTTGTATTTTTTAGTTAATAAAAATAAATATGATTCAGCTAAATCATCAACATACAAACCGACTGGCAAAAAATTTAATGTAAATTTAGGAAGTTACAATATAACTGGAAAAATATCATCTGATTTAGTACAAGTATGTATTTTTGGTTCTATGTACAATTTTATATGATATATCATAAAAAATGATATATTTATTTATAGTATAACAAACTTATGTAATATAAACAAAATTATATATGTGAGTGTTTGTCATATGGTATATTTGAGATAAATAAATTCAAGAAAAATTAAAAAGAAAAGTAAGAGATAAATTAATTATTTTTTAAAAAATATACAATACAAAAAATAATCAATTCTGCATATTTTGTAAAAAAAAACAACAAAAAACTTAAAATGATTACCTCTTGTTGTTTGAATGACTTAAGTCAAGTCCTCTTGGCATACTTATAAAAATAAAAACTTTCTCATTTTATAAATATATTCCACAAGTATAGGAAAGAATGCCAAACCGTGGCCTAGGTTTGAAAAGGTTCATTGACTGCATTTACTATAATTTTCAGAAACAGGGCTTCTGAGTAACAATTTACTGTAGCATGAATCTATTGTATGACTAACTATTTTGTTTGTACAATACCTTGAAGCTGTGAACTTAATTTTGCCAATGACTTAATTGTAAAATTTATAGATAAATCTATATCTCTATAGATAAACATTTTATTTTCTAATAAAGTTTTTGAAAAAAATTAATTTTTCTGTTGGAATCTGCATACATTTCTTTGTAACAATATTTATGGCAGGACTAGGTATGTATTACTAAGTTAAAGGATACCATGTCACGTTTTTGTATTTGTTCAAGAGAGCCAATTTTCCATCCTTTGAGCTATTTAAAATTTATTTCTAAATTATTTAATAAAACAAAATGGACATAATGCCTTTTACCTCTGGAGCATAAATATATTATAATAAACTTTCTATTTAACCAGACAAGAATAAATTTCCATTTTGGTAAAATTTTACAAATTAAAATTGTATTTTAGTCCCATAGGCTTGGGTAAATCATTCTTTTCAACAATTACTATGGTAAAATCTATATACAGAAAAATTGTATTTTATAAGAATTTGATACATTAACTTTTAATAGAACACTCTTCTATAAATTCAATACCAAAATTAATGCAGTTTTGTCAGTAAAAGTGATTTTAATTAAAAAAAAAAACAGTCGCTGATTATTTGTTGTTCATATTATTGATATTAATTAAGGTTTCAGAGAGCCTTCCCAGTGTGGCTGAATGCAGATATCGTACCCGGTCCTGTAAATGCTACTTCCCATGTGGTCGACCCTGATTATTTTCTTTCTTTTTGTTTTACTTATTAATATATTTCTGAATATTAAAATTTTTCACTTAAAACTTTATCATTCCAGAATGCATTTTTGTGGTGAGATAACGTTTTAAGTGCAGTTAGGAACTCTAAAATTTGAGGTTTTACGTTTCATAGAGTTATGAAGAATTGAAAAGCCGAATTAAATAAAAATATTTTAACCTTTTTAAGTTAAATGAAATGAAGATTATTTATTTCAGAAACAATGATCTACTGTTAATTCATTGCCCATGTAGTTATAATTAACGAAAAAAGCCATTTTAATTTGTTTGCTTACACTATATATTCTTTATCTTCTAGAATTTTAGTACAATATATTTTCTCGTGTTTTTTCTAAAAATTATGAAATTTTCACATGTCATTTCTGAAATAACCAATTCAAATATATTATACACAATGATATAAATGATATACTTACATTAACTGTAGATGATTTTACTCATTTAATAATTATTCTGATGTTTTTACTACCTATCTTAAGATTATCATACAGAAATTAGTTATTATCATAACAAAAATTTTGTTTTCATTTAATATTTTTTATTTATAAAATGATTCTGTAATGAATCTCATATACGAAACACTGTTTTTTTTTTAAATATACTTATTTTCAGATTGGACAGATTAATATTACAGGACAGACTTTTGGAGAAGTAATGAGTTTACCATATCAAGAATATTTGTTTTCTAAAGCAGATGGTATTTTCGGACTTAGTTTTGATGCCGCTGCCGTTTCTGATGGCATTACACCTTTCTTTTACAACATGATAAAACAAAAAACTGTAAAGAAGGAAATTTTTTCTTTTTACTTCAACAGGTATGCTTTATTTAACATTATCTATATAGGTTTTTCAAAGCATTAATTTTGAGAAGTATATTACTTGAAATATACCTTTTTTACAATTCACTACTTTGAAATTTTTTAAGAGAGTTATCGTGAGCATGTTTAGACCAACAAATTTAAAAGCTTATTTCACAAAATTCTTTATTTATTTTTTATAAATAGGTGACACCATGGAGAAAACATTTGAACTTGAGAAAACTTTAAACATGGAATTTATAACTAATTGTAATAGACCCTTTTATGCAGGATGGTACCAGGTGGTGCCAAATTAATTTTATCAATATTTATTAACTGATTTATCTTTTAACAATCACTCTTTTTGTAGTTTTAAGTTTCAAATTAATAAAAAAATTTCACTTTGATCACATATCTATTAAAAAATAATTAGGTCTTCCAGATGAGCTTTAGGTTCAAAGTTTTTGCTAAATATGTGATAATAATCACAAAAAAAAAAAAAAAATCTGGTGAGGGCAACACACAACTTTCACTTACCGCTTAACTTTGAATAGAAATTATTTTTGGCCATATCGAGCTATTATAAAATTTTTGAATTGCATTTCTAACTGAGCTGAAGCTAAAAAATTACAGCTAACAAATCATAAATACCATGTATTGCATGATCAATTGATTATAGATTGTAATAAAGTGATTAAACTACAGTAAATATATTTAAGGTTATTATAACATATGCATGAAATGATTTTATATTTTACTTCTTCTTTCACACAAGTACAATGAAATAGTTATTTAAACAATGTCATTGCCTTTATTAGGTGGATTTTAAATATTCCTTTCAAACTTGAAAATATTTTAAAAGATTGCATTTAGTTAGTAAATTTCATTTAATTTCCTTGGAAACATGTGATTTACGTTAAATATTATTAGTTTCCAACAAATATTATTTATAATTTTTTTCCCAATCTCCGCTTCCTTTTACAACTTTATATATTCGATATTGTTTTTTCTAAAATTCTCCGCTTTCCAACGATATATTATATGTATATCTTCGGACTAGTATTTCCAGAGATTCATTTTCAACCTGGATAAGCATTTTTATTTTTTTCTCCTTTATTCAATTATCAAATTCTTTCAAAAGCGATATTTAGCTTTTTTTCATAACTTTTAATAATGAGAGATAATTGATTATTTAAAATAAACCATATTAAAGGTACTTTAGAGGAAGACGCATATGAACATTGGGTATTTAAGCCCTGTAAAGTGACATCAACGGGGATAAGGCCTAAATGATATTAAAGACCACTTAATTATACAATGATACACTGAGTTTAATCAAATTCGTTTGAGCCGTTTTTGAGAAAATTGTAAAAATGTATTTCAGCGTTCATATAAAGTGGCACTTCCGGTTAGCCGATTTAAACGAAAAAGTTGCTGTCACATTCGGCTCATATACAAACCTTAAATACTTAATATCAGTTTCGTACTACTTTTCGTTTATGAGTTAGACTGTTAACACACACACACACACACACAGACCATTTTGCGACACTTGGTTATTTGGACTCAGAGAACCTCAAAACATGTATTTCCGTTGAAAACAGATTCGAAAATTTTCACGATCACAATACTTACACTTACTATATATTTCATATATATGTAAAGTGAAAGTAATAATACAGCATACTCTTCACATAGATTACTTTATTTATTGTGATATAAAATTAAAATTTACTATTTTCTTGGTTCAATAGTTCTATATTTTCAATAACACAAGGTGCTCAGTGTTTAAAAAACAAACAAACAGCTTTCTTTATTTTTTTTTATACATTCGAAATTAACTTATCTTATTTATGTCTGGAGCAATATTTCATAAAAGTAGGATAAATCAAACAACATTAACATTAAAATTCGATAAAAGTAGGTATAGAATAATAAGAGGTATTTATTGGTGAGGAATAACAGTTTGCTTTCTCTGTTAAAAATAATTAGTCTCAAGACACTATTTAAAAATATGAAGTTAATGCAATTAATAAATAATTATTTATTCATGTATTATGTTCATTAGTTTTATAAGTTCGTGATTATTTAGAAATATAAAATTATTAAATCAATTATAAAATATTATGACAAATTTAATACTAATGTTTCTTATGGATTCATTTGGTTCTTATTCTCCTATATTGTATATTTATTTATTTATTGTTGCAAACAGGTCATGTTTTGCAATTTAAATGAGCTTAGATTTCTTTTATAAATACCTAATGAACAAAAGATAATGCAACTATTTCTAGAGATTTGTCAACTGACAAGGGAGGCGCATTGCTCCTTGGAGATGTGGACCCTAAGCATTACCGGGGAAACTTCACTTATGTAAGGGTTGATCCAAGATCTGGCTATTGGCAAATTCCTGTTGATGGGTAAGGAAATCTTTTAGCTTTTATATTTTCTTAAGGAATTCTGTAAATTTACAAGGTTGCCGTTTGATGAGAATATCTTTTTATAAAGTCTGTATTATTTAATTTCAAAGTATCAACTAATACATTTTATTAATGAAGGCACGCCTTAGTGACATGATGCAACCAGGCAATGTTATGATGTCTGTAAAAAATAATTAAAAGAAAACATTCAAAAAAGGGCTTATTTAATATATATTTTTTAAAATGTTAGTTCACTAGAGGAGAGGACTTAGCCCACAAGCCAAAAAGTTTGGAGATCCCTGCTCTAGAATTTTCTTGTCGTAAATTTTCAATCAATTTCATTTCTAGGAATATTCTACTTAATTGTTGCATTTTTTTTTTTTTCATTTCCAGTGTTTATCTCAAGACATCCCAAGGTAAAACACAGTTTTGTAAAGGAGGATGTAAGGCTATATTTGATACAAGCACTAACGAAATCAGAGGGCCTACAGAAGAAATCCATCAAATTAACCAACTTTTAAAAGCACGAAGATTTTATTTTAATAGATTTATAGTAGGTGTTTCCTCTTTTTATTAAAATAATGAACATAGTCAAATCCTTTAAACAGTGCAGGTCACCAGATAATTGTGATCTTAGGTTCATTTTTGACAGTTTTTATTCTTTATACTTCATTTTCCTACCAATAACCACCTAATTTCAAATTTTATAATATCCATTCTTTCTTGCACACATTTCGATTTTTTGAATAATTTGAAACAAAACAAGATATAGATAGACAATATATTCAATCAAGCAATATTTTTCAGATTGACTGCGGAAGAGTACCAATGCTTCCTCACATAACCTTCGTTATAGGAAAGCAGTTGTTTGAACTGAAAGGACCTGATTTTGTGCAGAAAGTAAGATTATTGTATTTTTTTATATTGACATATGCCTTTTATGGTTCGTGCTATAAATATGTATATTTGAACTGTTTCTTTTTGCACTCTTATCTTTTAGACCAAGGAATTTGACACAGATTAGTTTTCATATACCATCTCTTACTAACTAACTGTAGCTTTGAAGAAATTCCAATCTAAAGTCAGAGGACTAAATGGAAATCCGGCAAGCTGTTTAAAACATCTTTTTTCAATTTAATTATGATTTGTTATTACAGAATCCAAAACTTATTCCCGAAAATGATAGTGGTCCTTTTTTCTAATGACCAAATTTTTTAAGCCCTTCCTTGGCTATCTCACAAATCACAAACAAATAAATATATTCAAAATATACTTTTATTGAAGCAAACTAAATAAAAATTAAATGTTTTAGATGAGTTGGGGCCCTGTCACTGTTTGCCTATCTTCATTTACACCATACGAAGGAGGCAGTTGGACTTTAGGTGGTGCGTTCATGTCCCAGTATTATACACTCTTTGATATGGAAAATTATCAAATAGGTTTGGCTATAGCTAGATAAAATGAGCTTATATTCGACAAGTTCTTACAGTTTCGTAAGCTTTGAATATTTGGTATTTGTATAGAGTTAATTCAAATAAACATGTTTTGAAGACTAACATTTCTTAAAAATATATATTTGTAAATATTTGGTAGAAATAAATTTTCAGAGTTATATATAAATGATTTGATTTAAAATTGTGATCAACAAATAATTAATAAAGTACTTATTACTTTGTTTTAAACCTTTATTCATCCAAAGAATCAAGTTAGGTTTTAAATGTATTTATAATAAATACGGTCAATAACTGAAGCTTTGAATATAAAGATTTATAAAGTTGTAAAATATTGTAAGTTGCTATGTCCACTGTTCTTTTCAAATTATATTATAATATAAAACTAGTCTTATTAAATTTATCTATTATATACATATATGATATAATAGTTCAACATCCCTTTTCCGTCTCTCAGAAATGGTAGATTTAGACAAACAAGGTATTAAAAGAAAGAATTTTTATGGATCCCAATTTCAATCCTTAAAGTCATAATGCAATCGCAATAAAATTTATTTTAAAATGTAATTGATATCAATAATTTGACGATGGTTAGTTGTCGGATCAAGATGGGACAAGTTGAGTTTTTTGCAGCAGAATAAAGATCCAGTTGGAATGCTGCTTCAGAATGTACTGAGGTTTGAGTTTTAAAATCCTGAAATTTACTGTTTCCGAGATTACTTATAGGATCACTCTACTTCAAACTATAGTCTCCTAGACTCCAAGGTTACCATGGGATACTTATAACAAATCGTTTAGTTAAAAAAAAAATACAATATCCTATTATGGTCTATGCTTAATTAAAAATCTATTGAAAATGTAAACAAAATAAAGAAATCCTTACTGTACCGAGATCATTTTGGTATCTCTTCTGATGAGACGAACTTATCACTCATTAAGTAAACTGTTATTTTAACATTCGTTACAAAGTTTATAGCTACACTGATTGCGTGCGTTGAAAAGACTTTCTATATAATATTTCGTTTTTATATATAATAAGAATAAATATTTGAGAAGATAATTATAAAAATTGTAATATAACTTCATAACTAATAGTTGAGAATTTCCTTGCTGTTTTATATTTATTTAAAGAATCATTTTTTGGAATGTTCTTTGCTGTTTATCCAGAGTCATAGCCACTATTTAATCTTAATGCAAAGTTACTTTCAGTTTTCAAATCTGAACTAGACCTAGCACACCCTCAAGCTGATATCAGCAAATTAAAATAAATATGAGCTCCATAATTGCTTCCCTTTAAAAATAACTCTTCATTCTAAGAGTATTTAAGAAATATAATTCAAAGATTCATCCTGGTTTTGTTACTGGGTCAACATATGATAGGTAAAGATAAAAAGATTGATAGTTTTTCGATCCTTTTAGGTAACATACTTGAACTTTGAATTAACTTATGGACTGAATTTTAGTGAAATGGCATACTGAAAATAAATTGAAGATTAACATTGTTTTTTTTATTCACATTTATGTTTTGATAACAATTGTCATTTATTCCTAATTGAAATAAAAATCCTGAAAAGGAAAATATTTCACTAGTGTCAGTTGAAAACTTATACTAAATTTGTAAACAATGCAAAAGATATTTTAGATTTATACAGGATCATTCATTTTAACTTGTACCATGAGGGTAATGCCAGTGCGCGCTCAAATGAATCACTTTCATATCCCCTTTGTAAAATAAAATAAACTATTCAATCTAATAGTAAATGTTAAAGTGAATTACCCTGTATATGCTGATTATAATATATATATATATATCTTTCCATAAATATTGTTTTAATACTGTCGTTATACAGTTTCTCGAAGAATAATGTACTTCAGCTAGAAATGATTTGTTTATAAGTTGGATATATTTATATATATACGTTTTATTTCCATGATTTACAAGCAGAATTCATAGCAGTTATTACATCTACTGTTGAGGATATAAAAAGCCAACGATGGAAGGATATACATTTTTCCATATAATTAATATATATAATTTTTTTTTTAAATTATAGCCTTCTTAACTCTTCTTCAATGTTTCACACACAAGGCAACAATTGAATATCTAATTTTTTGAAAATAAAATCTAAAAATGAGGTGTTTAAGAATTTTGTATATACTAATAAATTAAAAAAAAAAATATGACATTAATTTTGATTTTATCAATTTTGAATAGGAAATAAGGACTATGAATATTGTTATACTACTACACTCACGAGAGGTAACACAGAAACAATTAACAATAAAACACTATTTTCATAAAAATAACAGTAAAATAATTATAAAAAATGAGTTGATGAAGAGTGGAACACTTAGATAGAAGTACATTTTCTAAACATATAGGACTCTGCCATCGACAAAAAGTAGATCTACTACAAGTTCGTGATGACTTCTGGCTTATATTTACAATTAGTGAAAGTACCACTTGATGGCCCCCTCATCTCAAATATTTATTATTAACAGTCATTAACTCAAATATGACCATTTTCACATTATATTCTCAATGGGCTGTGCCTATTGTCGACGTGTTATATAAAAACCAAGTGTATTTGGTGTGAAAATCATACATTACTATAATTTACTAACAATAACAGCCAAAAATTATACTAAGTTAATATATATATATTTATATGTATATAACACCAACAATATTTGCGAAAAACGCAAATTATATGTTCACAGTTTCAATGTACAAATCTATTTATATATTTATATATATATAATATATATACTTATTTCAATAAATATACCTAAAGCTATGTAACAAAGCGGAATGTTACACTCCTGAAATTTACAGTAATGTACACTTGTCACAAAGCTTATAATTCAAATCACCATTTAAATGAAACACAAAAGCTAAATCAAGATTAGTTCAATTAATCTTAAATAATAGATAAATAATACTTGGTGACTTATGCTGTTTATAATCAAGAAAAATAAATTAAACAACTATTTTTTTAAAAGTGACAACTTGGATATAAGCTACAAAAGTGAATAAAGGCGATATGTAAAAAATGTCATACTATATTAGGCTATACAAAACACTGCATACTTATTGAAGCCGCGCATTAGTCTATGTGATCCCGATGGAAGAAAAACATAACAGTCAGACATAGCGTAACAGTCAAGTATTGTCATTAACATTATTTTATAGACATTAATTAAAAGCCTCTCAGTTTACACTTATAATAAATATAAGATTTTACAATTGTACACTTTAAGGAGGCTTTTGGAAGTTTTGTACGTTTTTTTTTTTCTAGCTTTACATTTTATAAATATTTAAAGCTGGTCAGAAGATTATAATTAAAAATGAAATAGCTTAAGGAGGTAGTCTAATGAATGACAAAGTAGTTTTTCGACTAGTTAATAATATAATGGTAAGTGAAGCAAGTTTTCCATTTGGATCTCATTATATACAGGTAACATCCACAAATATCGATAACACTTTTAACATAAGACAGTTATTAGATGTTAACACTTACATACTATTGGTATCAAAAAAGCCTATGAGCTTTTTCTTTATTTTTTGCAGTTTTTCTTTTATTTGGTTAAAAAGCCAATCACTTGGTATTAATCTTTGGCTACCTTGCAGTCATAAATTAAGGGTCTTTAACGTAGCTGCGAAGAGCTCTGGTTGGAAGCTTAAACAAACCGTTATCTATTTAGGCCATCATTTGGATGATTTAAGTCTCCTCCGTAATGGAAAGCCTATGGTATTGCGTATCAGGATTTCATGTCCTGTTCCAACCTCCTCTCTGTTGCGACTGACAACAAGTTGTTAAATTCAACTTCCAACAACTGCCGAACCTAAAAAAAAAAAATAGATTCAACACATTGTTTAAAAATATTTTCAATTATATTCCAGAATACTAGAGACTCTGGTCCAGATAGAGAGGAATGAGAAAGGTGTATTGTAGCAAAGAATTGAAATATTAGGAATAGCAGGCAATAGTGTAAATACACTTCCAGTCTCTTTGCTATGACTGGAAGCACACCAGTGCACTTCTCAACTCTCCAATCCTTACTATTGAGTTTCCTCTTCTCTTTCAGTCTTAGAACCAGGAGCTGGTTTTAGCTGGCTGAACCAACTAAGACGTCATTATTAAGTCATCAAGGTTTATGTAGATGAACCAGTTTTCTTTGTATGAAACTTGAAACCTCAAATTTTGAGAGGGGGTTATGTTTTTGAATTTTTTGGTCGATCACAGTGTTTCATTATTGAAAATAATAAACCAAAATATGTAAAAATGGCAATATCTCTACTAATAGTGCTTTGATTTCGATGAAACTTTCTTCATTTTTTAGGAAATTTAAATACCTTTGAAACATCTCACAATAACAACAAAAAAGTAAAAACTTTTCGAGTTATTCGGAATTTAATTTTAACATCCCTCGTAACTCTTTTTCCAGCTTCTTTTCGTTGAAGTATGTTATATAGATAAAATTTAAAGGACGCCAAGAAAATGACTTTAGCGAAGTTTCATTGCAATCTGTACATTCATTTAGGAGCTACAGTCTATAGCAATGCAGGTTTTTTGGCCGCCATTTTGAAAGTTAAAGGCGGAGAGTAATGTCGATGAAGGATGATCATCCTCGGGTAACCTCTGATTTTATATCAAAATTTGAAAAAAATCGGTCCATTAGTTTCGGAGAAAATGCACGGACGGCGTATGGCGGACGGACAAAAAAATTTTTATTCGTTTTTCGAATTCTACGCATCTTGAAACGTGAAACCTAAAATTTTGAGAGGGGGTTATGTTTTTGAATTTTTTGGTTGATCACAATGTTTCATTATTGAAAATAATAAACCAAAAAAGTAAACACATTTTTTTTGTTCATCTTTTTTTTTTAATCATTCAATTTCTCTTTTCTTCCCTTAAACCTAATATCTACTCTCTAATGATAAAAAAGTTAATAGATTGATGTCTAACTAATAACTGTAATGCTGAAATGTTCAAAATTATATACAATAAAAAAAAAAAAAAAAATATAGTAAAAATTACTTGGGTATTTTGTGTTGGAATTTGTAAAGCAAGAGCCATACTGTTGTGGTCAAAACTTTCATCTAAAGCTATCAATGCTCCATGGACCCCAGACTCAGTGAGATGAACTGCATAATCCTGAAATAGAAATAATTAATAAATTATTTAAAAATGAATTTAATTATTAATATAATTATGTACACTTAAAGTTACATGTAATATAAAGAAAAAACTAAAAAATTAGATTTACCTTGAGGCCTATCGATGAGATCCATCTCATCACTCTTTCGTTAGACCAAACGAGAACATCAGATAGCTCATTTTCACAATTTCTTCTTCTCTCCTCAAGCTGTTTCCTATCGTAGTTAACCCGTTTGAGGCATGATATACCAAACTGAAGGCTGGTCCTGAGAAAGAATTATTAAATGCAATAAAAATTGTTGTTAATTGCAATAAAAAGATATCACAAAGATGGTTGGATCATTATTTTTAATAACATATAGTTTAAGAATAATTTTTTATTGGCTGGACTAAACAAAATAACAGATGTTAAATTTATACTGATAATATTGATATACTAAACTCGCTAGAAGTCTTCTTACAAGAAGAAATGAACTGACATTGACATCCTATATACAGTTAGTTGTTTTACCTGTATAACTTACTTCTATGTTTGTTCACCTCAATAAATTAAGAAATAAAGTAAACAAAGAGAAAACATTAACATTGTAAATAATTTCTTTGTTTATAAAATTGTATAATTAAAAAAAATAGAGAATACTTCTGTTATAATTTCATTGAAGAGAAAGAAAAATATATTTTTTCTGATCTTAGAAAATTATATGAAGTATATTTCATTCTTTATAATTTTATTAATAACTATTAAACTAAAATTTGTTTCACATAATTTTCCAAATCCTGTATCTTACATGATACTAGCAATAAAATATAATATTTAACAGATTTTTAATTATTTCTAGAATGCAATCCTAACAAATGATTTGAAAGTAAACATATGATAATATTTAATAATTGAGTTCAGAGGCTAAACAAACTACTATTCTTTTACCTGTGGAAACTATCAACCATCTTTAACTGCCCTCTCAGATCTTTCTTAGTCAAGTGGTCGAGCATCCTAGCATCAACGAGACTTTCCATGAATGTAGTACGGTACTGTGGGAGTCCCAGAGAAGGGAGCCAGACATTACCTATCCATTCATGATTCATGTCGCCAAAGGCGAGAGTAGTTCTAGAAGTCTTGGGAGCTGAAGGACTCGTCAATGAAACCATTTCTTGAATGGCAAGGCGTAATTTTAGCCGATGCAGAGGATTACTACAGTGGAAAAAAAAAATATATATATACACACAAACATCTGTATAATACAGATTTATATTTAATATACTATTTTCTTAAGAAAATCATTAATGACTCTTCTATTGGAAATAATCATAAAAGATTGGAAATCGAAAGTAGATTACAAACTAAAGTTTAGTAGTTGGTTACAGAAAATAGGATTACACACATACTGTTAAATTTATGTACCAAACCAATTTAGTTAGATAAGTGAATTACTTTAAAATTGAACAACAGAAACAAAATAAGAGCAAATAAATCATTTCACCTGATTCCGATTTCTCTCTGAATTTCTGTGTCAGAAAGAGCACTCATGATGGCTCCTGATTTTACATTTGCTCGACAAGCAGCAACGTACCAAGCCGGCATCCCAACCCACAATTCTAACCAGGCTACAATTGTAGGACCATTCCACAGGGCAAATGGTGTACCAGCTTTCATTGATTCTGCCAACAACTCTTGTCTAACACAACTGAAAATAAAATGTATAAAATAACAGAGAGGCGTAATAAGAATTTTTTTTTTCTGAAGAGGAAATTAAACAAATATTATATTCAAATTCTTGAATACTATTATAAGTTTGTTAATAGGTGGTTAATAAATCAAAATATCAGCTTTATAATGCCTTGAAATTGCATCAACACAAAGTAAATAAGGAGGTTCTAATTGTAAGTTTTGCAAAACATTTATGCGCCTTTTTATTTTCATGAGTTTCAGTTAAGATACATAATAAACAAGCACCTCTGTGTTTTTAAGGTAACACGGATAAATGTTTTAGTTTTAATTAAAATTCAAAGATTCTAATAAGCACATACAGAACATTTCAGCGATCTCCAAACTATTGGGCAAGCAATGACTTCTGTATGCAGTGAAAAAGCAAAAAAAAATATTTTAAAACTCAAATAATTGTAAAGGAAAACATTTAATCATGAAATCATAGTTCTCAACATACACTGACAAGCAAAAAATTCCACCCACTTGATTTTTTCATGTTTTCATCTAAAAATATTTCTGCTTTGGATTGGTCTATTGTTTTTAATGAATAAATAGCTAATCTTTTTGTTTGTTTTCAATTAGGAATGTTAATATAAAGGACAATAACCCTTAATCCTTAATTCAATGAAATGATTCTAGATTCCAATGTTTACTTTCTATGGAATCAAAATGTTTATTCAGTATCATTAGTTCAGTGCCGTTTCTTGCAGCACATTTCTTAGTCTCCGGCTTTTAATTTTTTCAATATTAAGTTTAAAAATGCCTCTTAGTGCTGAGGATGTTGCGCGTGGTGTGGCACTTATTGATGATGGACGTTCCATTAGATATGAAGCTAATGCCATCGGAGTTCCATATGAAACTTTACGAGATGCCGTCAGGCGTTTTCCGGAAACTGGTTCTTACAATAGAAGGCCCGGTTTTGGACGGCCTAGGATAACAGAACCACGGGATGACTGGTTTTTAACTTTGAGAATTTTACGAAACCCGCACCTTACTGCGATTCATCAGCTCGAAAAAGTTCGAGGTGTGCAAATTTCTGAACGTACCGCTCGGAGAAGATTAGATGAGTATGGAATAACGGCTTTTCGTCCAGTAAGAGGACCAGAGTTGACCAGAACTCACAGAGTACACGCTGGCTTTTGCTCGAGAACACAGCCATTGGACTATGGACGAATGGAGTGCTGTACTTTTTACAGATGAGTCAAGATTCGCTCTTCGATCTCCAGACAGGCGTGAAAGGGTGTGGAGAAGAAGAAACGAAAGATATGCAGCCTGTAATTTTTCCCAGAGCCAACCTTTCCAACATGGTTCTTTAATGGTGTGGGCTGGGATTTTAATGGAGCGCCGCACTGAATTGGTTGTAGTTCGCGGAGGGTTTTTGACGGCCATTCGCTACGTCTATGAGATTTTGGAACCTCATGTGTTGCCTATCCTCAACGAAATCGGCGATCGTTCTATTCTAATGCACGCCCACATGTCACCCGCATAGTGCTGACGTTCCTTCAACAGAACAATATTGAGGTTTTAGCCTGGCCAGATCGTTCTCCAGATTTGAACCCCATTGAACATTTATGGGATAACCTCGGAAGACGAATAAGAGCGCGTGCAACACTTCCTGCGCACACTGCAGGACCTTGAAAGGGCTCTTCGGGAGGAATGGGCTATCCTCCAGCAAAGGGACATTTCCTGACTGGTGGAAAGTATGCCGAGGCGTCTTCAAGAAGTAGTGAATGCAAGAGGAGGAAACACGCGCCACTAAACGATGATGTAATTAATTTCTTTTAGAATAATAATGGTTCGTTTTGGAATTTAGGAAACATTGGAATCTAGAATCATTTCATTGAATTAAGGATTAAGGGTTATTGTCCTCTATATTAACATTCCTAATTGAAAACAAACAAAAAGATCACCTATTTATTCAAACAATAGACCAATCCAAAGCAGAAATATTTTTAGATGAAAACATGAAAAAATCAAGTGGGTGGAATTTTTTGTCTGTCAGTGTATATATGACATTACAAGTGAATCAATTCTTAACTGAATAAATGATTCGCCAACATTCACTGTTGCTGGAGTTTCTTCAAGATAAAGCACCACAATTGTTCAATGGTGTGATCTTCATTTCAACGGTAATTTGAAAATCATATTTGCTGTAGGTTGAATTTTCATATAACTTAATATTTCAAACATAAACTTAAAGATATAATAGAAAAAAAAAATGTATTGAGACATTAAATAATTCTATTTTAGCTTACTTCTTTTTCTTTCTTCTATCGAGGTCAGCACGTTGACCAATATTACCACCTAGTGAGGCACTGTCAGCTGCAAAATCTGCTTCTCCCATCGATGAAGACATTGTAACAGTTTCTTGTCCAACTTCCTTACCTTTAACCTGTTGATTTAATAAAAAACATGGAGAACAATGTACATAAAAATACCACTATTTGCTTTAATACAGTAAACTATAATTATATGAAGTAACAGGAAATAATACTGATTTTAAGACCGTTAATGAAAGGTGAATGATTATTTGATTTATGATTTAAGAAAACAAATGTTTAATAAATTAAACATAATAATAAGTAAATTAATATATAAAATTAAATATTAAGTTATATATAGATATAATTCCTTTTTAAACAAAAGTAAATCACAAGATAAATAAAAATCAGATTGGATGAAAAATAAAAATCCATCCACCAAAAGACATCTTTTGATGTGATGAAGTTTATCAATAGTGGGTTCTGAAGAAACAAACCATCAATGTCCATAAGTCAGTATTTTCCATCCTAGGTAAAAGAAAAATACTCGACAAATGGTAACAATTATATATTTAGCAGAGAACAGATTAATATGCCATTGCATATTTAGTTTTAGTTGCATATTATTTTCTTTTTTGGACTTGGGAATACTTAAATGGCATACAATCCATATAAATTAATTTATATAATAAATTCAAACTCAAATTTCTAACCTTCTCCTTTTTACTAAAGAATCTTCCAAGAGATGACTTGATGCCCTTCTTCTTGTGCTGCTGGCTGGCTACAGCACATGCTGTTGAGTAGGTAGGCTGCTGGATGGCACTCGAAGCTAACGTGTGCTTGTGCAGAGAGTCCTGCGAACTGTGTCGAGAGGACAGAGGGGAAGGGGGTGTTGAGAACCCGCTCGGCCTGGGGGCACACACATACTTGCTACCCACTACTCACTACGCAAGCTCTATAGCTATGCTATTTCACAAACCAAAATTACTTGCCATTTATCAAATACTAAATTTCAATTAACTGGGTTATCTTATTTTGTTTTATCCTTGTATTTTTTATTTAAAATTATACATAATTTTTACCCTTTAATGAATTACCACACAATGTTTTCTGGAAAAGTTGTGAAAAATATGATAAGGATCGATGTTTCCATATTTAAACCTTTTAAGTAATATTATGAAAGAAGAATAAATTAATTAATATGTAGAAATAGGATTGCATGTAACTGCCATGCAATAAAACAGATAAATGGCAAACAATTTTTTTTTTTTTAAAACATCTCAACATTAAACATTATAACAATAAAATCATTTAAATAATTGTAAATTGGATTTTTTTTTTCAGGAATGATTTAAGTAGTTCCAGACACTTAATTAAATACATTAAATTATCTAAAATTATGAAGAAGAATAATTAATGTGATGGAGATATTTATTAGTAAAGAAATGGTTGAAAAAATGATCGATGAGTTGAGATGGTTTCTAAAATATAAAATTCACGCAAATGAATCTATGTACAAGGGATTATCTAAAAAACAAAACAATATTTATGTACATAATTTTAAAATACCTCTAGCATAGTCAATCTACACCTATATTTCTATCAATTAAATTAATTGAAGATAAATTAAGAAGAATATTTTACAGATTTTCTGTAAGATATTATATTTAACATTAATATAATCAATGTTGATGGATTAACACAAAGAAACTCATTTGTAAAAAACAATATCTGGTATTTCCACTCAAATGACTTTCCTCACTGTTTAGAGAGTTAAGTCCAATGTGAAAATTATCTTCCTTAATTTTCTCAATATTCCTCTCTTCTACTTCGGTGCATAATATTTATTTTCCAATTTATTCCCCTAATATAGCATACAATTTTACTCATCTATCATTTACTTATTATCAACATCATGTTAATAAATACTGCTATATTAAACTACTATTTATCATTGCACTATAATTATCATACTGTCATTTAATTTTACTAACTATTTACACTATTTAAATATTAGTAACAATTAAGTAAAATATATGTTAATGTAAGCAGATTATCAAATGTAACAGCCTAAAAAATAAAGACCTAAGGAAATCCCATTTTAATTAAATTTAAACTAATTTGACTACAACTACATTGCCACTATATTTGTAATAAAATACAGAGTTAAAACATGGTGTCCAGCGATATAGAATTAAAAAAATCAACATGTTTTTAATCAATTAATTGAATTAGATTTTAACAACAAAATCAGAAACATGCAATGTTGAGTTTGTTTGGTTTCTGATGAAATGTATTATTTGGACTTTACAATCAATTTAAATATAAACAGAAAATATAGCAAAGAAACAATTCCAAATAAGTTAAAATAAATAAAACTCACATATAAGAATATATTTATTTTATCCTAAACAAATTTTTTAAGTAAGAAAATATATATTTTATTTTCTGATTATTTTACTGTATTTTATTATTATTTTTTTTTTTAGCATTACAGAACTTTTCAGTAGATCTTTTACATCCTTATCCACCTTTGCCTATTTTTCTCCAGTTATCTGCTATTACATTTTTGTTGATCCAATCTTTAAGGAGTTCTTTATTAGTTCTTCTGTATGCCTCAGTAATCGGATCCCAGTTCACTCTGCTTATCGAGTAAAGGATTATTCTCTTAAATCTTTTAACATTTCTTTCTAGGTTGCTGGTCGGTGCCCAGCTGTAGATATCAGAATTGGCTTTATCATAGCATTGTGCACCCTTAATTTGAGAATTTAATATATTTTATTGTATATAATTCTCTATATATATGCAAAGGAATTTTGAGATTGTCTCAGTTGGAGGCATTGATTAATTATAATGTAAAAAATAAATAAAATAAAAATAATACAATAAATCTCCCCTTCTTCGATGCCTGAAACGTCTGGGTAGGAGAGAAAAAAGGAATTAGAAGATAGAATGAGTATGTGTTTGAGAGAGAAACAAACTGGAGGTTTTTTCTGCCTTTCTTGGAATTATCAGATGGTAAGAGGAGCAACTACATGATTAACCTTCTTCTCAATCTTTTACACTTTTCATTATTCAACTAAAAATAAAAATTCCGGATAACTGTCTGTTTTCCAAGCATGATTTTTGATTTTTCCAGAACTAAAACTTTTAAGTGGTATTAGGCAATGTTCCAGGGATTGAAGACTGCTGGACACCCTGTTAAATGATGTATACAACAGAAGTTTCTGAATAATGCATTTTGATTCCTTACCTAAGAGTAGCCTGACCACCATAACCACCACCAACAGATGTTAATGAGTTCATACCAGTTTTTCTAAAAAGTGAGTATCCAATTAGTAAGTTAATTTAAGCAGTTAGTTACTAATATTAAATAAATTTTAATCCTACTTAAAAGCAGTTAATCGAAATTCAACAAAACAAAACATGGTAGGCATATATAACATAATATTAGAAAAAAACAATCGGTATCAGGTAGTCACAAATTTTAACAACAATATTCATTTAAGAAAATTCAAATAAAAAACATAAGGATACCGGAGGAAATTATTTCAAAAATTATCCAAAATATTATTAGTTGATTAATAAAACAGGTTAGTATATATATATATATATATATATATATATATATATATATATATATATATATATATATATATAGCATACAATTTTACTCATCTATCATTTATATATCTCATCATCATATATATATATATATATATATATATATATATATATATTTCTTCAATCGACCTTTGAGTATTATATTTTAACACAATTATTTAAATTGGGAATTAGGTCATTTAATTATTATTTAATAAACTACAAAATGTTCATTGATCCTGTTGTTTATTTGACGTTTCGATACTGTTTTTTTATGCTAACAATATAGAGTAGTTTAATATCTGTGTTGGTGGACAGTGCTAAGGCTGTTGGTGTGTCCCTGGCCTGAGGAATCAAGGTACTAATTTAAAACATTGAAGAGGATCCCATTGTTAGCATATAAAACCGGGATCGAAACGTCGAATAAACAGCAGAATCAATGAAAATTTTGTAGTTTATTGAATAATAATTAAGTGACCTAATTCTCAATTTAAATAATTGTGGTAATATATATATAAAATTATCATAGCAGTAGGTTAACATCCAAGTGAAGAGAGGAGTTAGTAATATAAGCTTAAATAATATACAAATTGAACTAAATGTTCGTCAAATCAATTTTAAGCTCCTAAAAACTAAGACTAATGAAAATCCTGGTGGGGTGTGCATCAGACCACATTCATTTATCAACCAAATTAAATAAATGTTCAAATAGCAGTAGTCAATTTTTAAATATATTATTGTAGCTATAGTTATTAAAGGTAACTTAAAATCCTAAACGATATTTTCAGCAGGATGTATCCTCAGAAAAGTAAAATGAAATAGCTTTTAAACAATGTCTGAATAACAATCAATGCCTTATATAATTTTGGTTTGTCGAATATAAAAATAATTATAAAATCTTCCATTTAGTTTTTATTCCCAAGGAAATATTACGCTTCTTTTGAACAATATTATTAATTTTTTCATCACTTTCCATTACCTTGTATAACTTTATATATTAAGGTGCGTTTAGACATTTCGCGAACTGCGGGAAACAAAATTATCTAACTTAACTAACAGCCACAGTATTGCTAAACTAAAGTATTTATTTTGATCCCGACTGCAGATGGAAAATATCAAAAACAAGAAACAAAAATATTAGCTTAGTGAAATAACCCCCTATATATTTGTTTGTCCCATAGTTTGAAATGTCTAAACACACCACATTTAGATATCAATGTTTCTAAAACCTTTAGTTTTCCAATGATATATTATGTATATTTAGCTTCCTTCTAGAACTCCATCTAGCCAATCATCTGCCATGCTTCAACAGTTTCCTCGTTCAAAGCTCTCTTCTTCAAACACAACACCTTTTTATCGACCAATTTTTTAAAAACTAAATCACCTTTTCTCAGAGTTCATTTTTCAAATACTTATTATTATCTTTTTCATTTGTTACTTAACCTAAAATAGGTAAACTTACCTATATATGTACTACATAGTAAGGGAAAGTATTGTGATCATGAAAAATTTTTAATCAGAGTTTTCAATGGAAACAAACGTTTTGAAGTCTCTTAAGTCCAAATAACAAAGTCCCGCAACATGGTCTGTTTGTGCGAGTGCGCGCGCGCGTGTGTGTGTGTATGTGAACAGTCTAGCTCAAAAATGAAAAGTCATACAAAACTGATATTACGTTTTAAAAGAGGTATATAGCTGGGATGTTACAGCAACTTTTTCCTGGAAATTGGCTAGCCAGAAGTGGCTCTTTATATCACCAATTTTCCACATTTTTACCATTTTCTCAAAAATGGCTCAAACAATTTTTATTTAACTCGGATTGTTAACACACAATTGAATGGTCTTTAATATCCTCCTTGATTATACAGGGTGTAGTAAATATCCAATGTTCAAAATTTCTTCCCCTAAAATACCATCAATTTGGTTCATTTTGAATAATCAACTATCTCTCACTGTTAACAGTAATAGTAAAAGGCTAAATATAAACTATGAAAGAACTAAAGAAAAGGAGAAAAAAGTAAAAATGTTTTTTTAGATCGAAAATGAATTTATGGAAATAATAGTCAGATGGTATACGTATAATATATCATTTGCAAGCTGAGAATTTTAGAAAAAAATAATATCTAACATACAAAGATGTAGAAGGTAATGAAGAGTGACAAAAAAAATTATAGATAATAATTTGTGAAAACTAATATTATTTATGGAAATCACATGTTTCCTAAGAAATTAAATGAAATTCCCTAACTAAATGCAAACTTTTAAAATTATTTCCTTGTACTTGTGTGAAAGAAGTAAAATATAAAAATATTGCATAGATGAGTAAAACATATTTTTATAACCTTCAATACATTTACTGTAGTTTAATAACTCTACATCTGATAATATATTAAAATAATTAGATATCTAAAGCCTAACATTGCCAGAAAATAATTTCTATTCAAAATAGAGAGGTAAATGAAAAGTGTGTAAAGCAGGCACAAGATTTTAAATGTAGTTTTGTTTTTTTAAGTACTGTATGTATTTTCTTTTCCTATACACAGTATTTTAACTTATTTTTATTTATATTAATGAGTCCCACCCACACTATTTTGGCCACTATGCTGTGTTATTTTTATTTTATTCTTAAGGGACTTTGTCCCAGGATAATAATTTTTTTTTTCATTTCATATATATTACTACTCTTATTTATGGAAATTCGTTTTCAACATTGGAAGATGAGTCTCGTTTTTTTCTTCTTATGTCAATCATCAAATTCTTTCATAGTTTACAGTTATTCATTTCTTAAAACTACTGACCATGAGAAAAACTTATTTATTTAAAATAAAAAACCATATTAAAGGAACTTTAGGAGAAGCCATTTTGAAAATTTGACATTAAAGCCCTGTAAGACTATTTCAATGAGGATAAGACTTACTTGATATATATTTTTTTTTTCTTTAGAGTTTAAATTCAGGTCTGCTTTCATCAAAAGACATTTAATAGTACATTGAAATAATAAGTTAAAAAAAAATTGTTGTAGGCATCAATAGAAAATGTTTAAGATCAGTGATATTAAGTACCACTTTCGGTAAGCTAATTATAATGAAAAAGTTGTATCATCCCAGGATAATAATATACAAGCTAAAGAAAGAGCTAGTTTGAACAAGGAAATATTTAAACCACCCACTTGAGAAGAAAAACTATCAAAAATATATCATTTAAATTTCGTACGAGTTTTTGTTTGTGAGCTTCACACAAATATGTTTGTGACATACATACGGACCATGTTGCGAGACTTTGTTATTTGAACTTAGGGGACTTCAAAGCTTTTGTTTCCATTGAAAACTCAGATTCAAAATTTTTCATGATCACAATACTTCCCCTTACTATATATTTCATACATCAGTAAGTGAAGGTAAAAAGTTTATTATACTCAGCTAATGCGTTAAAAAAAAAAAAACCTAAAAATTACAGCAGTAGGAATTTTCCTTCAACCCTTACCCTCACCTGAAAAAAAAATACAAAGTTATAGAATGCCTGTACCTTCTGAGTTCTTCTTGGCTGTGCGCCAAAGCCTGAGCGACACGCTCCAGCCTCAGGGATCTTGCGGTGAGGGGACTCGCAGCACCACTGCTTTCACCACCGCCCAAAGATTGCAATTCATCTGACAATTCACTAGAAAGCTGCGCCAGCTGCAACTGAATTTAAATAAAACTTAAATAAACCTTAATGAAGTTTATGAATCCATTCCTAGTCACTAAATTAGTTTATAGCAAACACAAACAGTGTCATCAAGAAAACTAATTCAAACTTTTTAATAATCAATACAATGAAGGTAAAATTATTTTCCAAAACATAGTTATACTAATTAAAACATTACAATTGTAAAATACTAACATAGTCATATTAATTCATAAGAATTACTATTTAAAAAAAAAAAATGAAATAGAAATAACATAAATCTGTGTAGTTGTTCTACACTAAGTCAGAGAAAAGCCAGTGCATGAAATAGATTTTCATAAAAACCTTCTATGAATGGCTATCTAACAATCAAGAGTGGCGTAATATACAAGCAAAAGAAAGTTTTAGTTTGTACAAGGAAAGATTTAAACTTCCAGTTGAGAAGATATCAGATATTTCAATTTAAGGGAAAGCTAAAGCAGTTTAAATCCACTTTTATTTATAATTAAAAATATTTAATTTAAACTACCAAACTTGAAATGATGCTCACGATTCAAAAGCATGTATTAAATTAAATAATCAATATTTTGAAAAATCCAAACAAATAAAAAAGCACACAAAATAAAACACAAACAAGTTATCAGGAATGCTAAATAATGCATAATATTATCAGGGAAAGAAAGAAATGCATTAAATAAGATTTCAGCACAAGTCACTGAAAGCCAAAGCTATAATGCAGAGCAAATTGTTACAAAAGCAGGGCTGTCTGTTAAAGGAATTTTATTAATTCGATTTATTTAAGAAAAACTATTAACTTCAGGAAAATTAATTAAATTCAGATTTATAAATTTAAAAAGAACATTAAGATTTAACAATGTCTGTTAAGTAGTTCGGTGTTTACTAAAGAAAATTCTTCATTCTTGGCCAACTCCAAATATAATAAAACAGTGAATTATAAAACAGAGAATTCGTTGGCATGATTTAATTTAGCAGCAAATCAAAAATTAATGTTTTAATTAATCTTAATTTCCTTTTCTGGCTAGAAAGAGTTAGCAAGTTGTGAGATAGCCCCTTACTGCAATGGTTAGAGTACATAAGGGCTTTAAACCAAATAAACCTAAATTAATTAATTTAGAAAAATGTATTTATAACTAATACTTTTTCATTTTGTATTTATTCATTTTTAATTTAATTTTTGTATTTTATGATGGTAGAGTTACCTCATTTAAATACTAATTGTCTCTGTGCCATACATGTATTTTTAATATAACTATGAAATTAAAACATCTTTATCTATTCTTAAGTAAAAAATAAAAATAGAAGTAAATGGAATATTTGTTTTTAAATTTAGAAATCAATTATAAATAAAAATCTATTAAAATAATAGGTCCACGTAGCACCTGATGACAATAACTATTGAAATCAATAAATTACATTACACAATCAAACAAAATATAATGTTTATATTATAATATGACATATTTTATAAAAGTAAGATGATTTTACAAATCCGGTCAGTAACGACATACCTGAGGTGAGGGAAGAAAAAAATAAATACATATTACAACAATAAAATTAATTTTAAAATTGTAAGTAATAAAATTGTAAGCTTTTCTCTTAAAAATTTTATCTAAGTATTTTGTCACATTAGTAATGTTAGTTACTTCATTGGAAAGCCTATATTTGTTTTAAATTACTGTCTTCAAATATAAATAAAATATTATCTTTTTCAATGTTAAACAATAAAATTAATCAGACAAACTCAAGCCTAGAATGGTCTTTTCTAATTTTTTATCTAAAAAAGCTCTATCTAATGAAGGCTTGGAATCAAGCAGAGGCAAGGGTGGGAAACTACTTGAATTAGTTATTATTAAGACCGAAATAAAAGGTTTGTAAAGAGGTAATACTAAATTTTGTTATGTCCATGGACATCAAACTAGGTTATAATATTCAATAAAAAAAAAAAAAAAAAATTGAAATAACAAAGTACAAATTACCAGGTAAAATTCACTATTTTCTAAAAAAAAAAATTATAGGTGACTAGAGATGTGTCAAGTAATATTTTCAACAGTTTTTAATTATAATTATTTTTATAAAAGCTTCATCATTACCACAAAACATTTATAATATTTTTTTTTATTATCAGAAATATCTAAGTTTAGTTAATAGCAAATAAATACTGAGGAATCTTATGTAGAAACAGTTTTCAAAGTTTTTAGTAAGACTACTTCAATTATGCAAATAATTGGTTTTCAATACCTTCAAAATATATAATAATATACAAGATGTTTATATCACAAATGAAAATTTTAAATTTTATTTATCTAACATTTTAAAAATGTAAATATTTATGTTAAAAAGAAATATTTATTTGAGAAGAGGATAATTTTCTAAAATAAAACTTATTACATGACAGCCCATGAAAAAGGAAACAAGGCAGAGGTTTTCAATCAAGTTGGTAATTAAAAATATAAAACAAAAACAATTAAAAAATGCATCGTTAAAAATTGTAACTAACGAAATAAGGGGCTCTACACACTTAGCCACACTTCAGATTATTATTATTTTTCTCTTTCTAAGGTGTTATAAACAGGAGTGGGCCGTAATTCTAAGGAAAATAAGCTGTGGTTTCCGTTGTTGTGAGTATTATTTCCGATTTAAGACAAACCTGGCTAGCGGGAAGTGATTCAGAGAGCTGGCTCGGGGAGACGAGCGTAGAAGCATACTGATGGAGATGAGCCGGGGACATTGATGCGGGTGCCTGGGACAGAGACAAATGTCACACCGCCGTTTCGTACGATAATGCCGTTATTATAATAATCACCCATCGAAATATCTCAAATAGTTAATTATCAGGCTTGAAATAATATGCTTTAAAAAAAACACACACACACAAAAGAAATTCAATAATAACTGGGTAACAGTAATTGAAACTGTGATAGTAGATTAGAAAATAAATTGCCTAATTTGATCATTTGAAATCACATTCAAATTGAAACGCAAACCTAAGTCTGCCTGTAAATATATATAAAAAAAAAATTGCTAAATTTACTTAATGATTTCTAATTAACAATAATATGGATCTGGAAACATTTCAATAAACTTTTTGAAACAGGAAAGTTTTATTTGAGTATAAACATATTTTAAAAAATAATATATTATATTGGGTTGGCTAATAAGTCCTTTCAGTTTTTCCAGATGAAAGAGAATTGGTCTATTATAGAGATAAGATATATTTTAATCTACAATGTATTGAAAAGGTAAAGGTCTATTATAGAGATAAGATATATTTTAATCTACAATATATTGACTATTATTTGGAATGACCTATTCCCATCTTTCCACTTACTACGAACTTCTGGGGTTTGTTGTAAAAAAACTGATCTAAGTGTTTTATGTCTTATTTGCTTTTGACTCATAGAGTTTTGCAGAAATCTGAATAAATGGTAGTCGCTTGGAGCCAGGTCTGGTGAATATGGGACAAAAGGCCACATCAAAAGTTTTAAAATTTATTGCGTGTGACCAATGAGGATTGAGGCCCAAGTATTGCCTTGGTGGAAAACAACACTCTTCTAATTTACCAATCCTGGGTAGTTTTTTTTTCAAACTAGTTCATCAAATTTTGTTAGTTGTGAGTATTTTTATCAACAATGCTTGTTTCAATTTCTGGCGGGTATTCAGAAGTAGAGTGTATTGATGTCAATATTTTCTGAATGAAAATTGGCAAACCAATTTCAATAAGTGTGTTCGGTTAAGGCATTATCCCCTTAAACACTACGATTTTTTATATGACCATTTGTAGCATGATTATTATTATTATTATTACCTTTCTTAAAATAACACAGCAAAATATGCAGATAATGAATGTTATTCAGTGTTTGCAATAGTAAACACAATCCACCTAAGAGATTAATTTGTCAGATAAGAGGAGTATGGTCTTTATTGGATTATTTCTTCCTTTATTGGCACAACAGTTGTATGAAGCTGCCCTTGGCCTGTTCAACAGCCGCCAACTAAATCTCTCTATCTTCGTTACCCGGTGAGGGTAACGGGGATCCTCAGTTATCGCAGATCCTGCCCCACAGCATCCACCATCGGCACTTCGACCTACCACGTTGGCGCACATCATCTGGAAAGAACAGTTCACGTACAATTTATGAGCCACTCCTCGCTCATCCTCATCACATGGCCAAGCCACTTAAGCCTCTACATTCTGATATACAAGGTGATGGATGTTACATTCCTTGTGGAGCCTAAAAAACTCACTATTTTTTCTTATTCACCAATTACCATTCTTGTATACGGGCCCTAAGATTGTCCTTAGAATTGTTCTTTCAAACCTGTCAAGCAGACTTTTATTGCTTAGGGTTCACGTTTCTCCACGTCACAAGTGGCCTTATCAATGTCTTGTACAGTGTAAACTTGGTGGTACGCCTAAAAAGTTTGCTTTTGATAAGCTTTAAAGTGGAGAAATAGGCTCTATTTCTTGCTGATATTTTACTTTTAACCTCTTCTTCTTCATTTTGGTTATTGTTGATGATAGAACCAAGGTAGAAAAGCTTCTGATCACTTTGAAATTGTAGAGGCTCATTTCAAAGCAACTCTACCTCTGATCAAGTGACTTCTTACCCTATACCATAATCTTAGTTTTCTCCCCAATAATATGTAGGCCCATCTTTTTTGGTTTGATATCTATCCTAATGCTCTGAAGAGATCTACCGATAAAGACGTCATCTGCTTAGGCCAGAACTTGGGTCCTAAATATTGTTCTTTGTATGGTAAGGTAAGAAATGTATGGTAGTGACATAAAAATAAACAGAAAAACCGAAAGGACTTATTTGCCAAACCAATACATGTATACAGAATATTTTATCATTTAAAGAAGATAAAGAATAAGAAATATTCAAAACAATCATTAATTATAAATTGAATAAAAATATTTAGTTACACTTCTTCTTTTTTTTTTTCCAGGAGATAAAACTATAAAATAAAGTTTAAGAAAGAACATTTACCATTATTAACAAACAAATTAATATGTGGTGATTAATAAAATTTTCCAGCAAAATTAAAGCAGGATTAAAATATAAAGTTTTACTTTCCATTTTATAATCCTCCAAAATATTTTAAAAAGAGAATGTTATTTATTTATTCAATTCAAAATGTTAGATGACTTAAAAACAAAACAGAGAAATAATGATTTTAGATATGATAAACTATAATAATAACAGTAATAGAAATAGCCAGAGATAATTATTTATAAATTTGAATTAATATTTTCAATTTCCATGATAAATCTAATATAATCCACTGGAATCGAATTATTAACCTGAAGTTAAAAACAGAAACAATTTGAATAAACACATGTATGAAATAAAAAATTATTAATAGTTTATAGTTAAAGATTAAAAAATTTAAATATGAAATAACAAATAGAATCCACTTTGAATAAAAAAAAAAAAAAAAAAAAAAAAAAATTGATATAGCATACTCTAATAAGGCTTCAGATTATTATGGAACTCGGCTGCTGGTTTCTCCTTTTTCAAAATAAATTAAAAAACATATTTACTTAAAATTTTAAGAAATTGGAACTAGTGGATACTGACTAGTCCAAGCAGAAAGGAAAAAGCCAACAATGTTTCCAACGAATTTAAAAAAAAATAAATTATCTACTTCAAAGCAAATTATTACCTTTCTAGGATTAATAACTAAAAAAAATTCTTCTGTTATCCAATATTTAACGATAAATGAAAATAAAGCCAATATAACAACAATTATTACAGTTATTATGAAAATCTTTTATTATTTTATATATATATATATATATATATATATATATATATATATATATATATATATATATATATATATATATATATATAATGAAAATAGAGATAAACCATGAAAATAGAAACATTGTCATTAAAAGAAAATTTTAAGACTGATTCATGGTGAAATGATCTTAATACTAATATAATAAAATAGAGAAAACATTTAACATAATAAAATAACATTTAAGAGAACATAATGGACTTAAAATGAAAGAATTCTGGAAAATACCAGAAGCAATAATAATTAAAAATCAGAATATTTTTTTCCCAGAATATTCAAAAGGAATAATTATTTTCTTTTAAATTATTTTGACAAATTCATCTTAGCTGATTACAATACAGAATGTAATTTTAGGTGGTATAGGCATTGTTACAGTTTAATTAATTTAGAGAATTAAAACTCTATTATGAAGTATTTGGTCGCTAAGTGAAAATCTAACACAATTTCCAGAACCAACCTATAAAGATAAACAGATAAAGTAGATGGATATAAAATTTTCGGAAGGTAATGTGAATTTGTTTGTAGAATTACAAACAATACTGAATTATCATTATAAATCAGCTATAATGATAATTATAAAAATCATTTAAACCTGGTTATGAGTTACAAAGAAAATAAATAGGTTTAACAACAGATCTGTTTTGGGTTTGTCAACTAAGTTATGCACTAATGTCATTCATAATGTATCAAACACTGATTCCATATATAGAAAGAGATTAGGAACACTGAGGCCAATTTTAACATCAAACATAAATAGGAGGTTTTCAACAAGTGCATCAACATAACAATTATATTACATATTTATGCTCAGAAAAATTGTGAGAAGTCGCAGGTAATTACTTGCTGCATCAGGAATTCTCGATCTACAGCCATCAGAGGAGGTGCAAAAAAGATCTAAGGTATAGTAAGTCTCAAAGGAGTCAAATAAAGTTGAAGAAGTGAAATAATTTTGTTATACGGCCAAAACATTATTGAAACTGAACATTTGATTGTGTGCAGCTGTCACCGATAATTTATTTAAATTCATTCAGAAAAGCTGATTTGATCAGAAATAACGATATTGTCAGTTTATTGAAAAAGTACATTTTAGATGGAGTCCTACTTTTTTTTGTGAATTTCAATCAAATTAATCAGTATAAAAACTCAGTTAGTGCATTGATACGAAGAAAACTCTTTTATAGATCAGATACAGTTATAATAAGTGCACAGTGTTCCGATCCCAAAGAGGAAAAAGAAACTATAACTATCAAGTAATTTAATTTTATGAAATTTGCACTTATTCACTTTTTGCAATAAACAGACGATATTTACTACTAAACAAACCTTATTCGTATTTGATTTTGATCGAATCAGTATTAAATTTTGTATCTATAATTATTTAGAAAATTCAATATTTAAGAACACATGTTTCTGATAAATTTTTGATACCATAATATTGCATTTTTGTTGCAGTGTTGCATATAAATTTACACTAATTTCACCTGGTTTAATGGCTCCTTTTATAGCAAAAATGTAATTCCTTGGTATAGAAATATGTTTTAATTATACAAATAACCATCATATTAATTACTCAATTCAAAAGTCAACTTGCACTGTGTTATATTATATCCAACTACCATAAAGAGCCAGGTTGTCCTTAATTTACATATGTAGGAGTTGGTAGAGGACAAACTTTTAAAATTACAAACAAGGTCAAATTCTTGTTTAAAAAGTATCAATCAAAGCAGTAAAGACTGAAATCTATTAAAATCGACTGCAAAGCTTAAAAAAGAATAAATATATACACATAATTCATTCAACAAATAAAATATTCTAACCTGATCAGTATTAACCTGTTCTCGTGTAATTTGGAGTTAAAATAAACACATAAAAATAGAAATATAATTATTAAAGAAACAAAAGAATTTTCCACTAATACTTCAATGTAATTTAAACAGTTATTAACACTAATTATAATTAAAGAACTGTTTTTCTAGTTTTAAATATATTTGAAATATTTTCAATGACTTCTGAGAAAAAAAAAATGTGAGATTCACACATTTACAGTTTTCCTTTTTCTTTAGTATATTTAAATACTTTGTTAGAAAGATTAACTTCTTTGCCAACCAAATTAATAATCTAGGTATTCTTTTTTTTTCAGCATTAAACCTTTTTCCCGAAGGTTTTATTACATTAAAAGAAATAATAATAATACTTTCACACGCAAATATAAATGTATAGTAAAAACAAATAAAAATAAAATTCGAAATGACTCACGACCCAAATTAAATGTAACCCTTTTCTTTCAGGCACACATAACTATTTATTTTGATCACGGCCCAATCTAGGTCAATTGTAAATTTTATTTTCATTTTTTTGTTAACTTATGAAAAGTTTTCTCTTCACAATGAAATGTTTTATAGAATGAAAAAAGTTACCTCCTAATATGAAGGCTACTGGGGGTTATGTTTCAAGACAACTTTGAACTGATTGCATTAACAAACTAAATAAATAAACTAAATTAAAATGCCAATATATAAGTGAATAAAACAGAAACTAATTGTATAGTAGAACATTGAGAAAAACTGACTTTGCTGTGTTATACAGTGGGTCGGGAACCATTATTCAGGAGCATTACTATAAATGACATCCTTGGTAAACAGGATTCTTGGATCATAAAACAATAAGTCACCTCCTTACTTATTACAAAGTATCCTCTATTATTACAGTATGTAATTTTATTTCACAAAGCATGATAAATATTGATAATAAAGGAGATGAACTTCAGCACGTAAAAATGGGATTAATTACCGTATGATACTTATGGAGATAGTCTCGGTGGGGTGACTTAGGTGTAGATCTTCCAGAAAGCGGAGGTGATCCACGGTCTAAAGTCCTTCCTCTCGCGACTAGGTTCATGTGCTCAAGGCTTCCCACTCTTGATTCTAATTCTTCTGCCCTGGCCTCTGTGCTCTGTTTCTCTTCTTGGATCAGTCTATAAAATGAATGAAGTATTTTGACACAGAACTCAACTAATCATTCATTATATACTGTATTAAAGAAAAGTACCAAACTTTATTTGTGTGAATATATTTCTTTAGTAATCATGTTATTATAGTACTTAGAAAGCTTTAATAACAATCATTGTTAAATCAGAAGTAGCAGATTAAAAAGATATTTAAATATTTCAGAAAAAAAAGAAGTGTTGTTTTTATGTTTAAATATTTTTATGTTATTCCTTTTTAGTTGAAAGCATGTTATGTTTTTTAAAATTTATGCCAACTAAACTGAGATGAAATATATATATATAAAATAATGTATGTCTGTCTGTTTGTCCTTTATGCATTACTAATCCATTCATCTGGTCGCCATGAAACTCTGGGAAGTTGTGCGTACACTCCCTTGAAGCTTGATGGCACAGTAATTGTTGACGCCAACATGTGTAGTTTTATTGTTTGTTTTTGCCATGTTGTAGTATGGGGGGGTCAATTTTGTTTTGGTTGTGAATGGCATGTGCTATGTATTTTATTTATGTTTTTGTTTTCACGTCATTACATGGAAAATATGTTCATTTATATGTGGGCCTCATTTATATATATGTATAATAACATTAAGCATTGTATGTAGAACCTCTTAAATATTTCATACACAAAGACGTAACAGCGACAATGTTTTCAGCCAGTTCCGGGTCAGCCCGTCTCTATTCATATCACTTAATACCAGAGGTAAAAAGAAAACATTGGCAAATCAGTATGGCTGCTGGCAGCAATGGGTGTGGAACTGACCCTATGATGTTCTCCGTCCTGTCACAATGTACCTGGCAAACTCAATGGTTTCATCTCACCAGGTTGTGACGACGACTTCCCGCCTCTGGGACATTATCCTGCAGGAGAACTCTCATCAGTTGCAACTCGCAATATGAGCTGGCTGGAGGTGAATTTGTGTATTTTAATTTAGAAGAGGTTTAAGGTGAGTGGCGCTCCTCTAAAAACAATTAATGACCCACGGGTCTCAGATTCTTAATTTACAATACTAAATTGTCAGGTTCAGTACCGGGTTTTCATCATTCCCTTTTGTTGTATATTAAATATTATACTTTTAGATTTACATAAATATAAATTATGGCCTTGTATAAATAATATAATTTTAAAACAATTAAATTAACATCTGGGTGAATTGCATTCTCATTAAATAATAATAATTAATTATTTTAATAACAAAACAGCCCTAGAACATTGTAAATTTAATTCATCAGTTAGAGGTTGTTTTCCTTTTGTTTAATGTTTATAGTAATATTTTATTTCTCTCATTCATTATTATTTTGTATCAAGAGAAATAGGATTAATTTATTCCTTCATTTATTAATTTGATAGCATGTTCATTTCATTTATTATTTTCAATATACACATAGATTTTCTGCTATTCCGTTTTTTTATACATATTTATCCTCAATGGATTTCCTTTTAATATTTTTTAAAGTTTTAAAATTAATTAATTAATAAATCAATAACCAATGCCAATGGAATTGATAGAGCAGATTTGGTGGTTCATTTTTGAACGCCCGCTGCCTTCACAGTAATTCTATCCAACGATAATTTTATATGTGTAAAAAAAATAAAAATGTAAATTTTTTTGTTTATAACAACTAATCTCTGAAAGTTCTTCACCGATTGCTTTGCAATTTTGACACAGCGTTGCAACCGAATTCAGGAGTATTTTTTGAACATTTCATTACCACCAGGCCTTTCGTTTTGAAATAGTGGCCAAAAAACGTGTTGCTATAAACTGTAGCGCCAAAATGGCAGTGCAATTTTAATTAAACTTGGCTTAAGTCTTCCCCTTGAAACTCTTTTAATTTATGTATATAACATAATTTCCTGAAAAAAAGTTACAAAAAATGTTACGATGAATTCAGAATTTTATATGCGAACAACTAAAGAAGTAGACTTTTTTTGATTAATAATACTTAAATTTATTTGAAAGCTTCCTGAATTCCCTACAAATAAAAAAAAAATTGTCGAAATTGGAAGATTTGTTGCTGAGTTATAGAGTTTTAAACATTTACTACTTTCTCTTCAGCAAAGGCCATTATTTTTCTTTTCTTTTATTGATTAATTGAAAATTTTATAATTACTGAAGTGATATGATTCAAAACTATTACATGCTCTTTATATTCAAATTTTTATTATTGCTCCAATGTATTCGGGAAGTAGTATGATATATCTCAAATATTTGATGTGCTATTATTTAACAATATTTAACCCTTGAGTAATATTTACACCGTTTATGTCCATTTTAGAAATCAGTTTTTCATTGATTTCAGTTTATTTTATTTTTTAAGAAATTATTTTCTTTAACATTACATTGGAATAAGGCTGTACCGTTTACTGTAGGGTTTCTTTCATGAGCAAGGTTCATTTTTCCACTACAATTTTTATAACTCTATATTTAATCAAGTTGTTATTAAGAAGAGGCAAGCAATCAAATATCTTAAGAGAGGTATCTGAAATCTTTTGAGAGAGGTGGAAGGCAGCTCTATTGCACACGAAATGAATGCTAGAGTAAATGGTATAGCGCAATTTCAATGCATTGCCACGTTTGATATTTGAAAATATTTAACATTGAAACAGTTTCATAAAATATTTTGAACAGCATGTGTTGCTTTCACATCAAACTGATGGTGCGTTTTTAATAAATATATGTAGTTTTACCTTATATTTTATAATAGTAGGTATCTTAAATGTAACAATAAGCCAAAATTTCAATGGGCGAAGAACTTTCCGATATTTAAGAGTTTGAACAAAGGAACATTTACATTTTTGCTTGCCATATAATTAAATAACACAAAGATCAACATTAAATAATACAATAAATATAAAAATAATTAATAATAAAATTAAACATGAAAATATATGAGTGGCTTCATATCAAAGAAGGATCTCGGTCATTTTCAGAAAGCGGAGAAAAAGTCAATTTTAGTTTTAAAAGTTCAACTCAAACTGTTTCTGATGATTAAGAATGTTTAAGTTGAATCATGAAAAAAAGTCATTAGAATTAGTTTATATTGAAGCTATGTAACAGATACATTTTTTTCTCAACTTTTTAAAAATGACAGATGTCCTTTGATATTAATCCACTCATATGTGCTTTCTACTTTCTTTCTTTTCCATTTTGCCAGACTGAGCCACAGCAAAGCCAAAGCTATAACTAATAAATTTTGAAATAATTCTGCAACACAGAAATTTTTAATAAAAAAAAAAAAAAAAAAAAAAAAAAAAAATGATTATTAATTATTTGTCAACTAAATTGGAAAAACATCGTATCAAATTTAATTATTGATAGTTAACTTGATCTAATTAGTTAAAAATAACATTCTTGTTCTTTGAGTTCATGACACTAGTAAAAATAATTCCTTTTCTAGATTAACATTTTAACTGAGAAAACACTTCAAGCTCAATTTCACATGCTGAGTAAGGTGTTCTGCATACAATAATGGCTTAAAATTACTAAATAGAGTCTTTAGAAAACATCCTCTTAACGTTAGACACAATCATCATAATGTTAGGTTAGAATTGCCTGATAATACAACTGAAAGTTACAATAAATAATTAAATATTTTTTAGTAACATCAAATAACCAATTTTCCTCATTTTTAGTTTTACCTTATTTCATTATTAATGGCATCAAGTTGTTCTTGGAGCATTAGAGCCAGGGTCTGGGCATCGGTATGACCAGTTGGGGAAAGGATCTCAGCGCCGCTGAATAAACTTTCATTGTCATCAGCGTCAACGTCACTACATTCGTAACCCTGTTGAAGAACGTCTTTCTCCCAGTCCTGTAACAAAAACAAAATTAGGATATATTCATTTAATTACATTTTTATACATAAAATGGTTTAAAAATTGATTTTTATATTTAAAGAACCTGAACTAGGATATTTTGCAATCAACAAGAACTGACACATGCTTACATTTCAAAATTACATAGTGTAATTAGAAATTTTACCTGAACGGAATTATCTTGAAGGACCATTCTAGATTTAAGAGCTCTTCTTGGAAGCGAATGAGAATCAAAGCTAGGATGGCTAGTACTGTGGACGAATCCTCCATCACCTGCACTCGGCGAAAGACTCCTATTTAAAAGAAACATTATTAAAATATGCTAATCACATTGCATTAATTCAATATTGCACTAACTATAATTACATCTCATTTCATAAATTTAATATAAAAATAATACATTGACCATGTAATTAAATAAATTCTAAATTCGTTAAAACATTTTCAATTATTAGTAACATATAAGTTTTAAAAGTATTTTTACCTTGTAAGTGCATCCGTTTGTTGAATATTAAATGCTATTTCCTGTTGAAGCATCTGGCGTTTCACACTATCAATTTCTAATCTGGATTTACTTAATTCCTTCATAATATCAGCCTAAAAAAATAAAATTTTGATAAAAAAGTAATGATGGTGAGTAATGATCACTAGAACTATGAAAATAACAATGATAACAAAGTAGACAAAAATTAAATCTTATATCACATTCTAGTATGATTGGTTTGATTTAAAATTTAAGTGAAGTAAAAATAAAATACTGATAATTATCTTACCTTCTCACACTGTAGATCTTCCATTATTTTCCTAGTTTTTTCTAGCTCTTGAGTAAGGGCATTTTTCTCTTCCAGTGCATGCATTCTTTCTTTCAGATGAACTTGGAGTCTTTCATTAGATTCTAAAATATATATTTTCAAATAAGCAAACAAAATGTGAATCATATAAGTTGTTATTTGACTACAACATTTTATTCAAATTAAATTTTAATTTTATTGTATTGGGTTAGGCAATAAGTCCTTTCAGTTTTTCTGTTTATTTTTATGTCACTACTAGTTGGTCCATGCGAATAATTCACAGAAAATTTTGTTTAGTGAAGTAATAGCAAAACAATATGGAAATAAGTAGATCCTATGTATTATGTAAAGAAGGAATTAATATTTTTTCCTTTGTCTAAAATATTCCATTTAACATAATAGACCAAAATATTTGCACAAATTGCTCTGCTAGGAACTATTTTTAAATGCTGACTGGAAAGATAATAAAGAAAAATAAAGCCTCGATCATGGGGTTTTCTAAATTATTAAAAAAAATAAAATGTAAGAACAAACACAGGTCTTTAAGAAATAATAAAGTTAATATATCAGCCAGGAAAAAAAAGTGTAGTAAAATAGTAAATGCAATATCTTTAAAGAGAAAGAAATTATTAAGTATACCAAAACTAATGGACTATCTTTGTTGATAATTGTCCGATTTTTGCAATTTGTTTTTTGTTTTGTAGGTAATTTAGTAATATTTCTATTTATCATGGGTACAATCAAGAAAAAAAATGTATAATTTTTGAGTTATTCATAATAAAGTTTCTTTTCCATCATAACTTTTTTTCCAGAAATTTTGGGGGGATAGGACTATTTTTCACATGTGAAGGAGAAGAATATCTTCAAAATGAGTGGTCAATCGTTGGATTTTATGAAGAATTGAAATGGCGACAGCACCTTTTAGAAATAATATATGGCATGTTACACTTCTTATCTTATGAATTAATTCCTAAGGTGGATTGTTTATCCTGCTTGTAATATGTCAAAAACTATATCTGTTAACACTTGTTGAAACTAGCTTAGTATTGTGTTTGCTATTGCACTGTGAATATGGAAGAAAATATCATTCTTTATCGTCATATTTTATTGTATTATTTTAAAAAAAGGTAAGTGTGTTGCAGAACCTCATAGAAAAATTTGCAGTGTTTATGGGGATGATCCCTTAATCGAACGCAACTGTCAAAATTGGTTTGCCAAATTTCATTCAGGAAATTTTGACATCAATGATGCAACAGTGTGGTCGCCCACATGAAATTGAAATGAGCAATGTTATGGTCATTGTTGATCAAAATCTCACCCAATCAGTGCGAGAGATTGCTATGGCCCTAAATATGTCGCGTAGAAAACCCTTTGCATAAGCTTAGCTATGTTTCCAGGCTTAATGTTTGGGTCTCTCACATGATTTTTTATTTAAAAATCACACAAAATGTTATAACTTCAGAACGACTTTAGCTATCTACAAGATTTTGTGTTTAACCAAGACAATGCTAGGTCAAACACCTCATTGGTCACTTGCAATAAATTATTGAGACTTGGATGGGACCTTTTGCCCCATCCTCCCTATTCACCAGACCTAGCTCTAAGTGACTACCACTTACTCTACAGAACTCCATGAATGGAAAGGAATTCTAAAAGGAAGAGAACATAAAAAAAACCACTTGGATCAATTTTTTAACATTAAACTCCAGACATTCTATGAACATGGCAATATGGAGTTCATGGAAAGATGGGAAAAAGTCATATTAAATAATGGTCAATATATTGTAAATTAAAATAAATTTGATGTCTATAATACATTGAGTTTTATTTCACCCTGAAAAACCGAAAGGATTTATTTGCCAACCCAATAATATCAACACATATTTATTTTTAGTTAATTTTGATCTGAATTCTAATTTGATAAAATAATTAAGGAATGAAGTCACGCTAATGAAACTGTAATTACCTGACAAAAGCTTGTCAACTGTCGATGAGAGACGTGTGTTGTGTTCTTCATTCATTTTTAGTCTCTGATTGAGTCTGACAAGTTCAGTATTCTTTTCTTCAACCTGTGCTTCTAACCTTTGTATTCGATCTTCAGCAGTACCATGCCTTTCTTGGGCCTATAAATTTATAGACACCAATTAATAAAAAAAAAAAAAAAAATGTTCTTCAAGAATAAAATAATATTGTCTTAATACTTTTAAGTCTTTAGGACCGTTTCATAAACAATGATTATGATCAGATAAGTAAAAAGACATTCGATTATTAATTTGAAATTGAGTATAAATACTAAATATTAATTTATTATTTAAAACATGACTAATAAACAAAAGTTATATGACAAATATTTATACACTTAAATTTTTGAAATATTCATAAAACTATTGAATATCACTTACTAGATTATGATTGTCAAAAGAAATTGCAAACAGCCTCATAATAAATTCTTTCGTTCAAACACTAAAATGCAAATCTAACCAACTACAAGAAGAACATTAATAATAGAAAAAAAATATGAAATAAAATTACATTGGAATAGACACATACATGCAAAATGCATGCTAGTAAAGTTTAAAAAAAAATTAAAATTTCAACCGAATACATAGAACATGTTTAAAAGTCATGCTTAAATGTTTTGGAATAAGAGAAACATAACTTAAAATCATGAAAAAATGGAATAAAACAAAACGATAATGTGATTTGAAATTAAATTAGCCAAAACCAAAAATGATCTGAATGAGAGGAATATTATTTAAAGAAATAAAATTTGATTTGTTATAAGTAATTAATATCAAGTTACACCAAATATGAAGGGAAATGAAACAATAAAAGTTTTGCTCTATCTAGAGACAAAGCAGAGATTGAAGGCCTAATATGACACACAAAGAGGGTAAGTAGTCATTGGAAAAAATAGAATAATATAATTAACAACTAGCATTCACATTCTCGAATGTCTTAACACTAATACAATGATTTAGATACTAGAAATATATAGTTATCAAAGAATTTCTTATTGTGTTGTAAATTGTAAAGTGTATCTTATTTTTTTGGTTAAATTAGAGAACAAATATAAAAAATAATAATAATAATATAATATTTATTTAGGATTAATTGATTATTTTAAAAATCTAGTTTTTAACTCTTAAAACAAATGATAAGCATAAAATAAAAATTTAGCTATAATTTGTAATCAATTTCCGTATGACAGGAGTCCTTATTTAAATTTTTCATTTGTTACTTCGAAACTAGAATTTGTTTCCTTACAAATTCTCAAGTACAGGTTTTAGAGAAATTTTATTTTTAAAAGTTCTGTTAAAGCTATTCACTCTGCCAAAAAGTCAATCTAAAAAATAGTGATTGAGTATTATGTTTTTAGCTACTCAAACAATGGATGCATAAGAATCAGGTAATCCATTTATTTATAAGAAGAATTATATCTATAACATAGGCCCAATTACTGTTGTTTTTTCTAATTAAACGTAATTTTTTTAAAAAGAATTTAAGTAAAAAGTTAAGATTTTGGCATGAACCAAGAAAAAGTTTCACAGAAACTGTTAAAATGGAACTTTTAAAAAAGTTCCTATCTCTGCTTGAAAATATTTCATTAGTGAATACAATTGGCAGGAACTGGTTCTTAAAAAAAAAACTAAATAAATAAATCGCATCAAAATATTTTTATCTCCTTCACAGCTTTCAAAACTTTAGTTAATTTTTTGTTTCTAAAACATCAAACCATGTACTAACATTTAAAAATAATTTTAAATTATAACAAATCAAAATCAAAAGGGATTGACGATTTACCAAAATTCAAAATAATAGTAATGATGATCTGACATAAGAATGATGAATTATATAAGGATCCTAGACCTCCCACTAAATCAAAAAAAGGTTTTGACAAAATGTCCTTTTTTCAAAATAATAAACAGATTTACTGATGCGCCAAAAAAAGGAAAAATGTGCTTTTAGAAGAAATAAGAATTTCTATTTTCCGATAAGTAAAAGCTATAAATGCCTTTTGAGAGGAGTCTCCCTTCTTATCTTGAGACTGGTTATTAAGTGATGGCTGCCTCACCTGGGACAATGCTGCCATCCTTGCCCGCAATTCTTCTTCCATTTCTGGCAATTTGGCAAACTGAGCCAACTTTTGTTCACACAACTCAAGCTTCTCTTGAAGAGCTCGTATTTTATCTTCTTGAAGCTGGAATCAATTGGGAAATAAAAATTATCAGAAAACATAAAAAAAATTAATATAATAACTTAAAGTAATGAGATACTTTACTTATATACATGGTATTTATATATATAAAAAAAAAAAACATTATCTAACAATTTTGTTTTTATAACCCATCATTTTTAAGTTTGACCTTTCTTTTTTTTTAACTTATGGGATAAGTTTAGTACTAAGCTAAGCATATCCTCATATCAATTTCTTCCTCTATACTTTTTTCTATTACAGCATTTTTAAAATGGGTTACGATTTGTCTATGATTGGCTGTAGCAAAAATGATAAAAGCTTTCCTATGATAAGTAAGGCAGCAGCACCTACCAAGCCTTGGCTCCAATTGGTAACACAGACTCAATTATTACCTTGAAGTTAAGTACGCAGAGCTTGGCACACATGTTTGACATGCCATCACTCCAAAACCTATGTAACGTCAATTCAATAGATCAATTTCTTTTGCTCTTCAAACTGTTTCCAACAGCGCAAAAGTTTCTTAGTCTTTCTCAATGTTCTGGTTTAAAAACAAATATGATCCATAGACTGGAGAAATGAAACTAATAAGGTAGCATAGGCAGGGAACCTTTTTAGATTGGTGGCCGCATTTAGTTTAGGCAGTGATAGTAAATTTAATTATATTACTCTATGAGTATTTTTAATTATTTAAGCATATATATTTTTTATACAAATTTGGATTTTCATGTTATTATAATTTATGAAATTAAATATTAATTATACGAGATACAGCATTTATGAATGCCACAGGTTCCTAATCAATGGAACAGGATATTCCAAATTCTTCTAGGTTCTTCTCCTAGCCCTGGAGCCAGGGCCCAAAAATCACTCTCATCGCAGGCGAAGGATTGAATGTTAATTACGAAAACGTATGTTATTCTGAGTAAAATTAATCTTGTCTACCATTCCATAGTCGCTCCTTTAAAAAAGGGCGGTTGATTTAAAGAATATTAGGCCAGTAACTTGGGGATCGATACGGGAAATCAATTGAGAAAAATGTGAGAAACGTTTTTATTTTATACGCTAGTATATATGGGTTTAGGCATGTAAAAAACAAAATTGCTAACTCAGGCAACCAAGGGAAAACTTTTTATAGCCATAAAAGTTAGATTTTTTAGATATTTTTTTTTCCACCTATAACTCCTAAACGATGCATTAAAGCGAAAAATGAATTCTTTAATATATTAAAGAAAGTTAAATTGTATGTCAAAGGGGTATCCCTCAACGCAAAATTTGGTGCTCCACAACTTTGATTCTATGGATTTTTCTTCTTAGAGAACTCATTTCCAAGTTACAGGGCCATTTACAGTAATTTGTCTCAGTTTTTGACAAATTTGGTAAAAATCAGCTTTGGTTGACTGTGGTTTTATACCTTACCACATAACCAAATTATTAAGTTTATGTACTCATTCGACACACAATTTAATGTTCTGTAATTTCTTTAAGAGTACATTTTTCACTTCAATGCATAGTTTAGGAATTATAAGTGAAAAAAACAAAAAAATAACAAAAATATCAGACTATTTTGGCTGTAAAAAGTTTTCTCTTGGAGGCCCGGCTTGGCAATTTTGTTTTTTACATGTTTAAATGCATATATACAAGTTAAAAAAATAAAAACGTTTCTCAAATTTTTCACAATGGATATCCTGTTTCGATTCTCAAAATACTGGCCTAATATTCTTTAAATTAGCCACCATTTTTGAAAGCAGAGTCTCTGGAATGGCAAACAAGGTTCTTTTTACTAAGAATAACATACACTTTCATAATTTACAAACATTCGTCTGCGATAAGGTCGATTTTGGACCCTGGTTTCAGGGCTATCCAGTGGAATTATCATGTTATGCATTTAAACTCTAAGTTCATTCCAAGGACATGCCTTCTAGCTGTGTCAAAATATCTTGTTTTTATTTGAAATTTGTAAAAATCTGTGAGCCTTGTAGCCTATGCCATCCATATTTTTCTTTCTACAGTTGGCTAGGAGAAAAAAACAGCCTTGTTTTAATTTTTTTAAGGTGAAGAAAATTAAAACAGCCTTGTTTTAATTTTTTTAAGGTGAAGAAAATCAGAGAGTTAAGCTAAAATAATTCAAAAGAAATAACATAACTTAGAGTTACAAGAATAGGTTCTTTGATCAAATATACTAACCTAATAAGGAATTCATAACCATAGGTCATGTTCAAATCTATTAACCTAATAAGGAATTCATGATCCATGCTTTGAATTTGTAAAACAATATAAAGAAATGGTTTAGATAAAATTTAGGTACAAGTAAAATAAATATCAGAACAAATAAATGTAAATAAATACATAAACATACATGTACAAAAAATAAGATAATAGGCAATATTCAGAATGTTTACATAAATTGTTGATCAATGAATTAGTAATGATTATTCTACTCATTAAAAATAAAAAACAAGGCAAAAATAATCATAATTTTTACCGAAATGATAAAACTAGAGCAAATCATTTCATTAAGAAGAATTGCATATCTTTTATCAAACTTAAGATGGTCAATAACAAAATCAATTTTTAATTTCCTTTCTTAATTTTACAAACAATGTATAATTAATACCAAGGAAATGAATAGCATTAAAAATTATAATTAATCAGTCTATAAAATAATAGAGAAAAGTATTTATATTTCTGAATTTTTATTTTAATATAATATACAAGCTTTCATATGCACAATTTTGAACTATTGAAAATTGGCAAAGCTTTTTTTTTTTTTTTTTACCTTGAGTTGTGCTTCTTTATGCTGTAATTCTTGCTCAAGCTTTTCGTTAAGGTCGTGCAGTGATGTTGACTCTCGCTGTGCATTTAGATACCTCTTTTCAAGAGTAGCTATCCTCTCTTCCTAAAATTACAATAACATATGTACAGTTTACATATATACTTTAAATTTCCTGTATAATAAGTGGTGTAAAAGAACATATTTACATAAACACATAAATATTTTCTTTTATTTCTGCTTTTTTTTATTGCTTTCAATTTTATAATATTCGGAAAAACAATAGTATAATTAAAACTCTAACAGTAAATGACGTAGAGTATGTACACATTGCAAAAGAAATAAGAAAAAAAATGTGTATGTTTATAATTAAACTGAAGCAACTTGTGAAATTATTAAATATGAAGGGGAAGGTGTCTTTGACCAACACACTGCGTGGTGTTGGTTTGAATAATTTAGTGGAGATACGGCGTCGGAAAGGAAGAAGGGCTCCGGGCAAACATTAATGGATATTATTAATGAGGTTCTGCTGAAAGCTGTTGAGTCAAATCCATCCACAAGTACTCCTGAACTTGCCAGGGAGTGTGTTGAGTCGAAAGATTCTATTAGTCTCCATCTACACTCCATGGGGAAGGTGAAAAAGAGCAGTAGACTAGTCTCTCACGAATTTACTCCTCAGCAATCAGCTACGAGGTTAGAAATTTATGAAAATTTATTGAAAAACCCTTCTGATATGAAACTCCTGCCTCATACACCATATAGCCCAGATCTTGTACCATCTGATTACTACTTATTTAGATCCATGGCCCATTTTCTTCAAGGAAAAATTTTTGATAAAGTTGAAATTGCAATCCAAGAATTCTTTGACAGCCATCCCAAAGAAGGTATCAGCGTGGGATTGAGCAATTGGCTAACGACGGTAAATAACAATGGACAATACTTTGAATATTTATTGTATTGTATATCAAAGAAATAATAATACAAATATTTGGATGAAAAATGATCATTTTTTTTTTTTTATACACCCATAAATTTATCTATATAACAAACTTTAACGAAAAGAAGTTGGAAAAAAATTTACGAGGAGTGTTAAAATTAGATTTCCGAATAACTCAAAAAGTATATACTTTTTTGTTGATATTGTATATGGTTATTTATAAGTTTAAGAAATCATAAAAAAAAAAAAGTTGGAGTTAAAATATGATATTCGAAATATTTTTCATATGTTCTATTGTAAAGCTAATATCCTTTATTTTGGTATTTGCTTTTTTGAAAGTTTTACAACAACTGAAGTAATGTTGGCTATTTGTCTTAGCAAAATTACGAAAGAAAAAAATTATGCCACTAATAGGAATCACCTTTCATTTATTTTCCTTTATGTTACATGGAAAGTAGTGTTTTTTTTTTATGTATAATTGTTCGGAAAAAATAAACCATTGTGTAATCATTTGCAACATTTTTATTTATTTATATTTTAATTATGCAGTATAATTGAAAATTACCTGATCTTCTTTTTGAGCAACATTTTCTCTTAGATCTCGCTGCAATTTCGAATTTGTATCTTGAGCTCGGCTGAGTTCCCTTTGTGCTTTACTTAAATTGTCTTCAAGTTCAGATACCCGGCCTGTTAATTCACCAACTTTCCTTTCCCATCTTGATATTTCTTGATTCTGAAATGTCAATAATAATAATGAGAATAGTTTTTTAAATTTCAAGAACTAAAAATAAATAAACTGATTTGATAGAGTTTGGTCATGTTAAGCCTTTTACAAATTTAATGGAGTTCCTTCTTATCATTTATAATCCTTTCCAAATGATGCATAAGTTGAAATTCTTTCCAAACCACATATAAATGTATTCATCTTAATATTAATCACTAGTGGACCCAGGATTTAATTTTGGGGAGGAGCTTCAGTCCAAAAGCGTTATTTTTTCATAAAAATAACGATAATTACTTTGGAAAAAAAGAAAGAAACTAACTAACTATATGAAATGGTGTTTAAGTGATTCCTAAAGCCCTTTTAATATTAATCACACAAATAGTAATACTTTAAGAGATACTTTTTTAATATTTTTTGGGATAAAACATGGTTATAATTTTACCATTTTGGGGGGGCTTCAGCCCGAAAGCTCCCCTCCCCCCCCCCGTAGATCCGCCCGTGATATTAATCAATTACATATCAATCAGAAATTCATAAAAAAGTAATATACTTAGTCTTTTCAAAATTAAAAATAAGTTTGTTGAGTTCAGTATAATGGCTTAGCCTTGATTGTGTTAGGTTTTGCTACTGTCTGTAATTTGACTAAATCTTATTTTATAAGTATAAATTATCAGTGCATCCTAATAATGTTGTAATGTTCTGTAAATCTGTTTTTAAAAATTGTATTTATTAAAATGTTAATAATGGGGATGCTAATGATCCTAGAAGACTTTTTAAAGTTATTTTTTGTCAATATAATAGAAGATCACCTAGATTGAAAGTTTTTCATTAGAAAACTAAATTAGTACAATCTGGTATAGGTATTTCAGACATATATATATAGCCTGTTCAAGATTGCAAGCCACCAGGCACTGTCAAAAGGACCAGTAATTTCTTGTGTTTTTACATTCATTTTTTGATAATAACCAACAATATTGTCAAGGTGATTTTGCATGGCATTTATGTAATTTTAAAAACCAACTCCTCACATAATAAATTATAAAAAACTTGAATGATAATAAGGATAACACCAAGACAATATTTGTTTTACTCTTTAAGCATCGGAAATGTAATCTAGTAATGGTTGAGATTTTTGTATAAGCTGAATGATGTTTTCTGAAGACGATCTAGTGATTAGGAATATCATAAAATATTCTCAGAGAATCTAGATAATGAAGAAGAATATTTTCAAGTAATCTGGAAAAGGAAAGAAGAAGACAAATAGGATGACAGCCTAAAGGTTTATGGGCTTTTAATACCATAACAACTACTAAATATTACCTCACATCTATAGCTCAGTCAAATTAGACATGTTGCCTTGCAAAACGTTGGGTATTTCCAATTTCTTTTTTATATTTTTACGTATGCAGTGAATTTAAAAAAATCAAGTTTCCATCCGTGAAAGGCTTGTTGGTTCGCTGTAGTGCTCCAAAAACCATTGAAATTTCAAACTTTTTTTGTTTAAGCTAAATATCTCTTTTTTAAAGCAACATAGATAAAAAATAGTGATATTCAATCTTAAACAACTTAAAATTACCTAACTTTTTTTATTATAAAACCAACAGGAAGCGAACTATTGAGTTTTCGAAATAGTTTACCAATATCGATTTCTCCACAACAGTGCTATTTCAGTTTTGAATGGAAGAATTCTGCAACTCCATTTTGGATAAATTGCATATAATTGAGTTTCTTGTAACTAATTAAAAAAAAAAAATTTCCCATAAAAAAAGTGGCCACATTGCCCTAAAATGGCGTTCAAACATGACAGATTGACCTCTTTGACTTGAGTTAGTTTTTCGGTCACTGAGATTTGGTTTCATTTCATCATAATTGGCATTTTATTACAGCTGGATAGTTAGAGAGTAATAAAACATGAGCACATATTTAAAAGTAATTGTAAGAAACACCAGTAAAGTCAAGTTTTTCAAGTCGTTCAAACTAAAGTTGAAAATCAAGTGCCTTTTGTAAATAAACGGCCAACAATAACGAAAAATGTCCTGAAATAAAACATCTGGAAAATGCATTTCTCTTTCTAAACCACTGATTACTTTTTAAAATATTTGAAGCAGTTAAATAGAAAATACACTTAATCGGTGGAAAAGCGGCACTGGCATAGGCGTTTAGAGTCCTCTGCCACATCATTAAGTACTCATAAATAGCATAGTTATAGTGCTATAATGGTTGTATTAATGAACAAATATTAATACAATAATTGAAATGTCAAATTTATTATTATTTTATTTTAAACTTTACCCATTTTGAAAGCTCGATTGTTGGTTTTAAAAAAAATGTTCGATAATTTTAAGCTGTTTAAGATTTAATATAACCATTTTTTATCTAGTCGCCTTAAAAAGGAGAGATTTAGAGTAAACAAAAAAAAGTTTGAAATTTTAAAGATTTTTGGTGTACTGCAGCGAACCAACAAGGGTGAAAACTTGGATTTTTTATAGTCACTGCCAACCTAACAATATAAAAGAGAAATATGAATTACCCGAACTTTTGCAAGCTAGACCACTTTTTATGTGCTAATTTGACTGGGCTATTAAAATTTGTGAGGTATAAAATTTGAAATTAAGTCATATCCTGGAGCTTTGATAACTGGTAAAGCCTCAATAAATTACTTCTTATGGATGGATAACCATTGTCGATATTCTTAAGAGAGAGAGCATATTGAGTTGTTACAACACAAGTTCATTAGTTAGTCAATTAACTCACTCAATTAAGAGCGGTCAAAACTTGTCTTCTAAATTCAGTTTTAGTTTTCTGAATTTATCTTAGAACCATCTGGATGGCGAATAGGACGTGAGACATCATGGTGTTGAAACTGTTTCGAAATTGATTGAACTTTTCAGTATTGGTATGCCTTATTTCAATATGTAATTGTTTTGCTTATTAAATTTGTATTTGTCTGTTTGGTAATAAGTCCTTTGTCACATTTTATATGGTTTTCACTTTAGTATGAGATTTTGTACGTTTGAATAATAGATTATGTATATAAAACAAAACATAAGGTAAAAACTAAGTTCACACGCTGACAAACAAAGATATACAAAATGTAAAGGGAGACAGAATACAATAAATGATGCAAGTAAAATAATAAATCAGTATTAAGAAAACAAAAATTAAATTTTCATGCTTATTCAAGTAATAAAACTATGGTTAATATAAGAATAAATAACAAAGGTCACACCAAGATGTAAGATTACTTTCCAACAACAAAACTACTTTCTAACATAACACAACCAATGTCCATTGGAGTCAGAAACAATTTAAACTGTGTCCATCTGAAAGTTCTTTTTCCTAGAATACATGATAGCATGTATTGAATAAACAAAAAGAAAAAAAAAAAATTGTTTGCCAAGAAAAATATTTATATAAAAGGTTAAGGATAACTTATATATTTATATAAAAGGTTAAGGTCATTAGATTATTTTAAAAAGAACAAAAAAACAACAACAAAACAATTAATTTACCTGCTTATCAATAGCGAGTTGAGTTTCAGACTTTTCTGTTTCCGTTTCTATAGACCCATTTGACACCGACTGTTTTCAACACAATACAACATCAACAAACTAATGCATAACACATTATCTCATTAATCTTAAAAAAAATAATTAAATAAAATATCAATAAACAGAAATCAAACATAAAAAAAATGGTGATTAATAAACTATATACAATATGATAAGGAAAAGGTAGATATTTTCACTGCAGTCAAATACATGCACAAACTTCCATAAAAGAGCAAGGGTTTCATTCAATAATAACACATAATAGCTATTCTCTCTAAAGTGCACAAGGAGTTAAAAAGGGTTCTGAAATACCATAACAGGCATAAACACTCAATTCAAAAACATCTAATTCAATTTGAAAAATGACATCGGTTGCTTTCTCAAACCGGTGCAACAAGTTACATCAACTAGCTTCATTAACGTATCAATAATGCTCTACTAAATATTTTAAAGTGATTGGCAGATATTCAGAAATGGCTTACTTTTTCTTTATTTATTTTATTACAGATACTAAAAACAGAAATAATCTTTTAGGTGGACCAAATACTTGATAAATATTTAAACTGAATGTCCTCGCATAATAACCTTCAAACCGATCTTTTTTCAAGAATTGAATGGAAACTTCTTTATTTACCTTATAACTCTGTAGCTTAAAAATTGGTTGAAATTTATTTTCAGCAATTTTTAACCCATAGAGTTATCAGATAATTGGTTCAAATTGAAATAACGAAAAAATAAATAAAACAGTTGCACCAAAGAAAGTCAAAAAGTTATCATGAATGGCTATCAAAATGCTAAATTGGCTTGTCTGTCCATATCCAATTCACATTTAGGCCTGTTTATTCAAAATTCTATCGTAACGCTTTGTTAGAGAGGCAAAAGGAGAAAAAATAGTGTCGGAAACCAAATTATAATGAGTTTTATTGAAGATATGGATACAAATATCTCAGAAACTAAAAATCGGACCTGCATACTGTAAGTGGGAGCATTGTTCAGCACTTCATCGTCTTTATAATGAGCTATATTTTATAATTTACATATCATATAATTAATCTCGCCTTGTTGATGTTTTCATTTGTATTGTGTGGTCTAAAGCACACGCCTTAGTTTTTTTTTTTTTTTAATATTAAATCTTTTGGGTAACTTATTATTATCATATAATATACTTACTAAAGTGTCATAGACATCAAAAAAAATTTGACAACCTAAAGGTCTGTCACAATCTATCTAAAGGAATGGTCATTATGTAGCCCAGATCCAAATCCTATTAAGCATATGAGGTTTGATATAAAAACAAACAAAGAGATGACTAACTTTACATAGTCACTTCAAATATAAGAGATTTTTTAAATGAAAATTTAAAATATCCTTTAGGACTTTTTTTTATTGACATAATATAAATATACTATCAGTAAAACTATTAATTCAGGAACAATAACTATTTGTAATAAATAAATTTAGTAATTTTTCCCTAAGGTAATTAAAAACTGAAAAAAAAGTTTTGTAATGTTATAACTCCATAATTTAATATTTTATTTAGTTATTTGATTGAACCTAATACAGGATAGAAGATACAATTTTTCTCCCATTAATTTAATAATCAATGCCTTATGAACAACTAACTATATGCAGGAATTCATTTATGCCAAAAGATTATAGTTTTATAAATGTTTAGTGTCATCATAACTAAAATAAAATAAAGAAAAAAAATTAACAATTTAGATGGTTCTTTCGGGGACTGAAAAATAAACTCAAGTAACTACAAATGGAATAAAATAGTACCTGGAGTTGTTGCTGTTGCTGCTGAGGTGTTGGCTTGTTTTCTCCATCTTGTATTCCGTTTTCTTTGGGTTTGTTGTCGATATCTCCCGAAGGTGGCACGTTTCCTGTCTTAAACTGTTGTAACTAGATAATAAGAAAAAAAAAGAATAAATTTGTTAAGGTAAAACAAATATTTAATTGTTTTTATGCATAGAGAATAATAGTTCAATATTTTTCCCCTGTTGGCATTACCGACCATGTAGATCTTTTGTCGCCTTGACAAGCTTGCCCCATCTCTGCCTGTATTGAGCTATTTCCAATAAAATTATAATAAAACTATAATTTTTTAATAAAACAATGTTTTAATGTTATCCTCTATTAAAACCACATGTAAAAAAAAAAAAAAAAAAAAATGCAGGTTAGATATGCATTGGACCTGCCATAGTTTTCACTCTGATGAAGCCAATCAATTTGATGAAGGAGTCAAATTAGATTCAATCTGCATGTGAAGCTCAGTCCATCATATATTTGTACATAAATATTTAAATTATATAATTTAATTTTTTCCTTTTAAATTATAGTCCAGTACAACTTACTTCATCTTTGGTGTTTTGAAGTTCTTCCTCTAACGTTGTATTTCTTTCTAAAGCTACCCTTAACCTTTCTCGAACCTGAAATTTTATATCACATTTAAATATTAAAAGAAAAATTGTGATATCAAAAAACTATTATAATGTAAATAATAATATATTTTTAGAAAATAAAATCTAAGTAACAAGATAGTTCAACAGGTTTTTAAGATTAAAATTTTAAAAATTTATCTGTTATCATTATAGAAGGAAGTTAGTCGACTGTTCTACATATCATGGGTGATAAATATTCAGGACGCAGTCATTATAAAATTTTTATAGTGCCCACTAACCTATCAAATGTGTCAGTACTTGAATATCTTCAGTGCTCGAACCACGCCCTGATGATGACCCACATGTTCGGGATGAAACGTCGGCGCTAATAAAAACTTTGTAATGACTGCGTCCTGAATATTTATCACCCATGTTATCATTATTGTTACATGAATAAAAACTCAACGTACCAATTACTAAAATTAAAAAATTAATAAATCACAACCTGGTTCAGATTAAAATTTATGGTGCTAAAAGTACTCATCCCAACGTATATATATAATATATTCATTATATGCTTTATATCTTAGATATACATATTATGTATATAAAATAAAAGGTTTAAGATACAAGATTAAGAAAGATATGGGTTGTAAAAAAAGAACAAGAAACTTACAAAAAGTCTTTGAAAAAGAAATAAAAAGCTTTGATAAACTTAAAAAGGGCAAAACAAACCAAATAAGTATTCATTACATTTGGTATTTACATGCAATTATGTAATCAGCCATATGTAATTTAATATATTTAGTATTAATAGTAAACTAGATTTCCACATTAAACAAAGTTTAGAATAAAAGATGAAATAAAATAAAATAAATACAAAAAAAAAAAAAGGAATTAAAAATAAACTGAAGACAAACTAAGAACAAGTGTCACCTTTTCGTCTAGGGCTTTGTGGTGTTCAAACAGACTCTTGAGAGCTTTCAACACTTCTACTTCAGAGGAAACTACAGACTGGGCTGCTGCTTGCCGTTTCACAACTGTCATCCTAAGGGATCGTTCGTGTCGAGCCACAAGGCACTCCAGGTGTTCTAAAAGGAGCTGAAGTAACAGTCAAAATAGGAAAAATAAGTAAAGAAATAGAAAGAGGAAAAAAGTCACTTTAATTAGAATTAAAATATGTACTAAGTAAATTCAAGCATTAATAATTAAGTCAAAAATAAATATGCTAACAAAGCATACTAAAAAGAATTTAAGAACAAGATATAGGGAGTGATTTTAAGAGATTTGCGATCAGAATTTTAAGTAATATGACATTTTATATCAAAAGTTTTCAATAATTCAATAATAATACCAACAAATTAGAATTAGAATAACAAAAAAAATAAATAAATAAATGAAAAAATCTATTGCATATTTTTATAAACCTATGCAACTAGACAACTTAGTGTGAGATAATCATTGATAAGAAAATCTCAATTTTAGAATTAATACAATTTTGATCTTTTTATGTCATTTATTTGCAGTATAGTGTATCAATAAGACTCAATAAACAAAAAAAAAATACTTGTGGTTTATGACTACAAATAAATAAACGAAAATTCCTAAATAATATCCTCTGATTTGAATAATTATCGTTAGAATGAAAAAAATCAATTTAATTTAATTCATGCGTTTTAAAATATTTGAAGTTTACATGAAACAACTTATGAAACCTATACATATTAAATTAAGAGTATTATAAAATAGCCCTTGGTACAGACCCCTTTTTATCAAATGATTAACATCCAGCTGAAACTTTGTTAATAGCTTCATCTCATGGTAACCTACAAATATTTTATTTACGAAAATTCTTGGAATTGGGGCGTTTTCAATCTGGAGGAAGGCAAACTTAGTGTATTTAATTAGGTACTAAAAACTCGTAAATTCCCATTTGCTTTCCAATTTAATTGTCAAATAACTTGAGCACACAGTCGAGAAAATAGGTGGCCTACAAAAACATTGAGCCGTTTGGCCTATATAACCTCTTTATTTTGAAAATTTGGGGGTGTAGGTCACGCTAAACGGCTCAATATTTTTGAAAGCCACCTTTTTTCTCGAATTTGTGCTCAAGTTATCTAACAATTAAATTGGAAAGAAAATGGGAATTTACGAGTTTTTAGTAATTAAATACACAAAGTTTGCCCTCCACCAGATTGAAAACACCCCAATTTCAAGAGTTTTCGCAAATATAATATTTGTAGGTTACGATGAGATGAAAGTATTTACGAAGCTTCAGCCGGATGTTAATAATTTGAGGAAAAGGGGTCTGTACCACGGACTAAAAGATATATAATAGTGTAAGCGTTCCAAATCATTAATTAAATATTAGCAAATGCACAAATGTACAAAGAAATTCAGACGGGTAAAGCTTAAGATTACAGTATGTAACATGTTGGTTTATTGGAAAAAGTCACAATTTACACTTTTGGTGGATCTAAACTTTTGAGAACGTTTTTGTTAATTTCGAGTTTATTTATAGATAAAAAACATATTAAGTTCAATAAAATGACACAAATCCTTTTTTATGTTAAATATAGTTACACATATCTGATTTCACAAAGAGAGAAAATTCATCAAAATCCTCAGTTATCTAAAGTTATAAAATGTCACTTGATGACTTTCTGCACAATAAATCGACGATATTTTATTAACAACTATGAAAAATTAACCGCAATATTATAATTTTATCAGGTACTTAATTGACACCAGTTAATCAGCTAAAGGGTCGTTAAAATTACTATCATTGTAATTAGATTTTGTAAAATGTATAAAATTAGAACAAGGTTTATTTTAAAGAAAATTACTAACAAAAAGCAAAGGAAATCCGACGGAAATAGGGAAAGCCTTGGAGAGTAAATTAAATTACGAGGATTAGATTTGGATCAAGAGGAAAGGAGAAAATAGCCAGGCTTTACAGAAGAGAAAAACAGGTACCCCAGCGCTTTTAGTATTAACATCAAAATGTTTTAAAATCGAATATGGGCTTTAAGGCTTTAAGGTTCAACCAAGAGGAGCGACGGCCGATTAGAACCATCTATTTTAAATGGACCAACAAATTTGAGTAACTAACTTAATTTTAAATAAATTTTTGAGCTTGCCTTAAAAAAAATAATAATATTTGATTAGTAATTTTCTATTTGAAATGAAATATGTCTTTTCAGAAATTGATGAACTCTGTCTTTGTTATCTTGTAAATATATGAGTTTTTCTTGGTTATGCTGTATGTATTGTAAGCTTATACTTTTATAACGTCTCATTTTGTGATATTTGTTTCTTTTACACCTCCCTACTCTCCCTAATTTTATTCTTATCTATTTACATTTTTCGATGTTAATTTTTTCACAGTACAATGATAATATTAATGGGACTCCTTTTCAAAACCACTTTCATAAGAATCGGACTCAGGCCACTATTGTTAATTTTTCAAACGCGAATTCAAAAATAAAGCAATGAGTTGATAGAAGGTATGACGCGGCTGAAGCTGTGTCAATTGATGGTTAGGGTAAGTTGTTACCGTTCTTCGCCACTCATTCATCATCCCTTACACCCCTCCTCACCCTCACCACCAGCTTTTTATACGCCACAGCAGTTCCTTCCATCTATCTTCTTTAAGTACAGCCACTATTATTACAAACAAAACATCCCTGAAGCCTTCCGTTCTTTCGGGCTGTCTTGTATCTGCAGGATTCCAAACAGTTTTTTATTTCCTGACTACGAGTAAGGGTATTTGCGGATGTATATTAAGACAGACGGACAGTAAAATACAGTAGGTAAACAGATAACGGGACTAAAAGTAAAGAAATAAAGAAATTGAATGATTATTATCTTTATAGATTATCCTATTAATCTTTCAATTTCTTTATTTCTTAACCTTTAGTCCCGTTATCTGTTTACTTACAGTTATCAAATGTAACCTCCACTAGCTTGTTATCCACTGATATCTTATTATTATGTTATCTTATTCTTATTTTAGCTGTACTATATTAATACTTATTCAATTTTCAATCTCTTTATTCGTCAACATTCATTTTCTTCATCTGTTAATCTACAGTTATCAAATGTAATCTTTATTAGTTTGTTATACACTCATTCGTTATCTTTTATCACAATCTGTTTACTTTTAACTTACATGCTATATTCTCCTTTGTTTTCTATTTTTATTTATACTTATTTTCTAATTTTGTTTGTATCTTCTATATATATAATACTTGATATTTTCACTAAATTGTCACCCACTCTGATATCATCTTTTTATTTCGTTATCAGACAACTTCTCCTTATTAAATATCTACTTATATTCATTTATTTTATTTTCACCATGTACCGTTTATATTTTGTATCTTTTGTAGCCCTGATGAAGACCTGCAAAGTGGGTCTAAACGTCGGAGAAAAAATTAAATAATACTATTTCTATAATTTTGTATTTATTTGACAGCACCCCCTCCCCCCTCCTCTCCCGATCAACTCCTTCTCATATTATATCACAGTCAACCATCTCTAAATCATTAAATAATTTGAAGGTATTTATTTTATACTTCTGGCAGAGTTTAAGATCCTATACTTAAATATTGTTTTATATTATTTAATGTTTAATAATTTACTTGAGGAAGAGTTTTGCGTTATTTTAAGTATAAAGCATGAAAACTTTTCTCTTCCCTATTTGTCAATTTATTCATCTGTCCAACATTTAGGATTCTTTGTCCATCTTCAGAGACGTTTCTTTTCATAACTGATATTCTAACACTTTATTTAGATTGCTCCTAAATTCATCTTCCATTATTCGTATATGTCCTTCCAAGTCCATATTCAAACAAATTTTCTTTTTGACATATTCTGCCATTTTCACCTGCTCTGCAGCGTATCAAGAAAATTTGATGTATTACGAATTAGTTGTGATTTTTCTTGATTTTGTATTTATTGTAGTAGGCCCCTCGGCCATTTTCTTTTTAATCTGCGTCGATCAGGTAACAGGGAGCAGAAAATAGAAAGGACTAATGGATTGAAGTGATTTAGAGTCGAAGAGTGATAGAGTGATGAAGAAGAAATGAAGTGTATTTGCAGTAGATGTAGGATTTTACTGTTGGGAAGTTCAAGTCGTTATGTATTGTGTTATATTATATGTGTGTGTATATGTATTTTCTTATGTCATTTAATGTTTAATAATTTACGTAAGGAAGAGTTTGGTGTTATTTTAGGTGCAAAGCATACTAACAAGGGGAGGCTACGGTCAGTGGGTCACCGATTTCGACTAAATATTTTTCGGTGAAACTACATCGAAAAATATTGGACACATGTCCCGCGTTCGTTCCGATGGGTCCTAAGAGCCGAAAAAAAATATATATTTTTGCCTTTGCTTTTCCCGTATTTTTAGGTTATTATATATCAATCGATTTCTTTTTTAGTGTAGAATACGAAAAAAATATTGACTATTGCAAGAAATGATTTATAATAAACTATAAATAACAAAACACCACTTTCAATAAAGTAGGCGAAATAAATTTTAGTCATAAAAAACAAGTTAGGTTTTTAGTGTCCTCTCAAACTTTTAAATACTAATTTTTATAGGAATAAAAAATTGCGAAATTTAAATCTTGATTTAATATAACACGTGATATTGAACAAAACAACTTCATAAAAAATCATATTAATTATTTAGTATTAATGATAGTCGAATCATTATGCAAGTATTATCAGGTACTATCAACTGAGTAATTATTAATATTTAAATTAACAATTTTAATAATTAGTATTGTTTATTATTTTTTACTTATAATGATTATGTTTATTTTTTGAATTATTGAATCAAACTTTGTTACCATCATTATCTTTTAGTTTCATCCCTGTAATATAGTTCAAAATGACATAAGTTCTTAGAAAATGTGTACACAGTAATCCTTTTCATTACAATCTATATATGTATATGATATTCTTACTAATTCATGTTGAAGAAGCAATTAGAAATATTAAAATAAATAAGTAAATGAACGTGAACCTACCCGGGTGTTGTTTCTCTCAGCCTTCAGTTCTTGGATTTCTTCTTCCCTCTCCAGGAGATTTTCTCTAGCCTGGCTCAGCTCCTTTGTAAGGGTTGCGAATTCCTGTAAATTAAAAACGTGATTAGGAGAGCTCTCAAGACGAATAAATTAATTTTGTGAATTTATTCCAAGAAATTTGATTAAATGGAGTAAGCATGCTGCGCATAGAACGAAGATATAATCCATTGTAAATCTGTTTGAACAGAACTGCGCATTGATATAAAATGCTTGTTCAATCTGACCTCATCAAAATCTTATATTGAAGTTATGTTACATTATTATTTTTTTTTTTTTTTATGAAACTGATTTGAAAGTTCGTAAATGTATTACAGTAAAAAAAAACATTCATATAGATCTGATTGCAAGGAATCGGCAAAAGGTGAGAAAAATGCCTAGATAAAGAAACGCAAGCGAATGACTGGACAGGTGTAGTTTTTGTGTTGATGAAGATTTTGATCAACAAAAAAATAGGCAGAGCTCCATTATAAATATGATCGGGGTTTCGCATGTTAAATCAAACCTATATTTAATACAAGGAGGTTAAAAAAGATATTCGTCATAATTCGTTCTTCCACACTGGCTTCATCACCAGTGACTTGGTTGAGAGAGTAGCGCAGGGATCTGTTAGAGCTGCTTTTCCTTCTATAGTTAGAGGGAGAAGCCTGCCCAAAGCCAGTCCCTGTCTGATTGTATATATTGTATGTAGGTATGACTGTGTTTTTATGTTTTTAATTTACTTATCTTTAGGTTATTTTATTTTTTATTGTACATAGTTTTTTTTTTATTATTATTTAGTTATTATTTTGCTTTTGGTAATTTTATATTTTCTGTATATATGATGTGAATGTGTTTATTTATTACTATAATCATTGTCCACGAGACAGAATATTATATGTCTAAATAAAAAAGAAAAAAAAAATCGTTCTTAGAATATCAATAATATGATCAAGTGCAGTACCAGCCAGCTTCAGGTACCTCTAATCGCCACTTTTCGAAAAAAAAAACGTATTAAAATAATTAATTATAGCCATATTACAAATAAAATATTACATAATATAAAATTGCTTAATGTCTAAGGAAAGTACTAGACAAGTGTTTGTACAACAGGTATGGAACATCATTGAGGTTTTGTTACGTTCGTTTACAATGATTTCTTCTAAATAAAATCAGAAGGTTATAAATAGATAAATTTAAGATGAATATGTATATATGATTCGATTAAATTTAATATATAAATAATTTTTCGGAATCTTTAGATTCAGTCAATAAATAAACAATTATAAATATTCAGTTTATTATTTATATATATATATATATAAAAAAAGACTAAATTAATTGGGAAATTATATCCACCCGAAGGAAAAGTACTCTTCCATATCTAGAGAAAGATCTTGATGGATTGATGGAGAAATTGACATCAAGGATATTTAAAGTTTTTTTGGGAGTGGCAGCCATCAGACTATTAAACCAAGTTTAAATATTAGTATATTTGATTATAATTTCCTTATATATCTTCCAAGATATTTAATCAATATGTTTAAGTAGATATGAAAATACCCTTAGGGTAGATAGACTTCCTCGATTTCTGTTTGTATTTTTTTAAATTCAGATATTTCATTTATTTTAACATTTTTAGAATTGAAAATAGTAACAGTTTATTTTCATAACATATGATCCCCTGATAATATCTAAAATCAATTGAGAATTTCAGTTTACGGAATGACTAACTCCAATTTCAATATTTTTCACTTGTTGGCCGGTGCGAAAAAGTCGCAGACAATTCTTTTTAGTGAAGAAATAATAAAACAATATGGAAATAAATAGTTCCTATGTATCGTGTAAGGAAGAAATTATTATTTTTTCCTTGGTCGATTACAATATTCCATTAAACATAACAGACCAAAATATTTGTACAAATTGCTTTGCTAGGACCTATATTTAAACGCTGACTAGAAATATAATAAAAGTAATATAGACAAAATAATGCCCCGATCATGGGATATTATAAATTATTAAAAAAATTAAATGCAATAATAACCAAATGTCTTTAAGAAATAGTATAGAAATAGAAATAGTCAGACAGGAAAAAAAATGTAGTAGAAAATTCTATTGATAAATGCAATATCTTTAAATCGGAAGAAATTATTAAGTCATTATTAAACCAAGACTAATGGACTATATCTTTATTAATAATTGTCCGATTTTTTTGTTTGTTTTGTAGGTAATATAGGAATCTTTCTAATTATCATGGGTACAATCAAGAAAAAATGCATACTTTTTGCGCTATTCGCGAATAAAGTTTCTTTTTCTTCATAACTTTTTTTCAGAAATTTCGGGAGGATAGGACTATTTTTCGCATGTGAAGGAGAATACCTTCAAAATGAGTGGTCAATCATTGGATTTGATAAAGAATTGACGAAGTTATGGCGTATGGACAAAAAAACAAAACAAAAAAAAACACCTTTTATAAATAATATATAGGATTATTAATTTTAGTGATATTTCTAGAGGGAAAATTTATCCCTTTATTCACAGTTCTATATTTCAACACTGGAATCAACTCACTGTCTGTACAGATATTATAAATTTTTTAAATAGAAATATTATTAAAATGACATTACTCAAAAATGTTGAAATTGGAATTAGTCATTTATTGGAATAAACTATAATATTTTGTTTTCTTAACCCTCTACAGAACAGGGTGCATTTAAGAGAGGGATGGGATATACTATATTAGAAATGGTTTTCATTATTTTTTGCTCAAATTGCTTTAAAATATACACGGGATCCACTTAGTAATTAAAGTTAAAAATCGTTCAAGCCATCCGCTCAAAAAATCGTTAGTATATTTTAGCGAATTGATTTAACATACTGTACACAATAATTTGCCAAAATTTTGAGTTTAAATTCTTTCAAATCTCACCAGACCACACCGAATAATTTAAGATATCAAATATAAAAAACGATATTGCCGTATGCTCTAAAAATCGTTACACACCTTTTAAGAAAATAGATTAAACACAATTTATTCAATTAAGGATGTGTTTTGAGCTCAAATTCTTTTGACACTCACGGGATCTCAAAGAATATTTTGATCCATCAAACTTAAAAATTGATCCACCCGTTCGCTCATAAAATCGTACATAGCTTTTAGGAAAGCGATTAAACACATTTTATTCACTCACGGGTCTGACATAATTTATATTATTTCACAAATCATGTATACATAACAGGAGTGATAAATTTCAAGTTTTGATTACATTGCAATAATATTAATTATAATAAAATTATACAACTAACAAAAGGTCGGCTTATAAAGAAAAATCATGGCATGTTTTAATTGTTATGTTAAAAATTATTAGATGAATTTTTAATTATCAATTTAGAAATTAGAAAAAAAAATTAAAATTAAGATGAAAGATTGAAAAATATATATGTACAAATAAACCCACACAGACGCACGCAAGCATTCACATACACCAAAGTTTATAAAAACAAATTCAAATGACATAAACGAATACTCAATATAATACCAATCCCTAAAGTAAAGTAGGGAAAGCAGAATAATAGAAGGGAAATATAAATTACCCTGCTTTAAAATCTTTGTGGACTTTGAAATTGGAAAAGATAATTGGAAGACTTTAAGCTAAGTCCGTTCACACCTCTTTTAGCCCAACTTTAAATACAAGAATTAATTAAAACAGCCTTCTAGGGAATATAACCATCCCGGCAGAAAAATGTTATATCCGACAACTTTTCTCCTTCAACAAATTATATTCAATAAAATTAGTTATTATAGAATTTAGTTTCAGGAAAGCCAGTTCTTAACTTACTTCATAGAAACTTTATTTGAAAACTAGCTTTACCCGGTCACGCGCTGCTATTGCTCAATCTGGCAAGATGGGAAAGAAAAAAAATGGAAAGTACATATGGATGGATTAATACCAATGGACATCTGTCATTTTTAAAAAGTTGGGAAACAAATTTGTCTGTAATATGGCTTCAATTTAAACTAATTCTAATGATTTATTTTTCATGGTTCAACTTGAACATTCTCAATAATCAGAGTGAATACGTCGTCATTCGCAATCATCAGAAACATTCTGAGTTGAACTTATATAACTAAAACTGACTTTATCTCAGCTTTCTGAAAATGACAGAGATCCATAGGCTTTGATATAAAACCACTCATATATTTTCAATTTTGTGTTAAGTCTCATAGCCCTCCTCCTAAGATATTTCATTGCTTTCTTCTTCTTAATAAAAACTTGGTTAGATATAGAATCATACTAATTGTAGTGGAAAAATAAACCTTACTCATGAAAGAAATCCTACGGTAAACGGCACAACCTTATTCCAACGTAATGCTAAAAAAAAAATAATATATTAAAAATCAAAATTTCAAACCAACCGGTGAAGAACTTTCGAAGCCTAGCGGCTTTTAACAAAAAAACATTTACATTTTTATTTTTTTACACATATAAAATTATAATACGATAGAAGTACTATGCCAGAAACCTTCGCAGGAGTGTACGCAACAACTTTCCAAACTTTCATGGCGATCGGATGAATGGTTTAGTAATACATAAAGGACAAACAGACAGACATTAATTTTTATATATATAGATTTTTAACCACTGTTAAGTAAAACCGCATCGACTTAATTCATTTAGTTTTTTCACTTTAGAAGAAAATGCGTTTCTCGATTAATAAGTAGCTAAAGGGAAACTTAGAAATAACATAGATAGACGGATATTAGAATCACGACCATCAAAATCGTCGAAAGGTTGAAAATTTGTATTAAAAAATAAAATTTGAGAAATTTAAAGATTTCGATTTAGAATCTACTAAACTAATAATAATGAAATTATTGACGTTTATCACTCTGTTAATGCCACGGTAGGCCAGTTATTTTATTGAACATAAAAAACTAAAAATCAAATAATTATTGTTTCATTACAAATAATAAAGATAATAAATATAGGCCACATTTTTATTTGTCTGAGGATTAGAAAATGTTTCAATAAGTAACTGTTTTTAATTCTTAAATTTGAGTGCTTCGATAA